ATGTCTTACCTTTCAATGCCTGGCAGCTGAAAGTTATCTGTAACAGAATGTACACAACCTACACATCCTATGGATGTTTCAGCCCATTATTTTGTTCATATAACCACAAATCACAGCAACTAGAATGAATTAGTCTCATTTAAGAACCTGTAAAGAAAGCTATAGATATTTAGAAAGCATTTAACCCTGTTTTATACATTTAAACATTCAAATCATAGATAATCAAAAGAAAAATATTGAATATTTTCATCTAAAACCTACAGCTCATCACAGCATACTAAGTTTAGTTTCTTCTAAAGTTATGACAGCATTTTTAGTTTACTCTTATTTACTTCTCTCTCATTTAGTTTACCCGTTAAAATTGATAGAAGTACTTCAATCTCTAAGAATAACCAGCCTGGCGCTGATTCCCCCCTGAAAATTCCCTCGTCAGACGTAGTAACTTTGAATGTCAGTGTATGAAAGAACATAATTCCCATGTGGACCCTTGCGAGTCCTACGTGTCTGAAACCATGTTTTTTTCATTGTATGTGAATGTATTTGTGTGTGTGTGAATCTGTGTTAGTGGGTCTATATGTGAGAAACGGGTCAGGACCCATCCTACGACTGGTCTTGGAAGAGAATGTGTCTCTTGATTGATCCTCTCAAACATGCAAAATAGTTCAGTTTCCATCAGTTTACCCACTGTTACCACAGCAACTTTGAACCATAAGTCTTGGGGCCCAGGTGTCCCACACCCCCTGAAGGATAAATCTTTACCTGTGTCATCAGCATCATAACACAGAGGCAGAAAGAATCAAAGCGTTGAAGAAGGGGATCCCCCTTCAAGTGGAATGTCATATTTAATGTTCATCCGTTCAGAACACCGGATTGTACTCTGACTTGTTTCTGTGTTCCTAAAACTCGGTAATTGGACTCCATCTCCTCTATGCAAATTGTCCAGCTATAGTTCATTAAAAGTATCTCCATAAAAAGGTGCCCCGACGTAGAATAGTAAAGGAAGAAAAAAAAGCTGTACTAACACCCCCAGAAGCAGTCTATAGTCTCCATATCTGCACCCCTGACCAGATCCAAAAATGTGCAGGAAACATGTTCCCATATGTGTTTTATCGAATAAGCTGTCGTATTAAGTTTGCAGTTCCATCTAACTTATTAATTACAGCTGCAGGTGAAGTAAATTCAGGTGTTCTCACTGCTTCATGCATAAAATGTGCAGTTACCCATCCAAATCATTAAAATATAGCTTCTGTAATGCCAATTGTAAATCAGCTTGCAGTTAGAAATTGTGAAGTTTTAGATCCTGGGCATGATATTAACCTAACACCATCAAGAAAAGGTATACTGGATGAATCCTTACCTGTTTCAATATTTAGGAATATATGTACTATACATCACTCTATGATTATGGATAAAAGAGACAATTTAACTACTGTATATTTTCTGCTCTATTTGATAGCTTAAATTTATGTATTCTTACTTTAATTTATATAAAAATAGAATTAAACTATGACTGTGAAGAACTTGTATCTATAGCTCACTTAAAGTGAGTTCGATTTCAGGATGGAAACTTTTTTCTATGTTTTCATCTTTTCATACGACCTACATGTTTTACAGAGTAGGTTAAAATTGTCAAATTACTGGCAAGTGAAAAATGTTTTGGTTTTCATGGATTAATAGGACCAAAATAATTAGGTTATTTGCAGAGACGACCACTGTAAACATTTCATTGTATTGATTCTTTTCCACAATAAATCTGTGAAAAGCTCCAGGTTTTAGTGTTTTATGATTTGTGTTTCCCAAAGCAGGAATAATCCCTGGGTTTATTTAAACAGTTTCACCTCATAACTGCCCATAAAACACCAGTGCATCCAATGACGACTGATACATTTTTAAACAATTATGGGACATAAGTGCCCATCCGATTTGAGGTCAAACTTCCTCCATTTATTTCTAATCTGAACTCCCCTCAGTGCAGTGAGCCGTTCAGCTCATTTTCTTTAATCGCCCTTAATGATCTATTGTCAGTCATAGCTAGAATGAAGCACACAAGTCCCCACTACGTTTGATTCTTCTGCAATCAATGGTACCAATTTTATCTAATACTGTGAATGCTTCCTAAATTGAAGGTTGTGACCCATTTTACTTCAACTTTAGCAGGATCATTCCTGCACATAAAAAAAAATACTTTTGGATGCTAGATTAGTTCCATCCTGTTCTAAAACTGCCCATTATTGGCAAAAGTAAGAAAAAATTAGAATCTTAACACCATACAAGACATCAGCAGGTGCAAGAGGAGAGAATATATATCTAATAAGAAGGATAAACTAACACGGAGGGAAGGAGGGTAACACTGAAGGAATGTAAACATGGGACAGACCATGAGAGAACAGAAAACACAGATACTTCATCAGGAAAGCAGTTAGGTCTACATAGACAGCACTACTAGAGATTTCTAATTATTTTTTGACAGAAATTGGTAGCGTTATTATTGTAGGCTTGTGCTACTTGACCAAAGTGCAGTGTTTGATAGAGGGAGGATTTTAAACATCTGTTATGTTGCATTTATCTTCAACTATATCCAGCCTCCCTGCCCTTGTTGAAGAGAGGCATTCCTACTTTCCAGCCATATGGGAGTCAGTATGTAAACCTAGAATCCAAACTAACATTTTTGTCTCATCAGAAATGAATCAGAACAAACTCCTTCTCACATGCCATATATGGCTTATGATAAACAACACAGAGGATTTTTTTTTCTGCTTTCAGATTAGGATTCTGTTAAATAAATCTAACCTGATGTAAAATGTGTTCATTTTCATACACTGAATTTAGACAGGAATCTGCAATCCAACGAAACAATGACTAAAATTAAGAATGAAAATCTTCACAGCTAATCTTAAAAAAAATAAAATAAAAAAAACAATGCCTCCCATCTTGGTCAGCTGGCTGCCCATTCAGCAGCTGCTCATGCAGGTTCGCTTCCATCACAAGCAGTTTATAATCTTGCTTATATCATCCAAGGTTATCCCTATTCCTACTTGGAGAAATTTGGAAAGAATTAAGCAAAAAAGAAAATAAAAAAATCAATGAGGCTTAGAGCCACTGATCCGCTATCAAGGACATGCCTTTGTTCCCTTCCTTTAAGCTTCTTCCCCTTTGATTTATTCCACTACAATCAGCATATCTGGCCATAGCTTTGATTATTCTGCTGATGGAAAAGGAAGAACTTACACAAAAGGCCAAACATAATCTACAAATTAAAGTACTGATAAACTCCAATGGGACTAATTTTCCTTATAGAGATAAGTTTAACCTAAATAAAGTAAATAGCTGGATAATAAGAATATTTTTGTAGAGAGTGTGTGTTATTTGTTTTTTATGTTGTGCCTCTGATTTCCTTATCATTTGCTCTGCAACTGAATAGGGTTTATAACATTAAAGGTAGGGATCCAACTTCAGAAAACCCACTGCCTACTTACCCACTTCAGAGTCTGAGTGCCTCCTATAACTTCGCTCACAAGTGCACATCTATAATTGCTTTAAAATGCTGTGGTTAAATGAAGTGTAGAGTTTCAATCAGCAGGACAACTGACTGTGGTAGTTTCTGCAGAGAGAGGACGTGTCCCTGCCCTTGATTCATTAAATTATGAATAAAATCATAGGGGCATGAAAATACATGCAGGTCATCTGTATTAATCTCTCCACAGGGTATGACTGCGAACAAAAAAGATGTCCTTCAAGAGACAATGAAAAATTGATGTCATATCTTATAGTGTGGAGAGAAAGGCTGCAGCAGCTAAAGTCGTTTCCTATGATATTACAGCAGAAATATCAGAGGAAGACAAAATTTTAATAATTTATTAGCTAACTTTCAAGCTAAGAAAAGCTAACATGTTTTATCTCTTAAATGTTAAATCATGAAAGTTTGTAAAAAATTAACACACATTTCCTGAGCCTTAATATTAGTGTGAAAGGGGATTTATATGATGAGATTTTTATGCCTAACATGAGATATATAGAGAAAATAAAAGTGAAGTAATGTTAGACAATAAAGATAGATCATAAGTACATAAATAATACGTTTCTTAAAATAAGTGCAGTTTTTCTTGAACTGAGCAGGCATTTGAGACACTTTACCAATGTCTTATTTTAAGTGCATATTATCTAATTATTTTATTTTAAGAGTAGAAACACTAATTTCACGGGCAAATCATCTTATTTACCTTCTGTAATTAAGGGTAAATGCACTTAATTTAAGAAATGTTGATGTATTTCTAGATGGATTTTGCAGCATAAACAAGAGGAAAATTCTCAAAACAGCCATTTTATTTAAAACCAAATTTAAGACAATTTTGAATAAAATGTGTGTGTTTTTTTTTTACATGGATCAATTGAACTATGGTGATTAAGTAGTGATATTCGAAATAGGGTGATGAAATAACAACTTGAACAAAACACAATGTTAGACATGATGATATGAGAAAAAGGCATGAAATGCCTGGTTTGTGTAAGTCTACATGATCCAAAACATTTTGAAAAAAAGTCAGCGTATCCTGGTTTTTAAAGAGTTAACTTGAATGAAACGAAACATCAAATCATTCACTTTCTTTAACAGGGAAATCTTATTTATTATCTAAAATTATTTTAAAAATTCAAAGTGATTGCACTTTTTTTTTTGCATTCCTGCAGATAAACTAATACAATAAATAGTTTCCTAATCTGTAAATTATTCATTTACTTTAAAAGCAGCACTGCCTGAATTCCAGCCTGACATCTCCCAGGCTGTGTAATCCAGATGTATAAACAGGGAGTGACTGTAAGCTGTTCTTTCCATGTAAGGCTACACAGCAGTGGGAGTTGATGTGTTTGTAAAAACGATGATCTTTCAAGAACATCAGTCTGCGATCCGACGTGTGTTGTGTCAGATTGGGTAGATAAATGGCTCGTTGAAGCATGCCATATTTAACCAAATCTATTTCAACTCTGCAGAATTTTGTGCCTTTGCTGCTGTTACCGTCCAGTAATAAGCTTTCATCTAAACATCTCTCTCCAGTGAAGTTCTACCCAACCAGAGGCTGACCCCGAATGAATCTGCTGATATGGGAACTTTCCGATTGAGATAATTATGTGGAATTTGTAGCCTGTGAAGATTGCTTGAATTTCCTGACACGGTCCTGGAGTTTACATTCTCTGTGTGCAATTGCCAAGGTAAGAAGCCTGTGCTCTGTTTTGTGTTGCTTTATTATTTTTTTTACTTTTCTTTAGTTTTGAGCAAACTACAGTGTTAAAAGGACAGTAATACAGATGTTCTTAGAGAGCAGCTTGATGTTATCCTAATCAACTGTAAGAGATTATCACACAAATTCTCAACTCACAAAATTCTGCTTCAAAGTTCAAAGGTCCCACATTTTAGTCAGGGACCATAGTGTTAGATAGGCCTCTGGTATATATAATGAAACTCTTTTAATGATTAACTTTTTTGTCTTTAATGTTGGTTTATTTGAAAGTCTTTATGCAAAGGTACCAGCTAAAGACTGTGCCTGTGGTAAGGCAGAGAAGAAATCTGAAACTATTATAGAATTAACCCAGCATAAAGTTAAAGAAATCTGGTAAAAGTGGAGCAAACCTTATCTGGTTACTTATTTGTAGCCAAATTAGTTAGATTACATAGTTTTTGTTTGTGCATGTTGGCAGTGGTGGCGCTGTTATGAGTTTTATGGCTCAGGATGCGGGGCACCATTTCTTGGTGGGCAACAAAAACACATGGAGGGGGTAGAGAGGGGATTGATTTTGCTTTGCAGAAACATCAAGCTCATTGAAATTGTTTGAGTAAAAAGCTGCTGTGTTGTTCATCAATTGTTTATCATTTTTCTACAATGTGCACTGCAAAAACGATCTAGAAAAAAGTAAAAAAAAAACCCAACACAATGCAATAGTTTTATTCTTATATTAAAAGCAAATTGTCTTTTTTCATTGGTAAAGTGTCTCACTTACCTCCTCAATACAACAAAAAATGCACTTATTAGAAAAATAACTTATTTAGATAGATGGGGGGGGAGTATTTTCTTGTGTGGCCTTATTCTATAATTGTCATAATTTGTGTGTTTGTTTTTTTAAATAAAGTCCTCAATGATACATTCATTCAGATTCCTCCACTTTTAGTTAGATGAAATGTCACTAAATATAAATAAAAGGATGTTTTTACAGTTTTTGTATTTGCAGTATTTCTGCACTTTTTCCGTTCAAGAAAAAGCTTTTTTATACATGCATAAATGTTAATATTCAATACACCAGATTATAGTTAGTCATTTTGTTAAAGTGGCTTAAGTCTGTAATGTGGGGAATCTTGTTTTTAAATCCAGTTACCTCAGGAATGAAAACTTCCTTATAACTTCCTGAGGAAAACTACCTGAAAATGTAAGCAACCAAAAGGAGAAAAACAAATATGGTGAGAACAAGATGATTGTATCCTCTTAAACATTCAATAACTCTTAACTAAATAAGAATAAATGAGAGATTAAACAGGAAGGACCTTTACATGTGTCATTGCTTTTAAAACTTTTAGTTTGATCATCTGGCTTTATAACGTTTCCTAAGACAGAAAAATGAAACAGCCTTCCAACTATCAAACTGTGCTTTTTGTTTATTGTTTGTTGATTTTGGCTCACATTGCAGTGCTTCATTCCGGACAAAACACTTCCTCTCAGTTTTTATGAAGTCTTAGCAGGCTATTAGGTTTGTTTTTGTTGTTTTGTTCTGGGGGTTTTTTGTGGGGGTGGACCCCTTTTTTTTTTAAACAGAATGCCATATTGTTTAGGAATTTTCGTCCTTGATTTTGGTTTAATGGAACAGATAAATGTAGATATAAATAAAGGGAGACACTTTGTTCACATTGTTTGAAACTGCAATAAACATTTGGGACTCTGGTGATTCACTTTCTGCGGAGCATCAGTTCTCTGACAGAGACTTCCTGTATTAAAGCAGAGCTATGGAGCAGAACACTGACACATAACTACTGCTGTGTTTCAGGAAAAATGACTGGAATTCATCCACTCGCCCCACTGATTATATGGGTTATCATTATAACTACTTTCAAAGCTGCAGCGCCTCAAGTCTTAAATCCTCGAGGACCCAGACCCATACCCGGGCGTGGTGACGACCCAGACCCAACTATGCCACCACCAAGACCACAAGGTTGTGAGAGTGAGTTATTTTTATTACAATTTAGATCAGGAAATCTACTTTTGTGGAGTTGCCTTAAAGATTTAGAGGTTGTTTTGATTCATATTTAATCTACCATTGTTATATTCAGTGCTGGAAATATCTAGTGGACGAAAAGGTAGAGGGGTTAAAAGTGCAATAAAGTTTGAGCATGACTGAAGAATAAATAGAAATAGTAAAGAGGGTTGAAGGAGGTGTTCGTCTTCTTCTAAAATAGAGTGCAAAACAATTTAATTGTGCTCCAGGAGTGTCAAATTACTGTAATTTAGCCAAACAAAGGCTGTAGAATTATTTGCATGTGAAAGACTTCATTTCCACTATAATTTATTAGATAATTCAAATTAATGCAGAAGAGCAGCATTTAGTGCTTTTTCAATTTGAACTTCAGCTTATTTCAGACAAAGAGAAACCATTAACTCAGAAACATAATGCTTGTTTTGTACAAAATAATGTTCCCAGACCTTGAATGAAAAATGTACCTTTTCAAACTATTGCATGTGTAATATTTTCCTCTATTTCTATGCAAAAATCCTAATAAAACATTGCGAAATCCGTACCGGAAGTTTCCCACCAGGGCTGGAGGAGAATGGAAAAATACTGAAAGGAAATTTTGGAATTTCATTGTTCTGGTTAGGTATTAAAAAAGAAAATATACTACAGCAGTAAAGTTGTATCTTCTGATTCCATCCATACGTCCTTTATATATCATATAAAACGTATGTTCAAAGGGTTAAAAATTCTGTATGTGTTGATTCCCCAAAAATGTGGAAATTTCAAATGAAAAAAAAGCCTTCTGTTACCCTTTGATTCTTATTCTCTTATGTAACTGCTGCAACATATTCACATTTTTGATGTCCTCCTGTCTCACAGCAATCATCTACTGTCCAGTCAAGTTGTTTTTCACCATAGACACATCCGAGACCATCGCCTTGCAGGAGCCTCCGCCTGGCAGTCTAGTGGAAAGCATCAAGGAATTCATGAAGATGTTTGCCCAGAAACTTGAAGACGAGGCATATAGGGGCCAGATCCAGATCACTTGGGCTTTTGGGGGCTTGCATTTCTCTCAGAAGCATGTGGTCTTCAGTCAGTTTACAAACAGAGTGAGCTTCATAAAGAGTCTCAATCAAATAAAATACCTGGGCAAAGGCACCTACATCGACTGCGCCCTCAGGAATATGACCCAACAGATGACACACCATTACTCAGAGATAAAGCCTGTCCTCTTCTCAGTGGTTGTCACAGACGGTCATGTGACGGGTAGTCCATGCTCAGGTATCAAGATGGCAGCAGAAAAGGCGCGGGATCAAGGGATCCACATTTTTTCAGTGGCAGCATCCAGCAACATCGATGAACTAGGGATGAAAGAGATAGCCAGCTCACCCGTAGAGTTATACCGGGACAATTACATAGTCATGGAGATTGTTGATGGAAGACCAAGGATGAGCGAGGAGACCATCGATCGTATCATCAAAGTCATGGTGACTTGAGATTGCATTCCCTAAGAGAGCTTTCAAAAGTTTGTATAGGTAAATTCATCTTCACTCACCGACTGTTGCTTTTGTTTTGCAGAAATATCAAGCCTATCTACAGGTAAGACAGACTTCCTTCATCTTTTTCAAGATTTTCCACCTCTTCCTGTAAGCAGTCCTTTGTCTGTTATTCCTAACAGGTCAGAAACATGTTTACCCTTTAATTAATGATTAATAGTTATTGTTGATGCTCTGATAAAAATCCAGTTAATTGGATGTAGGCTAGGACAAAAAAATTGTATGCAACTTTTACGTTAGCTTTTATTCTTATTTAGTTTTGACTTTTTGTTGTTTTTTGGTATCTATTAGTTTATTTTATTAGTTTTTTTAATGCTTTGTGTCAGTTTAGTTGTTATTAATTTCAGTAATAGTTTTATTTTTTTTATGTAATATGACTTACATACCAGGGAAAAAAACAAAATAGATAAACCAATAATAGTAACAATTGAAATAAAATCCCTGATAAAGATAGACCACTGCAGCAACACAAATGACATGACGGCCATATCTGCAACCTGCTGGTGTAATGCAACCGGAAACTAGACCTTATATGAATGCATTATGATAAGGACACAAATGAAGACATTCTCTCTTAAAATTCACTTAGTTTTCAATAGTTTTGCAAACTCTTATTACAGTTTCAGTTAGTTTTTGTGTTTTGGGTAGCCTTAAAGGTAAGGTGGAGGATTTCCGTGAAATTTTGTAAAGACCTCGCCATCTCTACTAAGAAGAAAAAAATGCAGATGTACAACCCTGTACCCACTCCTGAGAGCTTACTTTCCAAAAAAAGATGTACAATTTTTGCACCATGTCAGACTCAACACCGTAAGTGAAAATCGGGTTGCGCACGTAGAATGGTCTTACGTAAAGATATCACCAGTATGATTGACAATTAGGAGGACCACTTATTTTGATGATCCACCTCGATGATACCTTTAATTTGTGTTTTTAGTTAGGCTGTTAAATTTTAGTTTTCATCATTTTGTTGTTTTAGTTATTAGCTATTACCTGGTTGGGTTTAAAAATGGCCAAAGTGGAGAGAGGAAATGGAACTCAATGTGACCATACTCATGAAGAAGAAGTCAGCGGTGCTGCTTTGTAGAGCAGAAATAGTGGTATAGAGCTATACAGTGCTTATACATTAACGACTTTTAAAGTATGAGATATCTCATGTCATACTGTCATTTACTTTTTGTTCAGGCATATTCTTACTGGCTATTTATGTTTGTAGTGCCGTTAATATTCAGTGTTCATTTGTAAGCCTAATGCCAGAAGCAAGCATCATGTAACATTGATTTGCTAAACTGAAGCTCATAATCTGCCTCCTGTTTCTCCCACCTTGCCTGCTGGTGAATGGGCTGTCTTATTGGAGCATGCAACAGTTTGTAGCAGTCTATCCACATAAAACATATCTGGTTAATTTCAACTTATCTTAAACAAGAATCAGTCCACATTGTTTATCAAAATATCCTTCAAAAGAAATGAAGGAGGTACTTATACCAAATGCTCTACCCTTGAGTTGTTTCGTGTTTTCTTTTCTGTTTTTTTCTGACTGCCATTGCAGTGAATAAGTGACCAATGTGAAGATGTTATGATGTTATGAGTCTATAGAGGAAAATAACATAACAAAAAAAAACACCAAATGGAGGACCTGTTTGTAGATGCGTTTTTAATTTTTTCTAAAAATAGAGGAAACATAATTTCTAATGACAAATGAAAAAGTAAATTCAAGCAGAAAATATTTTCAAAATTACTTTTATAAACTTTGAACACATTAACCTGGGTGATTTACTTAATTTCTTCTAGTATAATCAAAAATAGAGATATCAGGCAACTTGATCTATGCGACAAAACACATCTATAGACACCTGACAACCTGAAAGAATCAACTTGAACAGTTTTATATTTTGTTCAGAGCATTTTTTTTTACTTGGGAAACTGCCTATGTGTTATTTAATTTAGAAATTTTTTTCTTCAAATTGCAGTGTTATAAACCTACATGTCGTGCTGTTCCTGGGAGCCCAGGACCAAAAGGGCCCTCAGGTCCAAAAGTGAGTCCCCAAAGATTAATTACTATTGTTAGTTTTTATATTGTTTTCCTTCCTTTTTATTTTACCAAAATGTTTTGTTATTTATGTTGATTTTCTAGGGTGCTAAAGGTGAAAGAGGCAAAGCTGGACCAAAAGGTCAGATAGGCAATCAGGTATGGCTAAGAGTGTTTCTCCTTAGAAATTGAAAAGAAAAAACAAAAGACAAATGGGAATTTCCATTTTCTAATGCTGTAGTGACAACCTTACTGAATTTAATGTTTTGATTTCAGGGTGATCCTGGGATTGAAGGTTCAATTGGACGACCAGGTCCAAAGGTTTGCTGTGCCTAACCTCACATTTTCCTGTACTTAAGAGTTGTTTCATCATTCTAAAAAAAATTTTTGCCTTTAGGGAGAAATTGGATTTAAAGGTGAAAAGGTGAGATTTTCTGAGCCCTTCCTATTATATCTCAGAGTGAAAAGGATGATTCCAACATTAATGGGTTTTATTTTCCATTTGAACAGGGTGAAGTTGGATCAATTGGAGCAAAGGTATAGTGAAATTTAATGGCTACAGCATATATTTCTGGATTTTATAGTTTAATAATCTCTTAATTTTTCATTATGCAGGGAATAGCTGGTTCTCCTGGAAGGAATGGAACAGATGGACAAAAGGTGATACCTAGAAGTTTGACACGTGACTTCAGGCCATGGAATATTGTTTGGCCCTTACAGATTTATTCATGTTTGTGTTGTTGTTATTTTTTATGTTTTAGATCATCAAACAATTTTAAGATATCTTGAGAAACTACTTTTAAAGAGGGAAAAAAGTTAGCTTTAAAAAACTGGTGTGAGGTTAAAGCTGCAGTCTGTAACATTGAGAAGAGAGCAGACTTCGACTGAAAATTTGAAGAAAAACAGGTTTCACTCCACTCCCCCACCATCTCTGCTTCACTCATGCCCCACCTCCAAGCTCCACCCCTCTCACAGCATCTGCGGCTACCGCATGCCACCAGAGGGGGGGGGGGGGGGGGGGGGGGGGGGGGGGGCGGTATTCAGTGTGTGTGAGCTGTGATTGACACTCCATCAGACGCTCCTCTGGCTGTGATTGGTTGTTTTGACTCGTCCCGAATTATTCTTTCCAGATTGAAATACAGGCAGTAGGCGGTACCAATTGAAGCAGTTTTTTTCACAGGTTACATATCACATGTACTGCTGTCTGGGCATAGGGACAGTTTTAGCCAATATGACAAAAAAGTGATTTTTAAAAACTTACAGACTTCAGCTTTAAGTTACATTGTTTCCTATAGGTAAAAAATATATTATTTTATCCCTGTGGCCCATGACTGCAGTTATGACAAGCATGTTATGACAAGCAAGAGGTGTTTTACATCACTGCTTAGCAACTTTTTTCTCTATTTTAGTTTGAGGTATTGTTTAAATTCAGAAGGGCTTTCAAGCTTCCACCTTCCATTTAAGATTATGCTGCCTCTATAGTAAATTAGACAAAGTTCATACAGTACAAAAGCCTTTTCTTAGAATTTTGAAAGTGGTGTGCTTTGGAAAAATACTTTTTCACAGCATGATATAATGATGACTTTTTTCACTAACCTTTATGGGAATTTCAGGGTAAAATTGGCCGTATTGGAACTCCTGGCTGCAAAGGGGATCCGGGTGAGAAGGTGAGGATGTTGCTTTTTACCTGAAATCTTAGTCTTATCACAGCCACTGTAAGACAGAACAGAACCGGTTCAATATGGGACACTTAGATAAAACAAATAATGACTCATTTGATAGTTTATTGCAGCAGATGTCGTCTCACTGATTTTTTTTTAACCTGTTTTTAAGGGACTGGATGGATACCCAGGAGATGCTGGTGACTCTGCAGCATCTGGAGAAAAAGGAGAAAAGGTGTGAAAAAGTATATTTTTTACCGGTACATATTTTTTATCTGTATGAAAGAGGGAAACCAAAAACAATGGTGAAAAAAACGCATTTAACATTAAATATAGCTCCAGGGTCATAGTTGGTTGGATGCACCATGAAACAGTCAGGGTGACGTAATAACCAAATGGTCTTAGGACCTTTTTCATCTCCAATAGGCTTAGTATAAATTGCAACCATTGCGTTAAAGCAAAAAGAGAATAGGAGAAAATTTGAAAATATGACATTCACATCTGCACAATCTGCAGAAAGGTCTATTTAAGCAGGATAATGTATCAGAATAAACAATTTGAAATGTTAAATATTTCTTGTAAACCTTCATAAATTTTCCTTTTTAACACAACCTGACTTCATATCTCCAACTCATTCAGTGTTTCATTTCTTCTCTGTGGGGGATCTGTGTCCCTGTTGTTCTCAGCCATCTCCAAGCAGCCCAGCTGAGAAAAAAGCATTATGTATGAAGATGATCTTTGCCAGGCAGAAATATCTTCCATAATGATGCAGCTATGCAGGTTTTAGTTAATCAAACTACTGACACAGCAAAAACATTTCCTTCTTTTGTCCCCCATTTTCTCAATATTTGTCGATCTACTTGTTAATTCTAGCTACCATGGTCACATATCTAACACAGTTAAAGGTTTTGAGAATTATTTACATTAAAACTAAGACAAGCATAATCTCAAACAGTGGTGTCAAAAGTACACACATTTGTTACTTATAGATACTGCAGTTTAAAAACACTCTGGTAAAAGTTGAAGTATCAACTTGACCTCTTTACTCAAGTAAAAGTGAAAAAGTATGTGCTCCAAAAACTACTTAAAGTATAAAAGTATAAAGTAACCTTAAAAAAAAAAAGCTGCCAGATGCCACTTTATGAATTGAAAGCACAATTTTTCAACTACCGGTATTTCAAAAAATTCTTTGAGATAGGGCCAAGGATGAGTGAGGTCTTGTTGGTCTCCGTCTCCATCACACGCTCTCGCCTGTGTGCGACCTTTCGGACATTTCAACATCTTTTTCTGAATCCGACATTGTATCATGGCATAGACAGTTCACGTTTGCAGTTTGAAGAACACCTGCTTGCTTCTGATGATTTCCTTTAGCTAACCAATGAGTGTTTGCGTTATATGACTCATCCAATTACACTAGTTTTCACTAAATGTGGATGGTGCCACTGATCTGCAATAAATATTTAAAACATTAAACTGAAGCCAAGAGTAACGAGTAACTTTTGTTTTAAAAATGTAAGGAATAGAAAGTACAGATACTTGTGTGAAAATGTAATGAATAGAAGTCATAATTAGGAAGAAAAATAAGTAATGGAGTAAAGTATAGATACCTAAAAAGTGTACCTAAGTACAGTAACAAAGTATTTGTACTTCACTATTTCTGTTCTGACACCTCTGTTCTCAAATAAGTAACAGCTGATTTTTGCCTTAAATGTTCTTGAAAATGTTAATATTCTTAGTGCTAAAAATTCTTAAAGAGAAACTTTTTGTTCTTCTCAGTCTTAAATATTGAAATTGTAGCATTATTGTTTGTGTTAAACTGCTTTTTTTTTGTTTGTGTACAAAAATTATCTAAAATAATTTAGACATTTTTTGTACTGAGTTAACTACCACGGGCTGCTCAGTGGAGCAGTGGGTGCAGCACTGCTGCCTTGCAGATAGAAAGTTGAGCGTTTGATTCCCAGCCCAGGGTCTTTCTGCTTGGAGTTGGCCTTTTCTCCCTGAGCATGCACAGGTTCTCTCCGGGTACTCCGGCTTCCTCCCACAGTCCAAAAACATGACTGTTAGGTTAATTGGCTTCTCTAAATTCTCCTTAGGTGTGAGTGTGTGTGTGAATGGCTGTTTGTCCTTATTGTCTCTGTGCTGCCCTGCGATGGACTGGCGACCTGTCCAGGGTGAACCCTGCCTCTTGCCCTTAGAAATTTAGAGATAGGCAACAGCACCCCTCACGACCCCACTTGGGATAAATCGTGTCAGAAAATGGATGGATGAGTGAACTACCCGACATAATAGTGACCTAAAAGGTCCCATATATGTATGCTAATGAATATTCTACATGTATTTTATGCCATCTTAATCTATATTTTCTATGTTTTCTAAAGATTAGAAGATTCCTTTTTTTTATTTGGGTGTTCGTATTTCTTCCAAGTTGATCCTCAACACTCACAGAGGAATATTTGGCATTTTCTAGGCACTTAACTCTGGCATATAGATCAGAGTAATAAATGGCTTTTATAGTGGAACAAAGATGGCCCAGCATTGTTTTTAGGTAGAATCGTACTAAAAAACAAGTCTGAAGAACCCTGAACCTAATTTTGTGACATCATATCTGACTCCTTTGCCTCAAACACAGAAAAAAGAAAGTTTTCTGTTACTAATAATACGTACAGCAACAACTGATATTCTTTTACCTTGTAAACATAATGCTTATACCAAGAAGCCCCAAATATGTTTGGTAAGGAATCTATCCTCCTTACTTGTACAGTATTTACTCCCATGGAGCTGAACCATCTATCCTGTTTTGAAGCTCAATTGTGTCGGATTCGATGGAAAGTCTTTTTTCATATGAAAATCAATAAAAATGCAGACTGTGATTTATTTACTTTATAAATCTTGAGATTGTCTTGCTTCAGAATGCAATGGTAGTTGTATTTTTAAAGCTGTGGAAACAAATCAAGAATTTTCATTTTATTAGGGACCCAAAAGGACATTTTGACAGGTCTCAAAATACACATAAATAGAACACAGATTTAAATAAATAAATAAATAATAAAAATTATATCGGCAAGGCATATAAGGAGGAAAGGTGGATCACTTATACCTGCTGAAAAATATATCTGAGGAGTTGCAAGCTACAGGTTCATTTTGGAAATGAGGGGAAGGGGCTGTTTTCACAGATCTGGGAAATAAGTTATTTTTAAGTCTAGTTGCTCTTGATGTAATGTTATTGAATCATTTTCATGATGGATGCTGGACAAGCAATTTATATTCATTGTCTCTGTATAACAAACTCCATGTTTTTAATGTAGCTGCTAATCTTTGCGCTGTTTCATTTGGTTTAGGGGAACCCAGGAGTTCCTGGAAAGCAAGGCCCTCGTGGTCCTAATGGTAACCCAGGACCAAAGGTAAGTTTTAAAATGAAACACAGAAGCATAATATTTTTTTTTCTTACTGAAAAAGCAGAGCGACTTATCTGCACTACCATTTCTTAGGGTGAAAAAGGAACCACTGGGAATCCGGGACCACCTGGAGAAAACGGTGTTCCTGTATGTTTTGTAGATTTATTGAAATAAAAAATGTGTGTTAGATAATTGTCTTCTAAACAACCGTTTTGTTTTTGTTTTTTCAGGGGCTCAGTGGCAGAGAGGGACCCAAGGGCGACCCGGTATTTCAAAGAATATTAAAGTGTTGTTTAGTTAATTGAATTTTAACATGCATACTATGCAACATTTTAACAGGGCAGGAGAGGAGATCCTGGCGTGAATGGGGAACCAGGACTTGGTGGGATCAAAGGAGCAAAGGTGAGGTTTGCTTTAAGAAAAATATGTGGCTGTTATTCACTTTTACAGCTTAACGGGTCTGTTGACTAAGTAAAGTTAAGAAACTACAACTAAAGCAAAGCTGCAGATTCACTCAGCTTATTATGGAACATGTGAAAAAATATTAAAATATATCCCTTTTCTTTTTGTTTTTGTTTTTTTAAACACTGACAAACAGCATGACTGTCATTAGACATGAGCTCGCAGCATATATTTGCAGAAAGAAAGATGCTTTTTTTAGACTATCTACACAATTTCACACTCCAGAGAACCGAACGCCCTCCTGTCATTTTGTTATGCTCTGCTTCAGACTATTTATTTCAGAAAGGAAGATTGAAGAAGACTTGTTTCTCCTACTTATTTATTTAGATTAGGAAAGTATTAAATACATAACATTCTCTTGCAAAGTTGTTTTCTTTTTAAAGGGAGAGCGAGGAGCACCAGGGGAACGAGGTCGACCTGGGGAGGATGGATTTAAGGGTGCTAAGGTGAGAGGTTCACAGTGTGGGTGGGTTTTGGCTGGAGGGATGACTCAGAGGCTTGTTACATGTCAGATAATGGAACTATGCCTTGATGCACTGATGACTTTGCCAAAAAAATGCAACTGAGTCTGTTAAAAAAGTCTTTCCTTGGGGAAAACACTGTTTTTGTTAAATGTTATAGTCGGGGGTGGAAAATTCCCATCAAAATTAGTCATTCTATGCAGTGTCTAGAGAGAGCATTTCTATGACTGTTCCCAGGGAGGTCTTGGACTTCCAGGACCAAGGGGTCGGCCAGGAGAACCAGGCAGCGCTGGAGGAAATGTGAGCTGTTCATAGTATAATTATTTACGTTTTATTGTTGAAGCACATGAGCTGATGCTACTGTTATCCTCTGCGGCTGAAGGGCACTGAAGGAAATCCTGGAGACCCGGGACCAAGAGGAGAACCTGGACCTCCAGGACCAAAGGTGAGCTGAAGAGACTTGGAGTCCAAATTGATTTTTTTTTTTTTTTTACACTTTTTCAATTTACTGGCATTTCAGTAATATCATTTGGTGTCTGAAATAAAAAATCAGGAATACCTGTATGTAAAAATAATAAGAGACACGTATCAGACATCTACCAGCAGTTAAACCAATCTCTCCATCACAATGGCCCCCCCAAAGAAGAGTAACGTGAGTCTTCAGCTCAAATGTAAGCTGATTTCATTAAGATTAATATTGTTGTATTTCCACTGAGGAGGAGGGAGAAAATCTGGATAAATGTCAGAGAAGCAGCTTGAAAAGGGCTTGTTGCTTTTTCAAAGTTTACTGTAGGTCTGAGAGTCAGATGCTTTTAAACAGTCCATCCATCTTTTGAAGGGTCTTCATGTAAAGTCAACAAATCGAGATGCTGTTCTTAGCATCTGTAAATTTAATATTCACAGATCTCAAATGATGAAACATTAATAAACTTTTATCCCAGTCTGACAATTTCAGTACATTTTAAAATACATCTAAAATAATACTCAAATAACTTTCATTAACATACTTATTTAGAGACCTCGCGAATGGTATGCTACCCAGATATCTAAAACCCTCGTCTTTTTGCCGCAGTGATTAGAGCTGCTTAGGATGAAAAATGCATATTTAAAATAATTTGATTTATTCACACTTTCTCCCTGAAACTGTCATTAGAAAGTATTTCATGGCTGTACACAGTTTATTGAGACTGAGCAATGGGTGAGAAAGGCACCCGAAAGTCTCACTTCCCTGGATATAATTGGCATGTGTTTTACTTAAGGTTTCACCTGCACTCACAGGTAAAAGCAGTTTTACATTTTCTGAAAAAAAATTTTCTCACACCCTACATGCATTTTGAAAAAAAGGTATTTCTGATATAGACCAATATAATGTATATATAACGGCTAAAATACACATTTTAACTTTAGACTTTGAGCATTATTGCCTCCATTTTGAATATTCAAGAATGATTCATAAAAAGCTTTGAGGGCTGACTAATATTTGATGATAAATTCAAAGTAAAAATGCACAAAAAAAATGTATTTTCAGAATACTTTTTTTGATTCACGCATTTTTCAATCCATTTTTGAAATATTTAACGATAAATGTCACGTTTTATTCAGTAGATGGAAAATCCTTTTCTGGCATTATGGCTATAAAATTTACCAGGGATTTTTTATTTTTTTTTCAGCTATACTGAGACTGATGTAACACTGATAGAACTGTTTGTCAAAAGAAAGATCTGAAAAAGATTAGCATTAATTTTGACTCTTAAGAATGGTGATACATATGGTGATAACAGTTTCATCTATTTAAAAAGTTTTTTGCATCCCCTCATACAGGCTTGATATAACAAATTACACAGAGAACCTCTAAAGCAACATTGAATGCCACAAAAATTCAGAAGTTGTTTTTTTATATGTGAAGTAAAATGTTGAGATATTCACAGGAAATAAAGAAAACAGTTTTATGACAATAAAAAAATATATATTTACATTCTATTTGAATGGTTAGAAACAGAGAATCTATGAGAGAGACATATTCCAAAGTATATGTGAATTTCATCTGGGTCTTTATCCAAACATAAACAGTAAGATAATCAAGTATTAATTTTAAATCTAAAATTGGATCCCTTTTCTAGTGATTAAAGGACATTTTTGCAATCAGAATGCAGCTGCAGTTAAATGCACTTTTCATTCATTTGGCTCAAACACTGAGGAAAGTTGATGCTGTAACTAATTATCATGATTAAAACCATACAAAATAAAAGTTTGGGGGAAAAAATAAAGGATTAATCAATGCAACCTGCACATTTGATTTGGCACAGAGAGCAGGAAAATAGAAAAAAAGGTACTGAAGTAATAATACTGAAAACGTTTCCGCCTGAATTATATTTTCTTTCCATGTACACCCGTGGTCGTTTTCACAGTCCAGCTGACGACTTATGGCTAAAGCTCTTTGTTATGTCTAGAAGATTAATGAAAATATTTGCATGTTTTTACCCTGAGTTATTCCCTCCTTTGAAACAAATATTTTTTTGTAAAATGTCTGAATCTTGTCTTCAAAAGTGTTATGAGCAGAAAAATATAGCTTTGGATGCTTGAGAAGTTTAAATTTACTTTTATTTTGCCTCTTCACTTTTCTAACTCACATAGCTAAAATCTTGGATTAAAAAAAACGTTTTCTCTCCATCCTTTTCTGTGTTCCTATAATAAACAGGTTCATATCTGTTCACACTGGAAAAAATCAAAATCTAGATCAGCAATTTTTCTTAAAATAAGTGCATTTGTTCTTGAATTGAGGAGATAAAATTGCATTGTCTTATTTCAAGTGCATATCATCTAATTATCTTACTTTAAGAGTAAAAATACTTATTCCATTGGCAAATTATCTCATTTACCTATTCAAATTAAGGATAAATACACTTAATTTAAGACACTTTTACTTATTTCTAGATCATTTTTCCAGTGTAGCATTCCCATTTCAAACTAGCTTATTTTGTGGACAAAACAATATGGTTTTACTAATTAATCTCTGAAGCCATTTGACCAATGTGAACTCCAATTCTATGTACGAGCTCAATTTTAAATAAAATTTCAGTAGCATTATTTGAATTGTTAGTGAATCTTAATTGTTGTTTTAAAATCACTTACTTTAAATAAGTCTTATTTAGAAATGAAGGAAATGTCCCTTTATAGTCCCACAGTGGTCTAATAGTTAAAGCCATGCATTAGAGAGCAGTGGGCCGCCAGTCTGAAATACCAGTGGAGCACACAAAAAGGTCAATGGTCCTGCAAGGGGACCAACAATGACAGTTACCAGCTACCACAATCCAACACTCCTCTTGAGCAGTCTTTGTGTTTTAGTTAACATTCAGCATCGATCGACTTTCTTGTTTGTAAAGGGAGAACAAGGAAGACCAGGATTCAGCTACCCAGGACCAAGAGGACCTAATGTATGGTTTTTCTGTTCACATCAAAAAATCTCCTCCAGGTTTCTGACTCTTGAGTCAAAGGCTACTCTTTGCTTTGCAGGGAGACAGGGGGGATCCAGGCAAAAGAGGGCCCCGAGGGGCCAGAGGTGAATGTGGTGCCAAAGGCGATCCTGGAGATAAAGGAGAACCAGGAGAGCCTGTAAGAATAATAACAGAATGTTTTTAATGAAAGGGCAGTTTGGAGTTTAAAGAGATGCTGAGCAGATAAACTTAGAACAATGTTTATATAATTCTGCTGAAACAGGGAATAACTCTTATCTTAAAAAGGTATGCTATGCAGACTGTTCTGCTTCAAGTACTTGGACTCCTGCATCATATGTGTAACAATCCAGGTTAAGGGTCATGAGTATTTTTATGATTTAGGTCATCCTAAATAAAAATTCTGCATTACTTCTTCAGATTTCTATAAATATATAAATATTTTTCCTTAATTTTAATATAAAGGGTCACCCTAAAACCTCTTTCACAAAGAGTAGCTCGTGTAGAGGCCAGTTAGGCAAAGATTGTTTTATGGTGTTGGTATAGACTTTAAAAGTTACTGACTATGGTGTCATTCTCTACCCTTTAACATATGGGTAAATCACTATGAAATATCAAAAAATTGTCTTTCACATGAATACCATTGAAGGAAACCTTTGCATGTTTATCTATAGATTTTTTTGGCATCCATACAGATAAGTAATTTTAATAAAATTAATTAACAACGAATATTTTTGTTCAACTTTTTTTGTTTTGTTTATATGCCTATAGAACAATGCAAATTTTGAATGTATTTAAACTGGGACATGATGTGATGCTTTTGAGATGTTTTAACCTCACTTTTGAGACAAGTTCTATTTAAGGGGTTTCTTAATTCTTAAGATCTTAAAATGATCAGACCTGGGAATGGGGTATGAAATCCAACAAGAAGATTGATTGATCTAATTTAAAGAAGATGCTGTACTTTATTAAATGCATCCGAATTAATTACTGTATTTTTACCAGAACATATAAAAATACGTAACTACACAGTGTTGTACTGTAGTTTTTATCATAGTTTAATAACACATGTTTATTTGTGAGAGTTTTCCGTGATTGACATATTTCTGGGTAGTACAATATAACACTAAAACAAAGACCAAAATGAGTGAGCACAACTACCCAAGTACTTCAGCTTAATACTTTATGCATATACAGAGAATCAGTCGCTATTACTTAGAACATGTTTGGTATGAGGTATGAGTCACTTCACCTGAACTATGTTGTATTCAGGGGGAACCAGGCCATCCAGGAGAGCCAGGAAAGAGAGGACCCCAGGGAGAAGCAGGAAAACCTGTACGAAGCACCATCAAAACCATATCAGTAAATGCTAGACCATGCATAAAGATTTCAGATCAAATAATTCTGCTGTCTCCTTGTAATGTGTTTGTTCAGGGGGGTCCAGGACCAGACGGGGATCCTGGGCTCACTGTAAGTCAATTCAAAAAGTATAACAGTGAATAAAAGCAAGCTCTTGATGTCAGTTAAAATGCAATGTCTGTGTTTATGTTGCTGCAGGACTGTGATGTCATGACATATATCAGAGAGACATGCGGTTGTTGTGGTAGGCAGACAGACGTGACCATAATTTCAACACGGCGTTGCAGTAATAATCTTTAAACATGCTGATCCATTTGATTCATCTGCTTTTTTTTATTTTACTCAGACTGTGTGAAGCAATGTGGAGCTCTGGATATTGTCTTTGTAATCGACAGCTCTGAGAGTGTCGGACTGTCCAACTTCACCCTGGAAAAGAACTTTGTTATCAACACCATCAGCAGGCTGGGATCCATGGCCTCCGACCCCAAATCACCAACCGGTAGAGTCAACAAAAACATTATTTCAAACTTGTTAGAGAGCAGGTGATAAAAAAAAAAATCACAACACAAAGTTTTCCCAGTGCAATATAACATACTGTATATTTACAATTATATTTCCATTATTTGTCTTCCTATAACTATATTAACACTGGTTTAACATGTATATATCATATAATTCCAAGCTATTGCTACTGAAATATACAATATATATATATAATATATATAATGGATAAATATTAATTTTATATATATATATATATATATATATATATATATATATATATATATATATATATATATATATATATATATATATATATATATATATATATATATATATATATATATATATATATATATATATATATATATATATATATATATATATATATATGGCAGAAATGTATATAACAAAATATAAATATATAGAAATGTCAAATTATCCAAAATTTTGCTGACGGCAAAATATGCTGCATCTAGCTAATTAGCTTAGGATGAAAATATTGTCAAGCATTTCTTGTCCTACTAATGCACTGGGCTTGAAGTGGGATTTTTATTGGTTTAGTAAGAACAGTTTGTCTGCATATATTGTAATTTCCAACTGTATTTAGCAAAAATGTTATTTGATTAATTTCCTTTCCATTTACTGTGTTCTTCCTAAAAATGTATTTTCATGGTACCTGTTGCATCTGATTTCATCTATAGACACTTGTAGGCTGTACAGAAGGTAATATAAACTCCTATCTGAAGGAGTTATTTTTGGGTTAGGGTTACAGGTAATCTTTAGACATAAGAATTTAACTTTAAAAAATACCATATATCCGCCCTAAAAATGCACATATTACAAAAGTTGGTTGCAATACTGTCACCCGTAATTCACAGGTTTTAAGCTGTAAAATGAAGTCAAGTGGCAAATTTAGGATTTGAATTCGACATTGTGTGCTTACTCTAAATTCACATTCCATATGCGTGCCGCATACATGCAATGTGTAAAAAACCGTTGCTGGAATAAAATGTCGTTTTCACTTATCCATCTTATTAACCAATGGCAGAGATAGTGCAGGTCAATATTTGTTTGTGAGCTATTTATTTTAGTGCACAGAAGGGACAGAAACAGCTCTTTGTGGATCCGAAAGGACTTGCATCTTCCAACTAGAGCTCGGTCAAATAGATCTGACATCATATATGATTAAATTTCCAATTTTAAATGTAAAAATGTTGTGACATATTTCTACATAATTTGAACTAGAGACATTTTAAAGGATTTCTTGATAATTACAGGTATAGTCGAGGATTTTCACAATTTTTTTAAAAGACCCTCTACAATAAATAAATAAAAAAATGCACATGCACAATGCTGTACCTGCTCCCAAAAGCGCGACCAGCAGGTTCTATAACAGTTTTTCCCCCGCTGCCATTAGACTGTTAAACTGTTGAAAACTCTAATCAAGTCACAAATCGACACACTGAAAATATCCTACTGGCGCTACATGTTGAATCTTAAAAATAGAACTCAACTCAGTGTTTCTACTGCATTTTGCACCATATCTACTTTTTTTTTTTTGCTCTGCTCTGAACTTTCCACATTAATACCTACAATGTCTGTGTCTTCAGGTACAAGAGTTGGAGTTGTGCAGTTCAGTCATGAAGGAACCTTTGAAGCCATAGGTCTCGATGATGTTTCCATAAACTCCATGTCTTCATTTAAGACGGCGGTGAAGAAACTTCAGTGGATTGCAGGGGGCACTTTTACACCCTCTGCACTCAAGTTTGCCTATGATAGCTTGATCAGAAACAGCAAGAGAGCCCGTGCTAAGGTATCTATAGTGGTGGTTACAGATGGTCGTTTCGACCCTCGGGATGATGACAGTCAGCTCAGGTACCTCTGCAATGACCCTAATGTGGTAGTGAATGCCATTGGGATTGGTGACATGTTTGATAAGAAGCACGACAGTGAGACCCTGTTGTCAATAGCCTGCAATAATAAGAACCGAACTACTGAGATGAAGCAATACACAGACTTGGTGGCTGATAACTTCATTGAGAAGATGGAAACGGTTCTATGTCCTGGTAAGTCTATCAAATTCTACAGTGTTTCCTTCTCCTTTTGGTATTTGTCTGAACTGCAGTTCTTCCCTGTTAAATTTCCAGATCCGATTATCAAGTGTCCAGCTCTTCCCTGTGAAACTGGTGGGTTTTGTTGATGGTAAGGTTATTGGCTTAATCCTGACAAAGTTAACAGAAGTGAGTAATTTTTTGCTCTATCATCCCAGATCTGGATGTAGCTCCTTGTGTTGGACGACCTGTGGATCTGGTGTTCCTGCTTGATGGCTCGGAGCGGCTTGGGATGGAAAACTTTGACCACGCCCTTCAGTTTGTTCAGATGGTGGCAAACACGTTGACAATAGCCAAGACCAGAAGTGACCAAAAAGGGGTTCGCCTGGCACTAATAGAGTTTGGCAAGGAGAGTGAAAACCAAGTGGCCTTTCCCCTTACACACGACCAGAAGGGTATTGCTTCGGGTCTATCAAGTTTACGTTACCTTGACGTTTCATCAGCTGTTGGTCCTGCTGTCTTTAAAACCATCAATGAGATTATGGGCAAAGGAGCCGCACGGAAGACAAGACGTGGTGCCGAGATTTCATTTGTTTTCATCACAGATGGCTTTACTAACATTACCAACCTAGATGAGGCCGCTTCAGCGATGCGCAGGGAACAGATTGTTTCAACTGTGATTGCAACCGGAAGTGATATGGATGAAGACGTCCTCATAAAGTTGGCTATGGGTGACCGGAACGCCATCTTTAAGGGACCGAAATTTTCTGATCTCTTACAACCTAGTTTGTTTAACCAATTTATCAGGTGGGTTTGTTAGCAAGACTGTGCTCATTGTGAACATCATACTGGTGCTACTCTTACTTTGGTATTTTTCAATAGATGATTTAAGTTTAATGCAACCTTGTATCAAAAATCATGATCAGGTCAACTTTGTACTACTTTCACATCAGTCAGATCATTAGAAAATTTGCAAAAACTGAAATATTTGTTGTTTATTAAGATGAAAGAAGCTTATGGTAAGAGCTAACTGGCAAATGCCTATATCATCTAGCCAGATTATTTTTGGTTACTTTTTTTCTGATTACTTTTTTTCTTAATAGGTTAACTTACAATGTAAAATGGTCTACAAATACAAAAGGTTTGAATTTACTTTTAAAGTTAAAAGAAACTCAGCCTCAATACAAAAAAATTATACAATATTAATTTTTTTAAACCCTTTTAAACGCATGCAAACAAACCAAACTCTCAAACACATATTACAGGAAAACTGGATTTGGCTACTCTGTCTGTTAGCACCTAAAATTAAAGACACCGGTTGTAGACCGCATCGTGCTCCCTCTAATCCACAACTTAAAATCCAATATGGTTGCCTTCTTTTTCAAAAACAAGGATGAGGAAAGTAATAGTTCATTTATTTGAGTAGTAAGTTATACAGAGGCTTGAACTCTGTTAAAATGTTTCTAAATTCTTTAAATTTATAAAATATAAGCCTTAAATTTTTGCCTTTAAGTTACAAATCTGAGTTTTTTTATCTTCAAGCAACTGAAACAGATAAAAAGATAGTTGAAGATGTCCAAAGACAGGTTCTTTTAATGAGTTATATGCAGTTACACCTGCAGTCGTCATTTAATATAAATCCTGGTTAGTTTATTGTCCCACAATTTCCACATTGTAGGACAATAAAGGGATTTTCTATTCTATTCTAGTTGGTCCAAGAGGCTGGAAGTGAAGGGGCTCAGAAAGAGGCGACTTTAGAACAAAATTTTTTCCTAATTTAATAGCAATAATGTGATTGCCTATCCAAGGTGTGCCCACCCTTTTGCCAACTGACAACCGAAGATAGGCTCCAGCCCCGGTGTGACGCCAACCCTTATATAAACTGCTATGACATATTTTAAGAGTTGTTTAAAACTGTGTCTAGACTTCTTTCTGAATAGCTAACAGGTTCATTCTGTGGAACAAAAAATCTAGATTTATACCAGTTGAAGATGCTGTGACATATAAAATATATTTAAGATTTCAACAGCCTTTAACTTTTTAAAAGAACGTCACATGAACAACTTTGATATCTGGGTGTGTTATAGTGTATTTTTTTAGATCTGGACTTTAATGTCTTCAGCCATTGGTGTCCCAAAAACGTCAGGTTTAAAGATTTTTTTTTTAAAATCAAAATAGAAAAAAGTTTTAACCCTTTACCTGTTCAAGAATGAACTAAACACACATTGCCATGAAATAAGCAAAGCAATCTAATTTCTGTATCATGTTATGTTTGATTATATCAAGAGACTTGCAGGGTTCCCGGTTTTCACCAAACATCCTACACTATTATTTTTTGTTTCAAGTTTTTAAAAAAAGAGACCAACCATGTCTGCTTTTTTACTTTTTAGTGTTTTAAGTCCTTTTTACTGTTAATTCACATTAAAAGCAAAAATATGGGAAAACAATTGTGTTGCACCCTACATTGTCCATTTTAGGATGACTCTGCCCATACAACTTTGGAAGAGCCTTTTCATCAGTGAGAATTGCACTTTAACATTTTTAAAAGTCTGAGCCGACATCCAAGTTCAGACTTTTGAATTGTGACAAATGGTCGCCCAAATGTTCTGATGGCACCATATGGCCCCTGGACAATACTTTGGACTCACCTGTCCTAGACAAATCAAACAGGGTCATAAAGATTTTAATCTTCTTTTCTGCAATAAATCCAGGGTCTGTTTATGGTTCTACCTTTCCAAGCTTAAACAAAGTATAGGCAGCCTTTCCTTAAGATGTATGTTAAATACGGCTGTGAAAAAATGTTTTCATTAAAGTTGCTGTGGAGTTGGCAGACTTACTGTACCCCTTCTGCTTGTTTCATTTATTAACTTAAAAGTATTTTTAGAGCTTTAAAACAATATATTGTTTTATATTGTTAATATAAAACAAGCTAGTATGTTAGTATATCGTTAATAGTATTTGATAAAAAAAAGTAGGGATTGAGTTTTCTGATGTTTGTTGTCAAACATCCCACATATGAAAAGGCACAAGACAATTACAATACTTCCATGAATGGATTATACCGGTAAGCTTGCAATGAACTGGGCTCAAAATTTTGGCAAAAAAACTTGTTTATTACAATTATAGTGCATTCTACAGTTTGGGTTTGTTCTCACTCAGCTTTTGTTTTAATAGATTTTAATCACAAGAAAAACTACACGCATATTCTCAATTACTGATGTGACTTAATAAACCTGTAAAACAGTGGATGATACAATTTCCAGTGCAATGGACAATAATTCGTACAATTACAGAAATTTTACATTTGAAATTGAACAGCGGGGTTTTGGTCTGAACATTTCTCATGTTCCATTAAAAGTTTATATAAAGTGGTCTACAACTGATTAAAATGCAACCTCTAATGGGGATTTCCAGTGGTGGAAGCAGGACAAAGTACGGGTTAACCGATTTCCTCTGGGTGGGTTCATGGATCAGATTGCTTAGATTTCTGCCAACACTCTTCTTGCTTCCTTTCTTACATCATGTCAAGCTGCACAGGGAGAGAACAAAGAGCAGGATATGAGTCTGAAAATTTTATAATGAGGAGCTAAAAGCTCCAACCAGCAAAGAACATCATAAGAACATTACAAAACACCTCTAACGTGAACATAATTCCCTGTTTATATGTATTATACTAAAGGAGAACACCATCTGCTGTTGGTAGGTACACTTTCACACTCACCAAGTCATCAACATCTCCTGCATCTTCCACCGGTTCAGGAGCTGCTTGTTCTTTCTTTTCCTCAGCCAGGAGAAACTGCAGAGAGTGAAGGCCTTAACTATATGTGCCTTTAAAAAACTTTCAAATCCTTAAAGAGGTCATTATTTTCCTAATTTAACTCAGAAAAAAACAGATATAAGTTTACACCATAGAGTTATTTATGTCTCTCCGATTTATTTAAACGTTGATTACAGCTTAGAGCTCATAAAAAAATCCTCTAATCGGTTTCTTATAAAGTAGAATAGTATTTAAAATAAATGGAAACATGACTTTTAATAGCATTAAGTTCAGTTTAGGCAACTGGACGTGAAGTTTTCTAGAAGACGTCTCTCCTCCCATCCAAGAAGCTTCCTGTTAATGGTGGTTAGGGAGTTCTGATGGGTCGTTAACTCCCTCGTCAGAGTGGTTTTGGTCAAATGCCTAATTGAAGTGTCAGGTGAGGGCAGGTGAGAGGTGAATCTTCTGGGTATTTTTCCTAAAAGTGCTTCATAAGTAAGTGAAAGGTTATCTATAAGACCACCTCCTCTGTTGAGAGATAGTTTTTTCCAGGTTAACAAATATGGCTTCCTTAACCCCTCGCTCAAACAATCTTCCTTCCTTTGCAAGAATATGGACGTTTTTGTCCTCAATATTTATTAGGAAGGAAGTCCAGAATGCCTTTATTGAGCTTTTAGCCTCTGTTCTAATAAATGTATTTTAGTCACACTGACAGGTCTCTCTTTGTACCTTGGTTGGACTTCTAAAAATTATGATTTTTTTTTTTACTTTAGCTGAGATGGACCTACTTATGTGCTGTGGATCCCTATACAGCTACTTAGTCCCAGTTTCTACTCTGGAGCAGAAGTCATAATTCGTAATAGTTTTTTGTTTGTTTTTTATTTGGTCTGCAGAGGTTCTCCTCTTGGATATCTTCCATAGAGGCCATTTTTATCCAGGCTCTTTCATATTGTTGATTTATGAATACTAACATTAACTGATGCGGCCTATTGTGACTTCCTAGATAAATGAGGATGTGCTGGAGTAATTTTGCTAGGCAGCCTACTTTATGTAGTCAGATAGGTTCTGTTTTCTAGCCTATTTGCATTTGAATTAGTACATCATTGAGAAAGTGACTGGGTGGATGTGGCCACAGCATGAATCGCTTTGAGTAGACATTATGACTATATTAATTCAGACAATTTAACAACTTAGCTATGAATTTACAGCCAAAATGGTGTCATTGTTCTTTTATTTTCTTTAAACCATAATCACCAAAATAAAATAAAATAAATACTTCCCATACACTGTGTGTGTTATGAAGTTTCATTTTTTTAGATCCAACTACTAAAACAACTTAAATCATATGCACCTCTATGGTGGTGTATATACATTAAGATCACCTGATTGGCTTCGTTTTTTGACACGGAGCTTCCTTCAACCTCGTCCTTGCTGATCAAAGTCACAGCATCTGCCCAAACAAAGAAGTCAACAAAAAATGAACTCCTTCCCAGACTTTTGCTGCAACTAAAGCGCCGTTCTGCACTCAAATCATGTAAAGGCTTCATCTCGTCCCAGGGGAAGAATAATTTAGTAGAGACCTTGCAGCTTCTTAAAAAGAGGCTTATCGTACCTTGAACAAGCAGGTCCCAGAAGACCTCGAGGGCTCTGCTGGGAATACTCCTTTTCAGGGATTGGAGGTAACTGTTGAACAGATCAGCATTCCCCTGCTGAATTATGGAAGACATAAAACATTCAAATTCCATTTATGGCTCTCGTAAAATTCTTACACGCTTAGAATAACTGGCCTCAGCTCAAATGACAAGAAAAGAAACAGACTCATTTTAATCTCAGAGGAAAGCACATCATCACCATGCATTGCCAAAATTTAGATTTACCTTAACAGACTGCTCTCTAAAAGCCTGGATACAGGTGATGCTTTTCATGTAGTACTGCATGGTCTTGTTGCTAAGCAGCTGCTCTATCCTGTGAGTCAGCTGCTGACAGACTGGAAAGACACAGGGGTCACCACAGCCAGAGAGAGAGCAACATAATGACAGAGGCCGAGCGTGAGTCACTGTGGTTTATAATACACCTATCTCCATCTGACCAGCTCTACTGAAAAAACAAAAGACAGTAAATCTGGGCCTCACCCTCTCCAAACGGAATAGTTTTCTGTTTGATCAGAGCACGGAAGTCCCGCGCTGGATCGACGCTTCCCACCTGGTGGGAGAGGAAGGACATTCATTAAGACACATCTGTTAAAAACATGTTATGGACTGAATCACTTAGGAACAGCTTTTGCTGTTCAAGTTTCAGACAATTTCCACTTTGATCCTTTAATTTCAAAATGCAAAATAATAACGTAAACCATTGGTTTAAAGCAGATATCTCTATAGCGGGAATACATTAAAAATCTCAACCTAAGGGAACACAATAGCATAGAATAGAGTAGAATAGAATAGAAGGAAGGAAGGAAGGATACAAGGCTACAAGCAAGGAAGAATACAAGGAAGGACACAATGAAGGATACAAGGAAGGAAGGACTCAAGGAAGGAAGGAAGGACGCAAGAAAGACTGAGAGGAACGAAGGACACAAAGTGGAATATAAACAGTTTTCCATTCCTATTTTTTTCATTATCCAGAAATGAGAGATCGTGTAATCAAATGCCAAACTTCTCCAAACTGTGTAGGAACTCTGTGTGGTCTGTGGGGATTGTTTTGATGTCAACCAGTTCCTCTGACACGTACAGAAGTAACAGATCCTTCAGCGATGTCTGCCAGGTTATACTCCTCCTCTGCTTCGTCTTCTTTGGCCTTCTTGGCATCTGGCTCCTCAGAGCTATGAATTATAAAGGAGTATATTTACAATCCTTCACACTTCTTGTGATGAGAAAAATAATATGCCTGTTACCCTGTAAAGGTTTCACAGCAGGTCTGCAAAGACCCGACAGAACTCACTCTTTGCCAAAAATCTGAGCACTTGTTTTCAGCTTCTTTTTCTTCTCTACTTCTGTGAGTGGAAACAACTTCTTTATCTCCTCCAGTGGAGCTTGGCAGCGTGCCTTAATGACCTCAGGGCGATCCAGAGCTGCCTCCAGCCATGACTCCATGGGGGGAAGAGGAGAGTCAGGGTGTACAGCCCTGTGGTGCAGACACTAAAATAATAAAATAATTATAAAAGGTGAAACCAGAACTCAATGAGAACAAAAACAGAACAGGATGAATAACGTCAGCCGGGTAAGATTTGATACTCAAATGTAAACGATCCCTAATCCAAACACAACAAATCTGCAATTAGCCAAGAATCTGAAGTTTATTTCTGTTAATAGTGATACTGCTAAACACCATCTGGTATGTTTGTGTTGTTTTCTCAGTATGCTGGTGTGGTGTTGCATATCTGTGTATTTTCATGTTCTGCAGAACAGAACCCTGCAGTAAATCAGCAGTTATGCTGATCCTCTCAAAGCTGATAAAAAAAAAAAAAGAAATTCAGCTTCTTAGAAGATTTTAAAAACTAAAAATATAGAAAAAGAAAAAGTAGACAGCACTGTTGCTTTTGGCAGTGCTGGCAGGCTCTGGAAAATAAATGAGCATCACCATAAAGATCATCGACAGAGTGAAGCTGCTCTTAGGTTTACTGGAGGAAGGCTGCAGTGTCTTTAGCAAGACCCTCAGTTTGTCCTCTCCTTAGTCCAGGTAGAACCTTCTAATGTCGCTTCTGGTTTTCAACAAGCTGCACACAAGAAAGGTGACAGCTGTAGCCTCAGGCTAGCTGTAGCTCTGACTCCATGTCCTGTTAGTCTCCCCTGGACCCTTTTATGCATGAAATCCTTAAAAACTTTGGCTAAGCCTGTTTTTGTGCATCTTTTTCCAACACTTTTTCCTCTTATTTAACATTTAATTTCAAGCAAATTTACAGCAAACTCTCTTCTTTCATAATCGCCTTCCATAAGGATGATATCAATAAATGTATGCTTCTTTAGGTCGTAATAAAATGTGTAATACAATATTTCCCCTTAACCAACATAATTACCAGACATTTATCGCTGAATTAATTTACAGATATGGTTTTCATTTAAATTAAAATGCTGTCAAAAGCTAACTTTTTGAAAGTAATGTAACATAATACGTGTAATATGTCAGGAAAACTGAGACATTGATAAGGTGAAGTATAGTTAAGTTTCAAGATTCACACTTTTCCCAAATGTGTGGTGAACACCTTTGTTTTTAAAGTTTCAGTCTTTTATAAATGTACCTGGAAGTGTCTCTGGAAGGCAGGGTTGGGAAGATGGTGGGGCTTAAACAGATCCCTCACTTCCTGGTTCTCATCTTCTGCTACGAGCATCATGGAGTCGATGAGAGAGTCTACAGCTGCCAGCTGCGTCTCTACAGGAAGAGAAGAACAAGAAAAATAAGGCACTTTTTAATGTGTAACTTAATACATTTAGATTTTAGGTGCTTTTAATAAATGAAAATATTTGTGATTTGGAAACAACGGACACAACAGTCCCACTAATCTCATGACTTTTTAATTTAAAAAACAAAATCTGTTTGAGGGAAAATTTTTAAAAAGGAGTAACAACTTGGTATTAACATAGCAGAATTGTCAATAGTCATCAGGCTTCAAATTACCTCCAGGGACTAAACCTTAGAAATTATGACATTAAAAGAAAACAGGTTTCTGTTTGTCAACATGATCTTCCACAAAGTTTTAGAGATCTGAGCTGGGCCTAAATGTTTTCAGCTTCAGACATAAAGGAGAAAAAAGAAAACTGTCCAACAATATTTGGTCTTTTAATCCATTTTGGAGAAATACCCATTTTTTAAATCATCACATATTCATGACCTTACAATGGTATATATATACACATGCTGCGGTATTTCCTTTGCATCCTTCTGCTGACTGATACCATTCTACAATTAAATATTCTTTTGGTGCAAATAACTGTAAAAATCCTACTGATGCATCTAATTTACAATCAGCTTTTTAATGTTTCTGTGTGCACTGCACCTGATGGAGCGATCTTCTTGTTGTTCTCAAGAGAAGGAAACGTAAACTGTCTTCCATAAAGATCCTCCATGAAGGGCAGCTGGACGTACACCAGGCACTGTAGAGGATAAATGAAATTAAAATCAGACACATGCACTACATAAGGACACTGTGACAGTGTTTCATTTTGGATGCTAAGATAGTGTTAGAAATATTTTATTTATACTCTTACTCCGTTTATGTTACTATGATGTATAATGTGTGATTCATGGCTTATTAACTCTTGCTAAAGATCGTTCCAGATAAAGGTCATGCAACAGACGGGTTGTGAAAGAGGCCTGAACATCCTCTATCATATGTTTCTTCTAAACATGTGTTCTTGGAATGAATTTAACTGTAAAACAACCACATGCTTTGGTTTAACATACATGCTGAGGTTTAAAGTAAGATCATTTGTTTCCCTTTCCCTTAGTACAACCTCAGCTTGTGTAATTAGGGACATCCCCTGACTTCAATAAATAACGAGGAGAAAGCTGAAGACCAGCAGAGTGGGGTGGAGAGCTGTACTGTGTGGTCCCTTCCTACTCTCCTCACGAGTAAAACTAAACTAATTGTCTCTGTGCCTTTTTCTTTCCCTGTATGTATGTATGATGTTTTAGGTGCTTAGACCTGACAGATAGTTTAGTAGATGAGCTTCTGGTTGAAATCAGCTCAGATTACAGAAGAACTATTAATGACCTCAACCATTCTGGTTTATTGTTGCATGAATTTCCTAAAGGCTGTTCCCTATAATGAACTTGCTTTGTTGCAAAATATATGAACCAACCTAAATAGCAAAAAGAAATGCCCTTGAGAAGACAGATTGATGTTTGCAGCAAACAAAGGCTTTCATCTGATGGACATATCATATTTGATTAAGCTAAAAGTGAAGTGTTCGTTCATAGCAGGAACTGTTAGAGGTATAAGAAAGTAGGTGAAGCCTACTATGGAGAAAAAGCTAACCTAACTATGAAGTACAGAGGTGGTGGCATCATGTTTTGTTGATTTTCAGCTGCAGGGGGAACTGGTGCATTTCAAAACAACAGATGATGTGAGGATAGAGTGTTATGTGGAAATATAGATGCAATAAAGACATCACACAGGAAGAACTTCAGCACTGACAGTTATTAGAAGTGGACACCATCTTGGACTGGTTATCACAAAGCCCTGATCTCAGGCAGATTGGGATTTTAAAAGGCAGGTAAGAACAAGGTTTGGACAGGAGGAATGGTCCCAGCACAGTATTCTGAGATGATTATGAAAAGATACTCAAAACTTTTGAGTCATACGGTTTAAAAATTGTTTCTAACAAATGATTAACAAATATGCAAACTTTTCAAGTTTATATCTTTGTTATCCTACATTGAGCAAATAGGAACTGATTTGTTAATCTCAGTTCTTAATGACCTGACCTCATAGTCTGGCTTGATACACGGGAAGGCAGCTCCCACTTGAGGATTGCTGCGCCGGTCATAAGCGTACCGAACAATGGCAACCATGTTGAGCTCATCCAGACCACGGATCAGAGCTGATAAGGCCACACCTGCATGCTGCTCAGAGAGGAAAAAAATAAATAGAAAAATAAAAACCAAAGATCAGTTTGGAGATATAAGTATTCCTCAAACATCAGCTCTGCACATCGCTACCTCATCATCCCGTGCAGGAAATATCTTGACAATCTGTGTGCCCATGAACTGATGCCGAAGAACCTACAGATGGAGACAGCGTAGCGTTACGCCTCAGCTGCTGAGATCAGTCAAAACCCTGATTAAAAAAACAGGATAAACTACCAGGTTCTTTCTGGTGAAGCCAAGAACAGCAAAGCACTTCCCATCATGCTTATACTTCATCTGATCCTGGTCCACTTTGGAGAAAGGTACGATGTCACTTCCGTAACGGAAACCTTCAAACACAAAAAGAGAGGAGCTCTGACTAAAGAGTGCAGGTCTGTCAGATTTAGAGCTAAGAAAGAACAACATGTTAGCGCCTTCTCACCTTGAATAATGTCTTCTTTCTGCACCTCTGTCTCATTGTCGTCATCCAGGCAGTAAACAGTCTCTCGCTTCACATCATCTTTCTCGTTGGTCTGAGCATCGACCGTAATCCACATTTTCTTCAGTTTCTCTTCTGTCACCTGGTGGGAGAAGAGATTTAACAGGGAGGTTTATGTGACTACTAATGAGGAGGAAACATACATACAATGTTACACTGCTTGACGTATTCAGGCTGAAACAAAATAGGTTAACTGGTTGGGTGAAATTAATAAGGCTGAAACAATTAATCAGATTATTAATCGATTACTGAAATAATCGTCAATTAATTTAGGTATCATTTAATCCTTAACTGGAGTATAGAGACTCTAAAACATGCCTTTAGCTGCACAGCAAACCACTAAGAGCAATAATTTTACCAAGATTTTAAAACAAATATATAAACATTTTGTATTTAAGAAAAAAAGAACATTTTCACCTGTCAATATGCTCTATCCAGAATGCCTCAAGTGGAAAAGTTTTAGTTTCACCTGGTTTACTTTTGTAAAAAGTCTTCTTTAAGAATCCTTTGGCTAACTGATTATTACGCGATTAATTTAAAAAGTTATCGACAGATTCATTGATTTGAAAAATAATCGTTAGTTGCAGCCCTAAAAATTTGTAAAACCTTTATTTATTACCTGTATTTATTATTATATCACACACCAAAACAACTCGATGGATTATAATGAAATCAAAGGAAATGTCCTAAAAAGCTTTTTCAGCCATAAAAATCTGGTATCTGGCAAAGTTATCTATGTATAAACCATCTAAATGATCTTTACTTCAACGGAAAGATTTTTTATTTATTGTTTAACAAACAGCTCAAGATCAGTTTTGCTGCATTTGGATATTCATCTTTAATATTCACTCCGATTTTAATTTGTAGTTAGATCATGACTTTGACTGAACCATCCGGACACATGAATGAGCCTTGATCTAAATCGCGTCGCCGTAACTTTGGCTGCATGTTTAGGGCTGTTCTACTGCTTCTCTGCAGCTTTAAAGGCTGTACTTTAAAGGCACACTATGCAACATTTTTCAGTTAATTAATGTGTTCCATAACGTTATGGATGATTAAATGATTCACTTCAGGTTGAACAAAGGTATTCTCGGCCGCCCTGGTGGTCTGTGGGGGAAATACCGCACTTGCAACTGCAGGAGCACCGACCCGCACCCACAGGCTCAGAAGTCTCGTGAGAGTCAGTCTTGCTTTACGGCGAGAACTGCTACACGCCCCCAGTTAAAAGCATTCTCGTTGCTAGCACAGTGGCAATCTTTGTGCAGTTATGCTACGTTCACGCAGCAAAAGCAGCAAAATCGCGTCTGCTGCCTCATTTTTGCTGCTTGTACCAGTTAGTTCTGACACGTGGCTGAAGCAGCTTTGCTGCTCTGGCTGCGCGGTGCAAAAGTGTGTCTGACGTGCTTTGGGCGGAGCTTCACTATCCTTTCTCTGCCTTGCAGCTATATTTGCTGTGATCAGTGGGAATAAAGTAGTTTTAATATGTGTTTAAGTGAGAAAATACACCTGAAAACGTAATCAGTGCCGTCAGTTCATTCAGATTATTATCCTGCCTTCAATATTTTTTCTGTCGGAGCCGCTCAGACCCCCACATACCAGGGATGCGCCGAAAGTAGGGATCCCTTCATCAGCAGCCTCTGGCCGGGTTGCCTCCTCTGGCAGCTGGTAGGTGTTTTTCATCTAAATAATCCAAACTGCATATTCTGCCAGCAGATTTCTGCATTTTAAGTTAATTTAGGCGTCAATAAACTGTTTAAGAGGAGTGATCATAGCCTCTGATCATCAGCGCTGTGTCTCTCTCCCTGCGTCAGATGCTTAGCCCGACGCGCTGCTTCAGCTGCTCAGACGTGCTGCGCCTGCTGCTCAAAACGCGCCGCGGGACCTTTTGCTGCGCCTTGATGCGCGTCAACCATTGACTTTCCATGTAAACTCGCTGCTTCTGTCGCGCCAGCTACGTCCAGTGTGAACGCAGCATTAGTCATTCGCTGCTAAGCTCAAAACAACCGCGCCTGGCTTGACGGAGAAACCAGGAGAACAGCTGTGCATATTTACGACAGTGCACTTTTACTTTCGCCCTCTGGGGGGAGCCTCGCTGGAAAATCAACACCGGTTGCATAGTGTACCTTTAAAACATGAAAAGCCTCCCCATAGCATGATGCTGCCACCACCATCTTTCGCCATGGGTGCAGAGCCATATGTTTGCTGTTCCCCCTTTATGCCTTTGACAAACTGCAAACAAATCATTGGAATATGCTTTTTTTTTTTTTTATTCTACTATGCTTTCTGTTGGTCTATCATTCAAAATCCCATAATATCCAGTGGATTTTGTGGTTGTGTTGTGACAAAAAGAAAATGGAAATAAATAGATGGGAATAAGGGTTTTTATTTTAAGCAAAGCTCATTAATAAACACATACATTAAAGGGAAATCTCTTTGTGCTCAACTTACTGCTTTGTAGCCAACTATGCGGATAGACAGAGAGCTGCCGATGGTGAGCTGACAGGGCCAGGCCATGGGTCTCCTCTCTATGCGCTTAAACATACACAGCTGCTCCACAGCATTCCTAAAGTGAGATCAAAGAAAATGGAAATAAACTGATAAAACATCATCTTCTTCAAGGATCATTTATTTCTAAATGCAAACAGAAATGGGAGGGTTTCAGTGGAGGAGACTATTTACAGAAAAAAAAAAAAAAACACGAGACTCGAGACAGAGTGTTTCATTTGGAAAAAAAAGATCCAGAAACTTAAAAACTATTTAACCTGAATGTGTAAATTTCATCCAGACCCTCCTCCTCATCCAGACTCAGCATGATGTGTTTAACCATTTCCAGCCCGCTGCGCTGTTCCTTGGAGAGACCTTTGCCCCTCCCAGGGTGTCCAGAACCCGGTCCGTCTTCATCTCCTTTACCATCTTCCTCATCCTCCACTTGGAAAGGCAAACTGGAACAAACCAAGTTGGTTACGGGAGAAAAATTATACTTTAACAAGTAAAAAAATTAAAACAAAATAAAAAGCAGCAATCTTATGAGAGAAAGAAAATGCCTCGCTTTAATTAACAAAATGATGTATTACAAAAACTGCAGGGTGATTCCAGACTGTTTCAGGTTGTTAATAATAACATCCAGTTTGTCTGAACTGGCTTCTGTGTTCAGATCAGTCAGGAGGACAATGTTGAGCCGGTCGCACTTCTTCCCTCTTTAAAACAAAGGCACAATCAGTTATTCTTTTTTTTTTTAACCTAATGAGGAACACAAATGGTTACGTCAGTTTTTTCAAGTTTTTCTTTTTGTAGAGTGAGATGCACATTGCTCCTTACTGGGTTTCATTCTGAAGAACATCCATGCAGACAACCAGAGCATCCAGCCCTGTTGAACACGAGTTAAGGAATGCAAACGGTATAAACAGAGAGGTTTAACACCTCGGCGCCAACCTGCATTGATGCTGTTATGTCTGTGAAGCTGGCTGAAATTCAGGTATAAACTTTTTCTCTAATTTGATCAGTGAAAAAATATTTTTTCCTCAATGATTTTTGTTTTCTGATTTAAAACGATTTAATGTATTAAGAAAAAAAAAGAAAAAGAAAAAAAAGCTATCCCACCCTGAGGAGGAGAGGTTATTCCCTGCTAAACATAATAACTGGCTGTGCTAATCCTGGCTGCAACAAGTGATATAAAATGTTTTGAGGAGTCTTTACATCTCTGTGGAGAATCTAATCCAGTGATACTAGAGAGTTATTCCAGGTATAACAAGTCGATTTAAGGTCACAAAATAACAACTTGAGCTAAGTTGGGTCTGGATTTTGACCAGGCTACTTAAAAACAATAGTTTTGTCTATTCTGATCCAAGTTAACCTGATTATGTGCATTGTTTAGCTGGATGTGACCTGATGGTCAGATTAACCATCATTATAATCTGCCAAAGAGCAGAATCCTAGGCGAGCAATGATGGCCCCTTATCTCGTACATGAAAGCAGAGAGGTAGCCCCAGACCTTTACATGACACCCCCATAGTGTTTGTCTGACTGCAGAATAGTTGCCAAATGTCTTTAAAACCCTCAAGATGTTTTTGAATTTCTATGGGGCAGTTATTTTTTCTCAGCACTGTAACCTTCTGAGAAACCCCAGAAGGTTCCAGTAGCCCTATTGCGATTTCCAATAGCAATAGGGCTTACAAATTATCAAAAACATTTTAATCTTTTAAGCTCCATCTTGAACATGTAATCTTTTACAATATTTTCCTGTCAGGCACCGTCGAAACAAAGGATACAGTCAGCCTGTTGATTCTCAGGGTGGATCTGATGTTCAATCTCCTCCAGCAATTCAAAGTCCGGCACCATAAGATGCCGATGCACCTTGATGTTCTGGTACTGCCCATCCTGGCTCAGAGAGTTTTTGGTAGAATCGGTGCCAAACAGAACCAAAGCCAGTTCATCCTTAGTCTCTGCAAAAACCTGCCCAATAAAGACAGATAGGAAGCTTGTTTTAAGGATGCTGAATAAGCAGGTTCAGGTTAACTGACTGTGCTTCTGTACCTGGCGCTGGACAAACTTCTGGATGACTTTCTTAGCCATAGCAAAGGGAGGTTCTTCCCCAGGGGATGAGTTGGACATGGAGAAGCCCACATCCATGCAGAGCACCAGGGCTGACTGCAGAGCAAACAAAGCATGTCTCATTAAAAAGTGTTCATCTTTTTAACAAACCTACTTTTGCAGAATAAGTTTCAATATGAAGTCACTAGAGTGACAATAATAAATGCTGTACTTCCTCTCAATCAGTTAGATATAAACCAGAGCTAACACAAACAGGTTTTTTTTCCAAACAATATCCAAACTTTTTATTTCTCTCAATATTTTTAACTATATTTAGACTTGTTAAAAAAAAATCGAAATCTTATATTTTTACAATAAGCAGGATCTGTGCCGAGAGGCGTGACCATAGACTGAATGGGACATGCCTCAACATGAACAGACTAACACACAAACAAGCAGCTTTAACCTTTACAAACAGCGAAAACAAACAAAAAGTAATTTAAAAAACGTTATTTTAAAACGTGTTCCCTGTAACTACATATTCAACACCAGTTTCGAGAGCATTAAAATGTATTAAAATAAAAATAACTTACCTTTGCTCCTGCCATCCTCCTTGGTTTTTCCCTCTTCTACCGGGGTTGTCACCGTGTTATTACTCCGGACAGAAACAACAGCTGGCTGCTCAGTTCCTAGCTACCGTGTAAATTCTTCCTTTAATGATTTGGACGATTTCACTTTTGTGTTTGGTCGCAAAATATTATACATATACTTAAGGAAACGTGTCATTTTGATTATAATAATAATATTGAACACGTTCGCCCAGTATCGACTGAAAATCCGATGTAAATGAAGCGCCCTCTTGCGTTTCGTGTTCGGGAGTTCACTTTATAAAGGCTTTTAAAAAAATAAACGCAAGTCAGTAAAAGCAGAAAAATAGTAAAAAAAAAGATTATAATAATTTCCTAAGTAAGCATGAAAGCATCAACTTAACGATAAACTGATTCAAAGTGTATTAAGTTCTAAAACATTTATGTTTTCAAATAAAGTGGATCTTTGTTGGATTTTACAATATTAGGAATAAAAAAGTATTTGTGTCCTTATTTTTTTTAGAAAATTCTCTGCAGACATTAAGAAATATTGAGTCACTTTTTTCCATCTGTTAAATTAATAGCTGATTTCCAATTATAGGAAACACTATTTAGTTACGAAATAACCACAATAACCAAATAACCAGCCAACTCTATTAAGAAAATCACTCCTGTTGCAGATTTGTATTAAATTAAAATATGTTAAAGGTTAAGTGAAATGAAATGTCATTCAAGAAGTTATTCAAAATGATAAAAACATGAATTAAACATTATTGCTAAAAAGGTCTACTAAATCATGATACAAAGTAATGTACCTAGACAGATAGGTTTACATTAAAATTCTGGTATTTTAAGACTTAATAATAATGATTTAATAAATGCTTATTTTGTGATTTTGTTTAATTGCAAAGTGAATGTTTTAGGTGGGCAGCAAGGTGGTGCAGTGGAGAGCACTGTTGCCTTTCAGCAATTCTTTCTGCATGGAGTTTGCATGTTGGGGGTGGGTTCTCTCAGGGTACTTTAGCTTCCTCCCACAATCCAAATATGTTATGTTATGTTGTAGGTGTCTCTCTTTGTCTCTGACAGACTGACAGTCTGGCGACCTGTGAAGATTATGTGTAGAAGAAATGTTTTAATATAAAATGTAGGGATGTTACTGTCTGCGATGGACTGGCGAACTGTCCAGGGTGTACCCTGCCTCTCGCCTTTAGACACCTGGAGATAGGCACCAGCACCCCTCGCGACTCTGCTTGGGATAAGCGTGATGGAAAATGGATGGATGGATGAATGGATGTTACTGTATCAGGTGTGTTTTTGGATTAAAACATCTTTGCTCTTTAATCACTGATATTAGTGCATAAAGTAGCCAGACATTGTACTGAGGTATTAGTATTGACACCTCAAAATAATACTATGTAAGGTAAAAGTACAAAGTGAAGAGCAGGAAACCTACATCTAGAAGTAAATGCAGAGGTAACTGAGGTTGTAACTAGTTTCTACCCACCTCCTGTTCTCACACTGGTGCCCTGCAGCAAGAACATTCTGTGTTCATATTGCAGCTGTGTTGTCTATATGTGTGGTGTTTGTAAAACTGTCTTCAGTTATTGTGAAATATTAGCTCATTAAATAAGTTAATAAGAATGATAATGGCCAAAAAGTTCACAAATTCTACATTTTTGGTTTTACCATCGCATCACAGCTACTTCCATTGGAAAACATGGACTTTAGCTTAATTCTTAATTTGTTTTGGGTTTTTTTTTTGCTATTGCTCATTTTCTGTGTATTGATGAATATGGTGTTTTGTTTTGTTTTTTGGTATGGTTGTAATTATCTGAGTTGAATAAGTAGTACTTTATTGATAATGGCTGATTGTTTTGTGTTACTCTACATTACTGCGTAATAAACTGGAGTCCTGTCCAAGGTATAAAACAACCTCTTGCCTTTTGACTGCTTGACTTGGTGCTTCACAAAGATATTCTCACCCCTCAAAAATGTTCTTAGCTGTGCCACACCCACAAACTGCAATGTTTGTCATTCAAATCTAATAAGACAGACCAATATAAAGAGACTTGGATGCAGCTGCTCAACTGAGGAAACCCACTCCATGTGTTGTAGAGGTAATCTGAAAATCACATAAAATTTCATTGTCTGTGAAAAAGCAGGAAGTTGCTGATCTTTGTGCTCTTTTGCACAAACTATTGCTCTTTGGTTAGTATATTTTCTGTTGTTCCCATTTATTTAATCTTTGTTAAAATACCTGTGTCAGTTGACGAAGTTAGTGTAACACTGCTGTGCTAATTGTCTGATCTCAAAATGTGGAGTCACAGGTTATTGCCTTTGTGAATACATGCATCCATCCATTAATTAATCCTTGGATGCTGGTTCCCTTCAACAGCGATCAATAGGCTGGGGAGGTTCCTGATCGATCACATGGTTACATAAAAATATGCGGGACGAGCATAAAAGCAGACAGATGCCGCCTCTTGAGGGCAATTTAGAGTGGGCGCTTTACCCAACATGAAGCCAAACATCAAGTGGGGTAATAGAAGCATCATCTAGCCTAGATTTGAACCCAGGCCTTACAGCTCACTTAACATTACATGAAAACACCGAAAATAAGATCTGATCATAATTTTCTATTTTACAGCTAGAGTAAGGTGTATAGATTCATTTAATGTTCCACAATTAAAAATGTCGTAATGCATCTTTTTTTTTTATTGTTTTGCAATGCGTGGATTATCAACAGTAATGTGGAAAACAGATTCATTCCCAAACCACATACATGTTTTTCTTTGTAAACAAAAACAACACACTCAGATAGAGATCGTTCATAGATAAAGATTCCTAAACACTTCAACAGTCGTCTCACCAACCATTTAAATCACCCGATTCATCTAAAGCGAATTCTTGATTATGTCAGAGTGCCATAGTATAAAACACATACAGTAGCTTCAACATTTGTGAGAGGATAACAGAAATCAATGATGAGGATGAAGGGATGACATAAAGAATAAATATTTAGGAATCTGACCAAATTCCTGACTAGAAAGCTACAAATATTTTAACAAAAAAAAAGCATAATGAGGTTCGGGTGACACAGTTTATTTGATGGAGCTTAAACAGGACGGCAATGTGATAATGAAAGGTAATACTTAGCTCGAACCAGTGACTGATGGGTCTAAAACTAAAAAAAAAAATTTTTTGACCTCCCCAGCCAAAACTAAATTAAAACCTTCCTAATGTTCCAATGTCTAACCCTTTAATAAACAAGTAAAAAATAAATGTATGTTTAAATGGGATTTGTCATGTAGCATCCCTTTTTAAATTGGATTCAAAGTAAGTCTAATAGTCAAGGAATCCTTTGCACTTTTCTTTAATTTAATGGTTGACTGTATGTTTCTTTTAATCCATGAATGCAGCTGAGGTCCACACTAATTAATGTCTATACGTTAAATTCAATGGAAAGAAAACAGAATTGAAAAATACAAATATAATAGCTTGATCTTACAATTGCTTTCGGCTTTATCAGACTAAGTTATCAAATCAAGGGGGGAGTGGTTGGGGCATGGAGCTTGGTTGGCCTGAGGTTGTGAGTTTGAAACCTACTCCCACAGAATGCCACTTAGGCTCCGTAATGCCAGACTGCTACCCAAAGGGATGGCTTAAATGAGTGAATTCCGTTGCACTGTATTTATGACAGTGTAATGACAATAAAAATGCTGGACAAAAATAAATAAATAAATAAAATGGATCGTCAAAACAGTCTTTAAGCATTTAGAATCCAATCCAGTCATGTTCTTGGAAATGTACTTTCTAAAAATGAAGCAAGTTTTACATTTTTAATACTATTAGGAACTCAAGACACCCTCCTCATCTTTTCAAGAATTGAAATTAAGTTCAATATTTCCGATATTTACCTTTCTCTAATAATGCAAAATGATTCAAAATATAAATAGTATTATTTTATATCATTTCATTACATAAATAAACCGGTAAATGTAAAATTACACAGGTGAACCTTCAGCAGACTCTATGCATAGGATGGTTTTGTTATGCTGCAGCAAAAATATTTTAACTGATGAATTAACACAACCTTTAATTAAAGCCATGATGCTAAAAGGATTCTTAGAAAACCAGCAAACACACAGCTGCAGCTTTGTTTTCTTGCTTTCATTCTTTTTTATAGGATTGACGACCAAAGACAAATGATTGCGACACACAATGGATAACCGGTGTTGGAAAATCGCCTCTTTATAAGGCAATGTAGTTTCAGTCGATAATGTGTTAACAGAGTGTTTTGATCTCCAACATCTGAGTCTTTGCAGCAGCTTCACAAACGAATGGAAGCTGCTGTGGAGGTGACTGCTTTTTCTGACACCCTTGCACAGCGATCCCAAATGTCCACTGAAGATACACTATATTGCCAAAAGTATTTGCTCACCTGCCTTGACTCACATATGAGCTTAAGTGACATCCCGTTCCTAATCCATAGGGTTCAATATGACGTCGGTCCACCCTTTGCAGCTAGAACAGCTTCAACTCTTCTGGGAAGGCTGTCCACAAGGTTTAGGAGTGTGTTTATGGGAATTTTTGACCATTCTTCCAGAAGCGCATTTGTGAGGTCGCACACTGATGTTGGACGAGAAGGCCTGGCTCTCAGTCTCCGCTCTAATTCATCCCAAAGGTGTTCTATCGGGTTGAGGTCAGGACTCTGTGCAGGCCAGTCAAGTTCATCCACACCAGACTCTGTCATCCATGTCTTTATGGACCTTGCTTTGTGCACTGGTGCACAGTCATGTTGGAAGAGGAAGGGGCCAGCTCCAAACTGTTCCCACAAAGTTGGGAGCATGGAATTGTCCAAAATGTCTTGGTATGCTGAAGCATTCAGAGTTCCTTTCACTGGAACTAAGGGGCCAAGCCCAGCTCCTGAAAAACAACCTCACACCATAATCCCCCCTCCACCAAACTTTACACTTGGCACAATGCAGTCAGACAAGTACCGTTCTCCTGGCAACCGCCAAACCCAGACCCGTCCATCAGATTGCCAGATGGAGAAGCGCGATTCGTCACTCCAGAGAACGCGTCTCCACTGCTCTAGAGTCCAGTGGCGGCGTGCTTTACACCACCGCATCCGACGCTTTGCATTGCACTTGGTGATGTATGGCTTGGATGCAGCTGCTCGACCATGGAAACCCATTCCATGAAGCTCTCTGCGCACTGTTCTTGAGCTAATCTGAAGGCCACATGAAGTTTGGAGGTCTGTAGTGATTGACTCTGCAGAAAGTTGGCGACCTCTTCGCACTATGCGCGTCAGCATCCGCTGACCCCGCTCCGTCAGTTTACGTGGCCTACCTCTTCGTGGCTGAGTTGCTGTCGTTCCCAAACACTTCCATTTTCTTATAATACAGCTGACAGTTGACTGTGGAATATTTAGGAGCGAGGAAATTTCACGACTGGATTTGTTGCACAGGTGGCATCCTATCACAGTTCCACGCTGGAATTCACTGAGCTCCTGAGAGCGACCCATTCTTTCACAAATGTTTGTAAAAACAGTCTGCATGCCTAGGTGCTTGAATTTATACACCTGTGGCCATGGAAGTGATTGGAACACCTGATTCCAATAATTTGGATGGGTGAGCAAATACTTTTGGCAATATAGTGTATTTACAGAAAAAGGAGAAGCTTGGATGTGATGTACAGTTTTTGGTGTTACTGGATCTCCACAAGCCAAGGCCAAGCTGTAGTGAAAGGTCTCTGAGATCTGTTTAGTAATCCCTGGAAGCTGTTTAGTGACATAACTTGTAAACATAAAAGCTGACCCCTGATCCCCGAATACGCTCATAGTAAATAAGGGTAAAAATTATTCAGCACCTAAAGACAGTTCAGGCAGTGGATACTGAGTTCTACTTTGCAGGAAAGTGTAATAAAATAGTTTTCAAACCTTTTTCACATGATTGTTTTGTCTTTTTTCTTATTTAATAAAAATAATCTTAATAATGGAAATTATTAAATAATGGAAAAGAGGTTAGGAATTTTGCAAAAATTACAATTTTTCAAAAGCCCAAAATAAATCTATTTGAACAAATTCAATTTTTCAGGTGCTTGTTTTGAAACTGAAATAAAAATTTAAGAGGACATCGGCACAAGATGCCGACAGAAACACAAGAAACACAATGCCCTGCAAAAGTGTTCAAATATCTCAAATCTTTTCAAGTTTTGTCAAATAACAACCACAAACATTAATGTGTTTTAACTAATGCTTTGGACAGTATTTTTATATATATATAAATTTGAAAGTATGATAAGCATGTCAATTCTTCACTGTTTACTGCAATAAATAAGATTGTAACCAGAAGCCCTGGTCTGTTCTTGTTTGGCTGTGACAAGAACCTGGAAAGAAATATCAGCTGGGCTGCTGCCAGCAACACCTTTGGTCATAGATAATAGTTTGAACTGTTTTTTTTTAGTGTTTAGTCCAGGCTTCTTTACCAGAAATAAACACCTATGGAGTTAGTTTACCATATCTTTTCATACATAGAAAGTATTTATAGATCAGTGCTTCTGCGCTCCGCTTGTAGTGTATGTCTGCTTCAGTCACACTGAACCTCCAATCAGCCCTAGCATATGGCTGCTCACACTGAGCCTGCTTCTGCTGGAGGATTCTTCTTATTTGCCTGTAGTTTTTTTCTCTCCACTGTCGCTACGTGCATGCTCGGTGTGAAGGGCTACTGTTTACTCAATGCAATTAGCTGATTTTAATTTGACAGAAAATGTTTACCGGTCGGTAGGGGTGTGCAAAATAATCGTCATGATGATGCACCGTGATTCTAGTTTTCATGATGTACTGCATCGATTCTTGAGGCCAAGTATCGATTATTAATTTAAAAAAATGAGTAAATAAAATTGCATGAATGGTTGGCGAACATCAGCCAAAAACAAGTGTAATGCAACTTCCATTCCAGTAGATGTCGCTGCTGATGTGTTGATGCACACTGCCTTGTGTCACAAGCATTTCTACTGTGCCGAGTCATTCAAAAACAAAACATGGAGGAGAAAATATTGCAATGCATCGCAATAATTCAAGTATCGTGATGCATCGTGATAGAATCGCATCGTGGCCTGTGAATCGTGATTCGAATCTAATCGTGACTCCTTTGGCAATACCCACCCCTACCAGTCGGATCTGATTTAATAATCTCTGGAAAGTGCCTTTAGATGACAGGTGTTGTGGATTGGCGCTATATAAAAAAAAGACAAACAGTATGAAGGTCAAGGGACATTGGTAAAAAAAAGCTCAGAATCATAAAGCAGGTCTAGATTATAAAACACCCAAACCTTGAGCACCTTGTAGAACACTGTCTGGTTCATTACTTGAGCAGGGAAATAGTACAGTAGAAAACCTAGAGAAGAATGTTAACTCTGAAGAAATTGCTTCTCAAGATGTGCAAAACCTGTCAAGATATACTAAAACTTGTCTGCATCTTTAAGTGCATAAAGGTACTCATATGTTGATTTATCACATATGACACCAACAGAATACATTGAAGCTTGTGGTTGCAACCTGACAAAGTGTGAAAAGACCCAATGAATATCATTACCAGGCACTATGTGCCATGAAATCAACATCCGCTTCTTCAAACTGATGATGTCTGAGCGATTTCACTGGGCGCCTTGCTCTGCAGAGTCCCAGAAACCGTGTCTGAGTCTAGTAGCTCCACAATGCTGTAAGGTGAGCAGTCCTCCAGCCCCAACTTCCCACAAGCCCAGCCACAAAAGCCTTTCTCCAGGTCTCGCACCACCTGCCACCACTCACTGAAGGCCCAGGACACCTGCACCACGGCTGAGTACAGAGCCAGAGACAGCGCCACTGGCATAATGAGCACAGGGTAGAAGATGATGAGAAAGGGGCAAATGGTAATCTTGTGCCAGAACGTCCGCTCCTCGTTGTACACTAGGAAGACATTGTACCAGGTGAGCGTGCCGTAGTAGAAGGAGGTGATGAAGGAAAGGAGAAAAACCACAGGAGCGCAGGAGATGGTCCACAGCACCACGTGGGGTCCCTGGCACACTCCTAAGGTACAGTTGCGTTTGGACCCTTCTCCGGCCTCGCACTCTGCATTGAGACGCTCCTTGGACTTGGCCAGATCTCTGATTTCCCTCTCTGTCAAAGTCACATGTATATCTACCACCTGACCCTTCTTCTTTCCTCTTGTGATAGTGCCAGTAAGCGTGACATACCGGCTGTCTGGAGGCAGGTTCCAGTCTCCTCCTGTTCAGAGATTAAAATGATTAACAACAGTTATTTGATTGATCTTTACGTTAGCACAAGTTAGAAAAAGATAAAAAAGTTAATTTGTTTTATAATAACAAGTAAATTAAGAAATGCTATAAAAAACATTTCAGACAAACAGACTTCATTAAATTAAACATAGAAAAAAAAAGGTTCAGATTGTTGTCTACTCTTATATTTCCAGATTTGTCTCTCAACATTTGGACCACTGTTGCATCTAAAAACAGAGTTACTTTTAGATGTGCATATTGATAAAAACAGATTTTAAATAAAAAATGAAATAGAGAAAAGTATTGCATGTTTAGGACTGAGCTTATTTGTAAGTATAAGGTTGCAGGAAATAAAAACTGTATGGTACAAAAACTGACACCATATATTTTAAATTACCGGTAGCCAAGTTCTCAATATGTTTTAAACATAAACCAAATACAAGACAGTATTTTAAGAGGAAAAAGAACAAAAGGGCCTCGTTATTATTATTTTTATTTAGGTATTTTCACTTATTTTTTCTGTTTATTTATTAATCAAGTTGTGGAGAAAACAGATTCAGAAAGTCATAGATCTCTCCCCAAACACACTTTGCAACTCATTGTTTGGAATCCCAAAGCTTTGGGAAATGTACTCCCTCCTGCTCTGGGAGGGTACCAGCAAAACATTGTTTTAATGTTGATTCTCAGCTCCATCATTGAATTTCTAACATTATATTTGTTCCTTTGCTTATTTCTTCAAATGTATCTTTTATGTTGAAACTAAGGTTAGCAATTTTTCATCAAAAGACTACCCTGGAACTCTTGATTAGGCTGTTTTTATTCCTCCTTTAAGACCAGGAAGAGGCTTAATGCAACCACTTTAATGCCAGTGTTGGACTATATCAATATATTATACATGCACTCATTAGCTTAGAGTTTGAGGGCTCTTAATACTCTCCATCATGGAGCTCTGAGATTCACCACCAGCCTCAGAGCTCTTTCACATTACTGTGTGTTTTATGTCCTGCTGGTTGGCGCTCTGGCATCCCACAGGCTTTAGCATTGGTATTTACTTATTTATAAATGTTTACTTGGTCAGCTTCCTTATTAATTACAAATGTATATTGTCCATAATTGTACTGGTTCCTTTTAGATTCGTTCTGTTGACTTATTTTATTGTCAGAGGCAAAGGTTTGATCTGAGCTGGGAAAGAAGAGTTTTCAGTTTGCTGCTCCTGCATTTTACCTTCTACCTAACGACTGAAATCTGAGGGAGCTGGTCCCATGAGAATTTTTAAAAGACATTTTAAAAGACACAAATGCTGTCACTTTAACATGTATTGCTTTTTAAAAGAATATTTTTAATTATATTGTAAAACCTGCTGTACCTGACGTTTGGTATATGTGTGGATGAATATTACTGACATGTAACCCTGCTGCCGGTCTTGGCCAGGAGGCTATTGAAGAAGAGATTTTTAATCCTAATGAGACTTTTCCTAATTAAATATAGGTTCAAATAATTTTGAAAACACAACGGGGAGTGGAAACTGATTTCTAAGGATTCTTTTCCCAAGTGCAGCTTGATGTCTTACATGTGAATAAACATGTATTATTTCCCTTCAGAAGGAAGAAAAGGTTTTCTTTTGTTGTGCAGTTTTTGTAAAGAAAAATAAAATAATTTACTTATTTCCTGTTAATTAGTAATTGCAAATGTTCTGATAAAAATGGAAACATAACTCTGTCAGTCACTATGGGACAAGAGTTCAGATAAGTGCTTTTCAGTAGGAATTAAATATTACTTTATACACAAAACTTATACTTTATTGGGTTTTTTGTATTTTGTTCTGTTTTATTGTGTAACTTAGCAAAAGTAGATTGCATGTTAACTAGAAATCAAATGTTTAAATTTTTCCACAACAGGATTTTTTGGGTTATATTATGGGGAAAAAAGCGGGTGTATAATTGTAAAAATATTGTTATAAATAATAATGGTGTTATAAAGCAGTAAGTTCTTACTTAACTACTTCATAATTGTATAATCTATTGTGCACCACTGTAAATGGTAAAACAATGAATTACCATGTGGGTGTGGTTCTGTTGTGACCATGGCTTCATTTGAATTAGCCAAATCAGAAGTGTGTCATGATAAGTTCTGTCTGAATATGGCTGGAAGTAAGGAAGGAGGTAGGAAAAGGAAGCAGGAGGCGTCATATAGATAGTTAATTTAGCATAGGGACATTATGACATTCCCATCCACAGCTATAAGGTTTCCCTTTACAGGAGTTAGGAACAGCAGCTATTAGCTGCTATTTACCTAAGCTGGACTCAGCCTGTTTTGTTTTGCAGCTGAAACAGGATGTGAGCTGGGAGGAGAAAGACTTCGATTGATTGACTATGAAGGTGTAGAAATGCAAAGTGATTAAGAGAAAAATATGAGAGGACTTGTGAGCGTATATACATGACAGATTGGCTTTTATTTATTTTCTATTATTGGTAAATGACTGTTATGGTTGTCCACATTATTTTATCTGAAATCGTACCTTAATTGTTTTCTTTTCTCTCCCTGCCATGTGATAGGCTAATTTAAATTGAGAGGGCAGGGCCTAAAGGTATTTATAGGTTGGTGGGTGGATGTAGTCGAGGGATAGGACGTTTGCTATTTTCAAAGGTTTGCTTTCAGTGGATGGACGACAGTCCAATAAAATTAAGGATTTGGTTTGGACTAAACTGTCCAAACCACATTCCAATCTGCATATTGCTCTACAAGTCCTGGGAAAAGCTCTCACCTTCTCCTGTTGGTGTTCCCAGGAACTTGGCTCCTTCCTCCAGGCTCCTTTCCCCTGCCTCCTCCCCGCTCTGCTCCTCTCCTGGTGCTCTCTCCATTTCAGAGCGGTACACGATGATGGACCCTGGACGGGGCTCTTTCTTCTTCCTCCTCTTCCTCCTCATGGATGGTCCCACTTCTCCATCGTTCCCTTGGCTCACCGACACATCTGACCTTAAGGAGACCATCTGCGGGCTGCTCTCCCCTTCAGTGTGGGATTCCTCCACATGGGCCATCCTCTCCTTGAAACCAGTGAACTCTGAATGGCTGGGTACTCTTCTGATGGGATATATGCGAGTTGAGATTACTGAGAGGAAATCCACACACAGACACAAACACAGAGAGGAAGAGAGAGCAGTTAGGGAAAGCTCACTTATTATTTAATCCCTATGAAGGCCTCTTCTGCCACATTTTCTCATAATTATTTCTATTTTCTCTGTGTCCTGCTGCAGACTGCTTACACTCAAGATATTATAGATCTAACACCATCTGGAATGGCAGCGGATGTAGAAAACAAAGCAGGATAGCCTGGATTGGTTGGGGTTGGGGCCGGAGGGGGGTGTTTAGGATAAAAGACATTATTTTTAAAGCGAATTATTATCAGCTTTCCTCCTTAAAGGCAAGTATACATGAAAGAATGAGGTTATAAATCGCAAAGTATGCATAGATTTTTACAGGAGTGGGTAAAATCAACAATGCAACCCTTCATACAGCTGATTCTCCTCCCATTTGAATCCCACCCATGTCCGCTCTTTTGTCTGCACACAGCAGCCGGTGGATATCAGCCAATATCTCTCAATGTTTCCATCGATGTGCGCACTTACCGTTAAACAGACAGAGAAAAACGGCGCCGAGTGAGAAAAAAGCAGCGGATCTTGATAACACATCGCACGAACGCGGCACACAAACACACCCAGCGCTGATTCCCAGCATACAGATGCGCTGCGTAGAATGGCTTCAGGAATAGCACTAATCCCACCCCTCCGCAAAAAACAACTCCAAAATCAGACCAATCCATGCTCTCCCCATGCTCCAGCAGCAACATAATAACTCTCTGTTTGGGGAGAAAAATACATGAATTAGGAGCAAAAATGTCAAACGCTTTGCGCAGAGAGAAAGCGGTAAAACTCTTTGAGAATCCAAAAAGATTTAAGTCAAATGATGCGGTAAAATAAGCATAACAAGGTTGATTTCATTCAAATCAGCCTTGCTTATAAAATACAAAAGTAGCATTTTGTCTTTGCAAATAAAAGAACATCAAATACAGAGTCCATATTTTATTTTTGAAGCAATTATTTTGAGAAAGTTTGTAGCCCGTTATGAGAAATAGTTCTATTTATAATATTTTGATATAGGGTTTCTTTTGTAAAGTTAAGTTGACAAAAATTAGGAACAGTATTTAAGGTTATTTAGCGTTTTTAAAGAGAAAAATAATGGGTTTATTTTTTTTTTTCAAAGTCGTTCCAGACTAAATATTTAGATTGTCAGGTAAAAAATAAATATTTATTATTTTCCAAAAATAAATACTTAGTTTATTAAATCGATATTTAGTTTGTAGCCAAATATTTAGTTTTCAAATCAAATATTTAGTTTGTTAAATGAATATTAAGCTCCAAACTAAATACTTAGTTTGCAAATCAAATATTTAGTTTGTTAAATAAATATTTAGCACCAAACTCAAATTATTATCATTCAAAATAAATATTTATTATTTTACCTAAATAATTATTGTACAAAATAAATACTTAGTTTGGTAAATAAATATTTAGCTTGGAGCAAAATACTTAGTTTGCAAGTCAAATATTTAATTTCTTAGATAAAAATTTAGCTCCAAACGTAATATTCACTAAATATTTACTTTGATAAATAAATATTTAACTTGGTGCCAGCTATTTAATTTGCAAATCAAAGGTTTACTTTGTTAAATTTTGAATCCTTTTTTACTATTTAAAGTGAGATATTTCACTACAGCTTATTCCCAGTGGGCCAAAGATGTCAATTAATCATCAAAATAACGTCAAACTCTGATATCTAATTATCAGAAGTAGGCTAAATCAACTTGACACCAATCTTTTGACATTAATTTGATGTATGTCTCATAATGATTTTTTTGCTAATCATGTTTGTATTTGGGAGGTTTTGGAACAGCTAGTTAGTTATCCGCTAAGGTCCGCTGTGGTTGCCATGGTAACTAAAACCGTTAATTAGACAGCAAACACCTGTTTGTTTCTTTCGACGACCTTTTTGGTATAATAAGACATCGCAAACTATCGGCCTGCATTATTATACAACCGATAGTATCCTGTGTTAAAATAACAACACTGTCATTTCTCAGCTCTAAAGTGTTAACGTCGTTATTTACTTGATTATCCGTTTGCTACCTAACATGGAGGAGCAACATTCCCTCGATAATATAGACAGCCTTGTTTTTCAGTTTGGTAAGTTAGTTTTTTACGACTTTATTGGATTTAAACGTCTTAGAGTTGTTGCGTTGTTGTTGTTGCTGTTGTTTTTTTATCTCAATTTTGCTAACCGGATGGAACCAGTTTGCAACTGACAACTTAACCCTTTAAAGCCTGGACCATGAAATAATTGAGAGAAAATTCAAATTTTTTATTTAGAGCTGTCATTGAACTCTCTGAAAAATGAAAGAAAAGAATATATATATATATACACAGGTGCTGGTCATAAAATTAGAATATCATGAAAAAGTAGATTGATTTCAGTAATTCCATTTAAAAAGTGAAACTTGTATATTATATTCATACATTACATACAAACTCATATATTTCAGAAGTTTATTTTGTTTAATTTTGATGATTACAAATGACAACAAATGAAAATCTCAAATTCATCATATCAGAAAATTAGAATATTACTGAAGACCAATAAAAACAAAGGATTTATAGAAATGTTGGCCAACTGAAAAGTATGAACATGAAAAGTATGAGCATGTACAGCACTCAGTATTTAGTTGGGCCTCCTTTGGCCTGTATTACTGCAGCAATGCGGCGTGGCATGGAGTCGATCAGTCTGTGGCACTGCTCAGGTGTTATGATAGCCCAGGTTGCTCTAATAGTGGCTTTTAGCTCTTCTGAATTGTTGGGTCTGGTGTATTGCATCTTCTTCTTCACAATACCCCATAGATTTTCTATGGGGTTAAGGTCAGGAGAGTTTGCTGGCCAATTAAGAACAGGGATACCATGGTCCTTCAACCAGGTACTGGTAGCTTTGGCACTGTGTGCAGGTGCCAAGTCCTGTTGGAAAATGAAATCTGCATCTCCAAAAAGTTGGTCAGCTGCAGGAAGCATGAAGTGCTCTAAAACTTCCTGGTATGTGGCTGCGTTGACCCTGGACCTCAGAAAACACAATGGACCAACACCAGCAGATGACATGGCACCCCAAACCATCACTGACTGTGGAAACTTTACACTGGACTTCAAGCAACGTGGATGAAGTGCCTCTCTTCTTTTCCTCCAGACTCTGGGACCTTGATTTCCAAAGGAAATGCAAAATTTACTTTCATCAGAGAACATGACTTTGGACCACTCACCAGCAGTCCAGTCCTGTTTCTCTTTAGCCCAGGCAAGACGCTTCTGACGCTGTCTGTGGTTCAAGAGTGGCTTGACACAAGGAATGCGACAGCAGAAACCCATGTCTTTCATACGTCTGTGTGTGGTGGTTCTTGAAGCACTCACTCCAGCTGCAGTCCACTCTTTGTGAATCTCCCCCACATTTTTGAATGGGTTTTGTTTCACAATCCTCTCCAGGGTGCGGTTATCTCTCTTGCTTGTACACTTTTTTCGACCACATCTTTTCCTTCCCTTCGCCTCTCTGTTAATGTGCTTGGACACTGAGCTCTGTGAACAGCCAGCCTCTTTAGCGATGACCTTTTGTGTCTTGCCCTCCTTGTGCAAGGTGTCGATGGTCGTCTTTTGGACAACTGTCAAGTCAGCAGTCTTCCCCATGATTGTGTAGCCTATAGAACTAGACTGAAAGACCATTTAAAGGCTTTTGCAGGTGGTTTGAGTTAATTAGCTGATTAGAGTGTGGCACCAGGGGCCATCAATTTTGAACCTTTTCACAATATTCTAATTTTCTGATATGATGAATTTGAGATTTTCATTTGTTGTCATTTGTAATCATCAAAATTAAACAAAATAAACATCTGAAATATATGAGTTTGTATGTAATGTATGAATATAATATACAAGTTTCACTTTTTAAATGGAATTACTGAAATCAATCTACTTTTTCATGATATTCTAATTTTATGACCAGCACCTGTATATATATATATATATATATAGTATAAGTTATATTAGATCATTTATCTGCATCAATTTTAATACATTAGGCATTTCTCTAGAATATTATATACATTTTCTGTTCACTATATGTGTCTGATTTTGTTAGTCAGGTTTTTTAAGATCAGCAAGATCACACTGATGATGCAGAGGTCTCAAAAACTCATGTATCAAATGCAATACAATTGGTTTTAAAGGGTTAAGAAAGTTTTCTAAATTGTGGACGGCAGTTTTTCAGAAATTACAATGAATTATTATTTAAATGACAACAATAAAATCCTTACTTGACATACATCAAATTGATTTCAAAAGATTGATGTCAAGTTTATTTACCTTTTTTGACTAAATTATAATAATTTGATATCAGTGTTGGATGTCACATTGGTGTTTAATCGAAATATTTTGCTCACAGGAAAGTAATCAAAAACATGTCATTTCTTTTTTTAAGCTGTGAAAGTTCGACAGCTTTCTCAGAAGAAGGATGAAATTCAGCAACAGATTAAAGGTTTGATGGAGTTATGTCACGGATGTCTGTCTGTCTGTCTGTCTGTCTGTCTGTCTGTCTGTCTGTCTGTCTGTCTGTCTGTCTGTCTGTCTGTCTGTCTATCTATCTATCTATCTATCTATCTATCTATTTCTGCTGCCCTACCTTACATTTCAACAGGAGCATATGATATAGTAATATCAGAGTATTAATTAAGATGAATTTATTTGTTCCACTTTCTATTAAAACCTTACAAAGTATCAGCAGTAAATTGTGACTAAAGGCAGTAGTATCTTAGATTTAAACTCCTTTAACCTTTTTTTTTCTTCTCGTGTAAATAAAGTTTATCTTATCTGATCTTTTGGGTCATGTTTCATAACATGGCCATAATTTCAGGCTTTAATCCTATAACCAAGTGTGATCTCTTGAGAAGTATGCAATATGGAGTAGGGGGAAGGCATCCTATATGCTATTCATTCAAATAAGTTTTGGACTGTCATAAACTATTATGTCAACACACTCTCAACTATCTGTATGTTTGGACAAAAACAAACAAAAGACAAACAAAAGTGTTTTTTTCCAACATAGTAGAACACCATAACTCATAAAACTGAGAACAATGAATGAGGGCAAATTAGCGTTTCACAAATTTTTAATCTTAGGGGACTCTGTTAATATTTTGGTAATCAAATGTGTTGATATGAGGAAAAACACAACTGTTAACATTATATTATTGTTTAAATTTTTAGTCAAATAAAGTTTGTTTTAGCTTTATGAACAACAGATGAAAACATGTCAGCATGAGGTTCAATGCGGTCCTCTTGTTAGGTTGTCTTTCACATGAAAGTTTAAAAAAAAAATTCAAAACGCAAACTGTTTAGCGGGAAACTCTGTCTCTAACTTCACCAGACCTGTAACCTCTTTTTAAGGCTGAGTTTTCTCTAGTATTCAGCAGCTTAGCAAGTCAGACCTGCAGCAGGAAAGCGGTGCTTTGTCTTTGGATGCTTCCCTTCTCCAGTTTCTGGCATCTCAAAGTTTCCTGTAATGTCAGAGAGAAGCATTGTACAAGTCTGTTTTTGTAGCAATTTGGTTCAGAAGTTAGCCACCAGGTCCACTTATCCACAAGAGAGCAAACTGCATGCTCTTACACCCATTATTGCAGTCAATATCAGCATGGACATTGGTCCATGTCGAAAATTATTATCATGGTTTATGGCCCAACAGATGTGTAGCATTGTGTTCTGTTGAAATGTATTATGATTATGCTAGATGGTCCCAATTAAATGTAATATTTTGGCTAGAGTGTTTCATTCAGTGGGAGAGTTCAATGATATCCTCACTGAGCAGACCTTCCTCAGACATTATCTTTTGAAATATAGTAAAATAGGTATTGGGTTTTTCTTTTAACAGTGTACAGAACTTGCATTACTGAGAAGAAGTCTCACATTGAAAAGATGAAACAAGATATCAATAATCTAGAAGAGGAAATACAAGTAAAGCAGATCGCTATAAAGTGGAATAAAGAAAAGGCAAAAAGGTACAGCAATGAAGGTCAACCATGATCAGATATTGTTTTAATAATAGTTATAATGTAGTGAGACTTTTTTTTTTATTATGTTTCTGTAATTTATGACACTGCAGCATGAAGACGACCAACAACCTGCTCCTTCAGTATGAACAGACACTGAAAGCAGAACTGGAGAGTAGACAAAAGAGCTACAACCATGACCAGTAGGTTGTTGTATCACTTTATCTATTGCCAATGCATGTAAAGGTACGAAAATTAGTTGTTGATTTGGGCACCGACTAGGGAGGCCTACGAAGAGAGGATTGCAAGCTACATAGAGACACTGCAGTCACACAAAGAAGCCTATTTCCAAAACCCTGCCGCTCAGAAGCTCCTCCTGCTGCAAGCCGAGATTCAGGAAATTGAGAGCAGAATTAGAGACTGTGACGACCACATGATGATGAAACAGAAGGAGCTGGAACATCTTAATGGTAATGGTTATTCTGCTTTGCTCTGGTTCAACTCAAATCTTTACAGCTCTTAAACCAATAATTGTTTCTGAACAGGTCCACCTGTGATGTCTTATTCCTTAGAGAAGCTGCCAGACAGGTTTGGTTTGCAAATTCCCGCAAAAAATAATGATAAAAAAAAATCTTTCAAAGCTTTTTATACTAATTCAGTTATAATCTCTGTGTAGTGTTTTAGACCAACAGCCAATGGCAGAAGAACAACCTGAGCAGCAAAGGGAGGACTGCTCCATTGACATCTCATCTATTGATCTCAACCAAACAGCTGTACTTCATCCATTTCACTTTTTAGAACTGCTAATATAAAGGTAATATAAAGGAGCTTTTGCTCTCTAAAACTATATCAATCCTGAGTGTGCTTTTACAGGGTAGCCCTGAACCTACCAAAGAAGCAACCACAGAGGAGATGAATGAGGAAAACAAAGTCCAGGATTCCATCAGCCACCTTTCTGCCCCTGAGCAGAAAGATAAAGAGCAGATTTCTCATCAGCAGTCAGATGGTAAAAGATGCCCTAAAAATATGAATAAGTTCCAATTCCACATGATTTAGTTTCAAGAAAATCCTTACATATGAACTTTTAATTACATGTTTTTGTTTTTTTCTCAGAGTTAGATCCATCTGAAGAGTTGCACGCTGCGGCAGAAGATCAAGAACTTTCACAAGAGGAACAGGTTTCAGTCTCTTTTTGTTAACTTTTGATCAAGTCACTGTATTATTAGGTTTTAGAAGACTTTTAACCAAGTTAGTTATTAAGTAACTGATTTTTAAAAGGCATAGTTTCCCATATTCATCGTTTCCCCAATATTAATTGCAAAAATTAATGTTGTTGATTGTTGATTGAGATATAAATATTATATATATGTGTATATATATATACGTTGAAAATTACAGGTAAACTGCTACAATAACCCCTCTAAAGTAGGTAAATCAAAGGCAGCTTTGCATCATCATCCCTGCTAATGATGGAGCAGCATTCTAAATTGGCTTCCTTCCACAAAAAATATGCATCTTTTCAGTTTAGTAGAACTTGATATAATGATTTTTGCTCACAAGTCAAGAGGATGTTGAGCTAATGAGAAAGCTGCTGCCACTGTGGCTGTTTTGCAGCTGCAACAACCTGGAAAACTGGGTCTCCTTTTATTGATTTAACTAAAGGGTTGAATTTATGATTTGATGCATGTCTTTGAAGTATAAGCTGCATGTCTTTTGAGGTTTATCTCCAGCACCTTATTTGCAAAGGATCACAAATATATTTATATGGGGAGCAACCATATATATTGACTTTGAATGGGAAAATCTAACATCAATATGTACAACCACCTACCTGAATGCTCTGTATTTAGCTCTATTAATCTTCCTATTAACTATATCCAGCTTTCCTATTCCTACTAAGGTGAATAATCTTAGCATGATGCTGCTACCACATGTTTACCAGTAGGGTTGGTTTGATTAGAGGATACAGGCCAAATAGTGCTGATCTCATATGACCAGAGCACCATCTGCCACATGAGGGGGTGGACTAAAGAGTACTAGCAGAGCAGCTTAAGCAGATTTACAGAAAAATATTTTTTTTTACAGCATCATTCAAGAGGAACATGTAGCTCTATTTGTTTCCTGATTGAGTCTAAGCGATTTAACATTAACAAGAATACATTATTTTAATTTGGGTGTTTTTCTTCACATCCTTTAGCAATTGTGTGTTGTTTTGTGATCCACTCTGTCTAAATATGTTTGTACTCTTTCTGTTACAAGCTGCAGCTTCCCACTTCACCAGTTCTAGAGGCTGTCCCAACAGATGACCTGCAGGGTGAAGCCTCCGATGCCGAGGAACATCAAGGAGTCTACGATTGTCCTCACACTTCTATGGTAGCCAACCTAGAACCTCTCTCTACAAAAGAAACATCCGTTTCCTCAACTCCATTTACATTCAAGTAAGATTTTCCGATTTCTTGGAGGCTTTAAAGCGAGTTGTTAACAGAACCTGAGACCGTTTATCTGTTGTTTTAGCTTCACTCCCACCAGCTCTCCTTGCCAAGGCAGAGCTGATTCCAAATCTCCAGCTTTTGTGCTCAATTTGAACTCCAACGATAGCACCCCAGCATTTCCGGGATTTGGATTTGATATGGGCTCATCCCAAGAGGAGGTAGGGAGTTTGCAAAACATTTTTTTAAATCTTACAGAGATCATTCCTTGGTTTTGAAGTTCACTCTAGATGTCATTGCAGGAGTCATCTTTTGGGTTTTCTGGCTCTTTTTTCAACGAGAAGGTGAGTTTTATACTAAAAAGTTTATAGAACAATCCTACAGCTGGAGCAAATATGCTAAAGGCTGTCAATTTGTTTACAGAAAGCATCAGAATCTAAACCAACAGGCAGTAAGTATATGTTCATATGCTGTTTTCTCTTTATATTACCTTTACAGGTGCATCTCAGTGAATTAGATCATCACAGAAAAGTTCTTTTCAATACTTAATTTTAAAAGCTTAAACCGTTATTTAAATTTACTTTGGCTAGACCATTTGGTTCAGTGTGAATGTTCAATGATATCCTCACTGATCAGACATCTTTTAAAATGAAAATCCAAATTTTATCTAAAAAGAGGATTTCAAACTTAGTCTATTTTCTCTTTAGCCAGGATGTTAATGTCCTAATCCTGCATTTTGCTTTCAAATTGTCTGAATGCAGCCATTATGTTGGTCGCTCATTAGTTCTACCAGCTTTCCTTCAAGAAAACCCTTATTTAAAATACTAAAGATACAACGCTCTAAAAAGCCTGTTTATCTGAGACCTTTTGTTGCTTTTCATCCTTGTAGAGGTTAACAGTCAAGAAATTATCTGAGAAAACAAAATAGTTTGGTTTTACCATCTGGAAACCACAACCATCAGAATATACCAGTGTCTATCAAATTCATGCATGTTTAACCTCCTGAACTATACAGGTAAAACGAAAGAACTTTTCTGACATGCCTCTGTATGTGAACCTGCAGGTAACGAGTTCCTGTTTAACGCAGCGGAGCAAAGTGAAGACTTTCCGTTTGCTTTTACATCAAAAAGTCCTCAGTCACCCAAGGAGAACTCCAAAAAAGATTTTCCCTTCTCATTCAACTTCTAAGAAATATACAAGAAAAACATTCAAATATTTTATTAGGTTTCTGTTTATTTCCTTGTGTTGTTTAGTTGGCAGTGATGTTAGTTCCTGAATCAGATGTTTAATATTAAGGTTTAATTGGGTAAATTACACAAGGTGTATGTAATAACAGATACCTGGATAGACACACCATCATTATCAACTTTAAAAACACCAAAGGTTCATTTGTCTTTAAAGATTTCTCTTAAGGTACAGTAGGTGTGAATTTTACATCATTTATAGTGTAACAAAGTGTTTGTTGATCAGTTAAGAAAGGGCTGTTGATTTGAATTAATACTAGATATATATTGTTTCAGTCACACACACACACACAATATACACATATATCTATAAAAAACAGAAAAATTAACATCTTAAACGGTCCCTTGAGTTGCACAGTCACATGAGTCACATAATATATTCAGATGAAACACAGAAAACTTGTAAAATGTTATTTTTTTTCCAGGAATGACATGTTAAAACATTACCAGGATGATTTCTTTACTGAACGCTCCTGCTTACATGCTTTATGGCTCAGAATTTATGCAGTTTCATTCTGTGGTTTTAAACATAAAAAAAATCCACCTAACAGCATCTACATTCATTTTTTTTTTTTTTTGCATGCACAATTTTTGATAAATATCCTGTAAAACTTTGGTCTGTGGCACCTCTGGCTGTCTGGATTATAGCAGCAATTTGTGTAGGAAAAAAATTGTTCCGAGCACCTTGGAGGAAATACAAAATTTCTCTGTATTAAACGTGTCAGTCAATAAATGAATACTGGTAATCAGTTTTGTTACTTGATGTTTAGCAGTTAGCATGACACTGATTAGTGGTATCAAACATTAGAAAGTCCCATGTTCACTCAAGAGGAAGGTGACTGAGCTTCAGCGGGTAAAGCGTTGACTTTAGAGAAACAGGAACTGGATTCTCAGAGCCGCTGTGCTAAGCCTTAGATAATCTAATTCAACCCACTGTTTACCTGCCTTGTATTTGAGTGGTTTTATCAAGATACGCTGTATCAATTTAGTATTTAAAAACTGCACTAATGTATCTTAAGTATTTTTTTTAGACATGAGATTTTTGCTGCACTGCAACTTTACATACATGGAAGCCACAGAAATTCTGCAGCTATACTGTGATAATGGTACCTAATCTCATGCTATGCTTTACGAAGGCACTGTCTGTAACGACCAACTTACCCAGGCATGCTGAGGGCTTGGCAGAACACATGGCCTTATTTACAGATTTAATCACCCAATTTATTTGAACTCATTTAAATATCTGATCTACTCAGGAATCAAACTTAAGGCCTGAGATGGTGAGCTGATCATTACATGGTAGAAATTATTAATGTGTTCCGTTTGACACAGGAAAAGTGTTGATTTTACAACCTTATGCCCAGTTTTTAAAATATGGTACAGGGACACATTGACATGATTCACATCACAGTGTTGTTTGAATTTCACAGAATTGGCTTAATGTTTTAACTCTTGGATTTATATTAAGTATTTTAAGATAAGCCAACATGTATGGCAGGATAATAAACAGTATGCCAGCAGCTTAGCACAAAAATCTACCAGTATGATAGGAGAAAAGAGTCCTTGTTTCTCTGGTAAAGTTAAGGCAGGTGGGATTCGGATGGAGCAGAATAAAAAAGATAAAAACCCCATGTTGGTGCAGAAAAGGCCATTTTGTTCAGAGGAATTTTATACACCACGCTTTTAGGCACCACAGTTATGAGTGAAAATGGGACGAAGGAGGGAAATGTAAAGGTTAAAAACTGCATACAGAAGCATTTGTCAGGAAGCCTAGTATCCAGCATCGATGCTGATGGAGCGTCGAGTCACATGGTACATCTCTCCAGGGACATATTCCTCGAAATTAGTTTGATACCTCGCCAACATCTTCAGCATCGGCCTCAGATTGAACCACCACTGAATCTTGGGCATCCGGTGCCTTAAAAAAAAATACATAGAAATGGTTAGGCTTAAAATTTTTAAACAAAAACAGCCGGTTTTTTATTTTTCTACTACTTACTCAAAATCGGTGATGGCCTTTAAGTCAGTCACAGGAATGAATGAGACGATCTTCCTGTTCAAGCCGAGCACACACGCTGTGTCCGGGGAGTTGGCGAACACGCGGCCTGGAGTAAGAAATAAAAATAAAAATAAAAAATCACTCTCATTGGCACATATAGCACAAAGCAGTTTCTGTTAATCCAGGGAGACCCTACCTTGTCTGTAGTTTTCAGTCAACCTCTCTGATATCCACTGGATTGCCCTCACACCCAACTTGGTGCCAAAATTCCGATCAAAGGGAGAAGGAGCTCCTCCCTGCAGCAATAACACGCAAGATACAGTTGACCCCAAACCCCATCGTGTCAAATCAACAAATTTAGTTTAACTATTTGGAAAAATACTGAGATACTGTGGAAGATTTGAAAACAAAGTTTATGCACCTTATAGAGATTAAAAAAGGTAAAGATCAACATATTTTCGCTTTGGTTGGTTATAATTCATGGGAGGGATAAGTTGAGAGCATTTTAAAAGTGTTGGGGCCTTTTTCTCCTAGTGGTCTTGTTTATTACATCAGATAAATGTTGTATATAAGGAATATATCCTCCACAATAAAGCCATGGTATTTAATTTTAAATACTATACCTGCTGGAGGTGTCCCAAGACATTAACCCTGCAGTCGAAGACGCCCTTCCCTTCCTCTGAATACAGCCTATAAATAAAATCCGTAGTGTAGTTCTTGTGGCAATACTCGTTCCTGGTTTGAAGATCAACAGAAGTATTAAGTTATTACACATTACACAATCATGTCATTGTATTTCCGAGGTGAATCTAAACTACAAATACTTTAAAAACTTAGTTTGGAAAAAAAGAAAAAACACTAACTCTCAGAGACAACCTGTAAATCACCACTTTCCTTTAGTCTTTAGCAAATATAATAGAAAATAAAGCTAATAAACATGTCATTAATGTACGCATGCCTGCCTACTAATAAACTCAGCCTTTAGAGTGTACCCACTGAGATTCATCACACTGACTGACCACAGGAGGACAACTGTTAATAGAAAACTCAGTGGTTAAATCCCCCTTAATGTTTCTGTAATCACAAAAGATCCAGACCATTATAAAATGAGAACTTTATATTTAACTGAACACCATTTAAAGCAGTTCTTTTCGGTCTAGATAATCAAAGTGATTTCCTTTAAAGGTTTTAAATGTTTCTAGATTTGACAATGTTGGTCTTAACTTTTACTTATGCAAACATTATAAAGAATAACTGAAATAATACATGAAAATCATCTTTATACTGCATAAAGTCTTAAAGGCAACGCAGATGTCTAATGAAGGTTGTAGAAAGTCCTAAATGTAACTTCAGAACCTGGCAGAAATTGAGCATTTTAGTGTATTTAAAAAAACATTTTGCAAAAGTAAAATCTAATGACGAGGAGGCGAGCTAGAAACGGCTCATATGTAAACTAGTCCAGCTTGTGCTGAATCGGCTGCACTGTGCTGAATGCATCACTTGCTGAGGCCAGTAAAACATTCTCAGTCTGGGTTTCTGAAACAAACAGCAATATACTGAAAAACAGGAAACCACAAGATGTTACACACCGTAGTACCAGACCTCTCTGGATGTCCTTCTTCATCTTTTCAGCCAAATGCTCCACATTGGTCTATCGACAGGACACATTGAGAGAAGATACATTAAACTAACAGAAAAAAAAAACTCAGAGAAAAGGGTATTGTTTTCATCTCAGCCTCACCTTGAGGTCATGGATGTTGAACGGCTCTTCAAATATGTAGGCAGCATCTGCACCCACGGCGATAGCAGTTGAGGTTGCCAGGTAACCACAGTATCCGCCCATCGTCTCCACCACAAACACTCGCCTTTTGGTCCCAGAGGCAGACTGCTTGATCTTGTCACATCCCTGAAGAACAAGTTTAAATGAGACAAATTTACTCAAATAACGGTTTCCCAGAGAATAGACTTTCTGTCTTTTAGCCTGTAAATGGTTAAGATGGAACAAAAATACTTAATACAGAAAAAAAAAAAAAAAAAAAAAGAGTAGAAAAATCACAATTTTAAAGCAAGATTGAGTGACATTTATTCAGTAGGGGGGTTTTACATTTTACATTACTCCCAGGTTTAGTGATGTAAAAATCAAACATAGCCCTCCATGTTTTAGAAACTGATAGCAGAGCACTTTGGACCCGCAGATTGAGAAGCCATTGAGTTACTAGTGAAGACAAAGAAACATTCACTGCACTAGATTAAATCCTGTATCAGAGAACTGAAAATATGTCTAATTAGCTAAGTGACAGATCTGTTTGGCTGATTACGACTTTTAGCACAGTTGTAGTCAAAGGCTCCTCAGAATGCAGTAAAGTGGTGCTTAGGTCACACGACTGATCCAGCAGAGTTTTTGAGAAGAGCTGGGTCTGTATGTTGACCTAAAAATCATTCAATACATCCCAATTTAAGCCAATACTTAAGGTCAAAGGTTAAGCAGCAAAACTTTAACCTAAGTGGGGGTGTTTTCCAAACTCAGATACATTTTTATTAGACAAATCAATAGAAGGATCTTTAACCATCCCTCCTTACACATCTAATTAGATTTTCCTTTCTTTTTTGGTTAACTATATGATTAAGATCTGTGTGACAGAGGCGGTAGAAGTATTGCAGATTTAGTGTCTTCTGAACTGTGCGTCTCATTGTCTGTAGAAAGGCACCAGGTGATCTCTCACTTTTCTCTTTACTGTATCAACCAGGCCATCCATTGAAATGTGCAGGCACCTGAAAGCCTCCAAAAAGCCATTTAGTTATCAGAGCATTACAGATCTGTACACTACAGCAGACAGGAAGTACTTTTCCTCACATTCTCTGCTTAGTTCAAACCAGACGCTTGGAAGACTTGTTGATAAAACCTGGGGTGCCATATGGCCAAGTGGTGGAGCAAAAGCTCAGTATTTATCTAATGCTGCCAAAACGCTTACGGTAACTAAACTACAGAAGTTTGCATTTCTGACAGAAGAAGTCTTATTTACGTGTCTGCACTGTTTAATGGTTATAGAAACTTGGTGACTCCTGATCCATGGATTCTCTGCAGCGTGTTGCTAACAAAGAACCTTGGAAGCCTTTCATGGAAAATTAAATGTGTCCCAATTAAGTAAAATGTTGAATTACTTGACTTTATTTACTTTAAAGGGATTGGTAGAGGTGTTTCCCCACAGATTAATATATCAAATAATTTTTTTTTGTGTGAGATTATGCCACTGCAAAAAAAGATTAACTTAATTCAAGGCTTTCAATGACTCTACCAATAAACGTGAGGAGTTTAAAGTCTAATCTATCTGCCTATAATCTGTGTGATTCAGTAGGAAGGTGAACCTTTAGCTGATCAGTCTTGGCTCAGACGTACCTCCATGGCAGCGTTAACAGCAGTGTCCGCTCCCAGACTGAAGTCCGTTCCAGGGACGTTGTTGCTGATGGTGGCCGGTACGACACACATGGGGATGCAGAGCTCATCGTAGTGGCTCCGGGCTTCATACAGCTGCAGCACACCTTCATATCCCTTTGAATTCAACAACCAATTTGTAACTCTGAAGTCTTTAACATATAATATTCACAGATGCAAAAAGGAGTCTTTAGTACAATACCTCAAACCCTCCGATTACAAGCAGGGCTGTGATGCTGTACTTGTTGATATTCTCTATAATTTTTTCCATACATGTAGCAGGAAGAGTTCTGAGAAAGGCATACAAATAAAAACAGAAAGGAAATAAATATTACCTGAAGTCTGTAGTTTGCCCAATAATATATTCAAATCTTAGACAATGAGACAGAAAGTAGCATTTCTCTTTTACCGCTTTGTCCCCAGGAGTGAACCTCCTTGGCCCGTCCATCCAGCCACATTGTGCCATTTCATTTCAAATATCTGTAGGACAACAGTTTGTTTGAAATTATCTGCAACTGTTCAAATTTAGCCAAAACAAACAAACAAAAATAATAAAAGACATCCTCACTGATCCATTGGCGAGTCCTTCAAAGCCATCATGGACACCATAGACCTTGTGTCCATGAGCAAGAGCAACTCTCACAGCTGACCTGACTGCTGCGTTCATGCCTCCAGCTGGAGCTCCGACGTTCAGGATGGCCACAGCGTAGTTACTCTGAGCCAAGAGAGGCCGTGTCAGACAGACATTATGATCAGAGACGGTTTCCATATTCAAAGATAAACAACCATGAGTTAAAGCTACAGTGTGACGAACTAACCTCAGCAGTGACAGGCTTTGGGAAGGCCAGCAGCTTATAGATGTTCCAGTTGTTCTCAAAACTCCTACAGAAACAGAAGTCAGATTATATTAAGGCCCGGCTACTGTCCAACCAGACACAGCCGTACTGAGATCATTTGGTTGGAGAAGAGAGATTAACTAAGTTATGGCTTAGATTCCACCTTCCTGCCCTGAAATATGCAGATGTGCCCTTTGACAAGGAACTTAACCCCCAGTTACTAACTACTCTGTTCTGATTTATTAATTTGACTTTTAGTGCCACATGAAATTCAAATTGTTTCTGGAAAGAGAACATTGAACTACTGAGAAACAGTGAAGAAAAAAAGTGAAACCTAAGAACAAAAAAAAGTTTTGAAAAAAAATAAAGTTTGAATCTGAAAAGTATTTTTTGCTTAAAAAAAATAAATAAAAAATTTTTTTAGGTAATTTTTTTTTTTCTTTTCACTAAACTTTTTATTTCCAAGAATATATTTTTTTTCTTTTGAAAATGTTTATTCCAGGACCAAGCATACTTATTTTCCCAGAGAAATTTTATTTTTCCAACAAACTTCTTTTTATTTTAATATTTTTGTTTTGTTTTTGAGAAACATTATGGCCCCAATTTAGTCCAATTTCAGAGCTGGTTATAGGATAGATGTATAAAAGATGTGGTTCTAAAAATCTCCATCTTCAGAAAATACACTTCAAAACATCACTGTGTAATGAATTAAAAGTAATGTAAGACATGTAATTATTAGTCCTTACCCTCCGCGAAGTTTAACAGCTTCATCAAACCTCTTCTCATTCATGGCCTTCTGCACCAACTTGGTCTGCATAAAGTTTAGTTAGAAAACATAAATACAGTGGGGCAAAAAAGTATTTAGTCAGCCACCAATAGTGCAAGTTCTCCCACTCAAAAAGATGAGAGAGGCCGGTAATTTTCATCATAGATATACCTCAACTATGAGAGACAAAATGAGAAAAAAAAATCCAGAAAATCACATTGTCTGATTTTTAAAGAATTTATTTGCAAAATATGGTGGAAAATAAGTATTTGGTCAGTTACAAACAAGCAAGATTCCTGGCTCTCACAGACCTGTAACTTCTTCTGTAAGAGGCTCCTCTGTCCTCCACTCGTTACCTTCCTTAATGGCACCTGTTTGAACCCGTTATCAGTATAAAAGACACCTGTCCACAACCTCAAACAGTCACACTCTAAACTCCACCATGGCCAAAACTAGAGAGCTGTCAAAGGACACCCGAAACAAAATTATAGACCTGCACCAGGCTGGGAAGTCTGAATCTGCAATAGGTAAACAGCTTGGTGTGAAGAAATCAACTGTGGGATCAATTATTAGAAAATGGAAAACATACAAGACCACTGATAATCTTCCTCGATCTGGGGCTCCACGCAAGATCTCACCCCGTGGGGTCAAAATGATCACAAGAATGGTGAGTAAAAATCCCAGAACCACACAGGGGGACCTAGTGAATGACCTGCAGCGAGCTGGGACCAAAGTAACAAAGGCTACCATCAGTAACACACTACGCCGCCAGGGACTCAAATCCTGCAGTGCCAGACGTGTCCCCCTGCTTAAGCCAGTACATGTCAAGGCCCGTCTCAAGTTTGCTAGAGAGCATTTGGATGATCCAGACGATGACTGGGAGAATATCATATGGTCAGATGAAACCAAAATAGAACTTTTTGGTAAAAACTCTACTCGTCGTGTTTGGAGGAGAGAGAATGCTGAGTTGCATCCAAAGAACACCATACCTACAGTGAAGCATGGGGGTGGAAACATCATGCTTTGGGGCTGTTTTTCTGCTAAGGGACCAGGACGACTGATCCGTGTGAAGGAAAGAATGAATGGGGCCATGTATCGTCAAATTTTGAGTGAAAACCTCCTTCCATTAGCAAGGGCATTGAAGATGAAACGTGGCTGGGTCTTTCAGCATGACAATGATCCCAAACACACCGGCCGGGTAACGAAGGAGTGGCTTCGTAAGAAGCATTTCAAGGTCCTGGAGTGCCCTAGCCAGTCTCCAGATCTCAACCCCATAGAAAATCTTTGGAGGGAGTTGAAAGTCCGTGTTGCCCAGCGACAGCCCCAGAACATCACTGCTCTAGAGGAGATCTGCATGGAGGAATGGGCCAAAATACCAGCAACAGTGTGTGAAAACCTTGTGAAGACTTACAGAAAACGTTTGATCTCTGTCATTGCCAACAAAGGGTATATAACAAAGTACTGAGATGAACTTTTGTTATTGACCAAATACTTATTTTCCACCATATTTTGCAAATAAATTCTTTAAAAATCAGACAATGTGATTTTCTGGATTTTTTTTTTCTCATTTTGTCTCTCATAGTTGAGGTATATCTATGATGAAAATTACCGGCCTCTCTCATCTTTTTAAGTGGGAGAACTTGCACTATTAGTGGCTGACTAAATACTTTTTTGCCCCACTGTACATTAAAAATGCTTAGCCCCCCCACTATAGCACATGATTACCATCCATTTTAGTCAATGCCACCAGAGAGAAGACGCTTACCATGTCCACACACTCCATGAGAGGCAGACGGATGGCATGGTTGCCAGAGAGGCCGATGACACAGGGTGGGGTGTCTGAGGTGGCCTCCATCAGGGCAATAACTGCCTCCACACCCAGCTTGGTGCTCTGCATACACACACCCACACAAAGAGGAACACAATCGTTATAAACAGGATGAAAATATAAGATGCCTGAGGATAATTGGATTAAAAGGAGTGAAGATTAGAGTAGACATTATGAAAGTTTCCATTATAATCAGTATATGGATTTTATACAAGTTATTTATATTGTATGAACATTGTTTTTAGGACAAACAGGTCAAATTCACTTTTAATTATATACAGCTCAGTTTGGTCCATATTAACTCAAGATTAAAGTCAGATTTAAATCCAATCAGGAATACAAACGTATCCAAACTGTTTTTACATTCACTTGAACTTTTGTTTAAATAGTGGCCTGAGCAGGGCAGGCAGCGTTCAATGTTGCCCTGATCGTTGCCCCTGTGGTTTCATAAACAGACTGATGTTGTATACACAGTCCTGTCAGGCAAGGCGTTCAGACTTCTATAAATAGGGGAGAACAAACAAAACCTCCAATCTAACCAGCATTTAATAGAAAGCCCTCAGAGATAGGGGCTGAAAAGATGATAATCTACAACCAAAACAATATTTACTTAGTATATTTAACAAAAAAAAAGACAATATTGAATGAGAAATGTATGATGGAACCGGCTTTATCACTTTATCGCCGTGTTAATTTTCTTAATTGTGTTCTTTAGTCTAGAGCTGAATATTTCTTCTAATATCTAAGAGAATACATCAAAGAATATAACATTTTAGTACTCTGTATTATATCTAATACTGTGCAAGGACGAGATAAATTATATTTTTTAAATGTTTTCCACCATTTCATTGGATGCAATTAGAGCCACCATCCCAAAATGTAAGTCCAAATGGACCATGACTCCAAATGACTACCTTTATTTTACGCTGGGGTCCTGCAGAAGCGCTAATAATAATACAAAGGTACAATAAGTGGACTTTGGCTTGTAAAACCAGCACTACCTTCCAAAAGCAATGACTTTTAGGATATATGGTAATGCTGAAACCACATGAATCTGCAGAATGCTTTGCAGAGATGTTTGTTTTATGTTAATGTTTTTGTTGTTTTAATCATTGTATTCTTACTTGAATACAGCTGACTGTAAAGTGCCCTGCTAAAAATTTATAAAAATGTAAGTATCCAAAAAACAGCATGCTCTTCAATGAGTTTAGAAAAAAAAATAGGTTAAGGAAGTGTGCATTGATGCAGAAACAGCAATAATACTCTAAACCAGGGGTCTTTAAAGTTTTTCAGGCCAAGGACCCCCAGGACATTTCACTTAGTGGAAAAAAATTGCAGGGGGGAATATTAAAAAGAAAAAAGAAAAAAACTCTTATCCACCAAATCTTTCGCGACCCCCATGCAGTACCTCCGTGGGCCCCCTAGGGGTCATGGACCCCCAGTTGAAGACCTCCACTCTAAACTGGACATCTGAATTCAAACAAAAGCTTCTATAATCAGCAGAAGAACCTACAGCTCTATGTTAACAATCATAGTGGCATTTTGTTTCTGCATTTAGCCAAACCAAAAGGCCAATATATAAAGGGTAAAAAGGTACATAGGTGTTCAAATTCTAAAAGACAAATTCAACAAATTCAACAGGTTTAAGAAACAAATAAATAAGTTCCGAATGCTGTAATATTACCAAATAAAAAAACACTTTTTTTCAAGTGCCGCTCACCAGGATTCTGTCAAATGCAGACGGAGTTCCTCCTCGCTGAACGTGACCCAGCACAGTCACTCTGGTGTCATAGCCCAACCTCTTCACCACCAGCTTTAAACATATGTACAAATATATCAGTAAATCACCCATTTCATTTTACAATGAAGTACAAAGAAATGTACATGCACTAAGGAACAGTCCTATAGCAGGAGCAGGACTATTAATGTTGAATAGCATGCCCCTTTCTTTCAGAAAGTCATTATCTGAGTTATTCAGTCTGTAAAACAAAGAACTCACATCTTTAAGATAAGCTGAAGAGATCGGTTTTCCATTTGAGTCAATGGCTCCCTCTGCAATAATTATGATGTTGAGTCTTGACCCCTTGTTTCGGCTCTGAAAGAAAAAGAAAAAATATTTTTAAAAAGTCAAAAAGCAGAAGCATGGTGCTTGGATTAACCTTCGGGCATTGTGAGTAAGGGTCCTACGGTGAAATCTGGGTTATTTCTGTGTGTGGATGCCGTACCCTTTCCAGACGAGCACACATGCGGTCCTCCCAGCCCTCCAGCGGAGGAGCCTCTGGAATGAAGAGCCAGTCTGCTCCAGATGCTAAAGCCGACACCAGGGCCAGATACCTTCAGCCAAAACACACCAATTAATACCACTGCATAGAGAAGAACAGAGAATAATCTATGGCTTACTCACCCACAGTGGCGACCCATGACTTCCAGAACAAAGGTGCGCTGGTGGCTGCAGGAGGGAAAAAGTAAAGCAGCATTAAAACATTAAAAAAAAATCAAAACAAAGAAAAACTGCGAGCAAGTCTGGACAAGTTTTGGAAAATACCATCTGCTGAGTTTACATGGCTAGGGGCCCCAAACACAACCGCATTAAGTAATAGTCTTACTGTACCTGGCAGACCTGAAGCTCTATTACGCAGAGAAAAAACGTGTTTTATGATCACATTCTTTTAACATTAAATATATATTTAAAAAAAAAAACATGATTCGTGTTCTTAGGTTGGAAGCTGAATATAGGTAACAGTCTACACTTAAAATAATGAAAAAAAAAACAAAAAACTATTGTTTTAAACATTAAATCTGATGTTTGTGTCTGTTAAGAGGCTGGTCTGTGAAATAGTTGCGCAAACAGCAGGTGATACAATTTCTGGTTCAACTAAAACCGTTAACACTCTTTCTAACTGCCTTTGGTTGCTTCATTTAAATGTGATTAAGTCTAAGTTAGTCACTGATTTCACCATAACTGCTTGGATGAACTACTGTAATTTTCTGACTATTAGCCGCATCTGAATATAAGCCGCAGAAGCTAAATTGCGCGCTTGCAATGTCCGTGTTTCTCGCTGCCGTTCTGTCTCGTACCACTCGCGGTAGAAGTCTGCTTCCGGAGGACCTCCGCATTCCCGGGCACGAGGCTACCATACTTGTGTGTTGAAGGAAATGTGACGTCAACATGGTGGATGGTAAAATCCATAGATTTAGGTATTACCCTAGTGGCCGTTAGCTGTAAAAGTCCATAGATAACCTCATTGTTATATAAGCCGCAAGGTCGAAAAATGGGTGAAAAGTCGTGGCTTATAGTCCGAAAATTACGTTATGTCTGATTCAGAAAACCTATTTACTACCAATGGGAAACAGATCTATATTGTTTTCCTGAATTCAAAATAAACTGAATATTGAAAATGATATATATAGCACAGCAACGGTATCGTATTAAAATATGTACATCCTCTGCACATTTTAGGATCTATCAGATTACCGCGAATAGATCTAACGGTGTTTTTATCTGATAGACAAACAAGGCATCCCATTATTATAAGGTAGAAAACATAAGTTGTTTACATCATAAAACTACTAAGAAAAAGGTGGCATGCAGTACGATCAATTAGCTGCCATGTTTCTTGCAGGATTGATCTGTATTCGGCTCCACCCATCTTCCCATTGATCATCACTAACTTCCTTGTCCCTGGTTAAGAAAACTATCACTAAGCATGATGCCGCCATGACCGTGTTTCGCTGTAGATAGGGCGAGTTTAGGGATCCAAGTTAGTTTACTGTAAGACATAACAAAGAGCATGCAAGTCGAAAGATTCTTGCTTGGAAAGAGTTTGAGCTATGGTTAAAAAAAAAATATTTTTTTAACTGAGTAAAGCAGGTGGAGACAAATGCAAAAGGCGTATTACTGGAAAGTATCTTGATAAAGGTGCTGAAAACGGATGCCTGACAGTTTATTGATAATTAAAAAAAATAAAAAAATAAAAATCCTTGCATCCCTTTTTATCCAGGTCCTAATTACTACAATATTAACTTCCTGATATGTGGGGACATAAAACTGTAATAAACCACATGTAAGCTGTAATAAATCAGAGCTTTTATGCATCACAGTACAGCTGTTTATTGAGTCTGACCTGTTCGCTGTGGTCATGATGGCGTCGACTATCTCCATGATACGATGCAGTGCAGAATCAGCCCCGATGGTCATGTCAGTGCCGCAGAAGTCGTTGTCTATTGATCCCACGAGTCCCACAATGTTCAGGTTGTTGTGCTGCTTCGCCAGCGTGTCTGTGATCCTCCCTGAACATCCAAAGATGTCATTTCCTCTTTAAAACTAATTACACAGCACCGGGGATGGCATGAACACTAGATTGATCAGACATCCTGATTAAAAACAGCAACTTCAGCAGATCCCTGTGAGGAGCTGACCTTTCTGCACGAGCTCATCCAGCAGGCCGCTCCACTCGGAGCGGAAGATATTGGCTCCCGTCAGGCTGCCGTCTCCACCGCACACACACAGGTTGGTGATGCCCTTCTTCACCAGGTTGAAGGCGGCTGCGATGCGGCCCTCGCGCGTCTGGAATGACTTGCAGCGGGCGCTGCCGATTACCGTGCCCCCCTGCAGCACAGACAGAAGTGAAAACCAACCAAAACAAATGATCTGCTGCTAAAACGAAAGGCAGGATCACATCTTTATTTCCTCAGCTATTGTGACAGTGAAAGATTAGCACTGTGAGATCATGAAACGTAAAGGAACGATTATAAATATAATCGTCAAACCAAATTATTGATGAACAGAGACAAAGAACATGCACTCTTCTAATGATGAGTGATAATGATAATAATGAGCTAAGTCTGACTTTCATCCCCTTTGTTTAGGCCGAATTTTAAATAACTTTTGTGTTTCTTAACTAAACAGGAAGGGATCGACCTGCCTGGAACAGCAACAAAAAGTTGCCCATGAGCCACCCATTTTTACATAATGTCTTTTTAATGACGTGCCTGATTGTTTTCCTTTAAATTTAGCTTCAAACTGCCAGCCAGCTGGCTGAAAGAAGGCTACTCAATGGCTACTAGTTTTTTTTCCCCCCATCACTTGCAAAACAGTTTAATGAAACTCTTTGGAACTATTTCCAGTTACAATAGCAACCTACTGGAGCACCACCCATCACTTTTATTGCTCTGTTTTTTTACTAACAGGGTTTTCTATCAGACAAGCTCAGGCTTGTTTTGGAGGCAAGGATTGATGAATTAGCATCTACTGCAGCAAAGGTTAAAAAAAGAAAAAAACCATGAAATCTCAGAAAATATTGCTGCAAAATGTGGCTTCGCTTAGGCTTCATTTTACTGTTTAATTGTAGCAAAATATTTGCTTTTACTATAAACAGCTGTTTTTCAAAACTATTGAATGTGCACAATAAAAACAAGCATGAAGACAAGATGTCAGCAGAACTGCCAGATGATGTCTAGACCCAAACGTACTGCCATCAGAGTGGGCTGAAGATTTCATTGTTTTTTTTTCTAGAGCAAACATTATATACTAATGAAAAAATAAATGTGTCTATTTTTAAATCTGCACCTGATAGATCTAAAGAGGATCTAGTATAGCTAAATTATATGAAGTTTCCTGGTTTTACATAGAAACATCACAGCGTTTGCCTTTTAACCCACCAGCTGGATAATGTTGGTCACACTGTGCCAGTGGGCAAGCTTTATGTTGTCTCCTCCATCCACTAAGCCTTCGTATCCCTGAAATATCACAAGAACATTGCAATCAGTCCCAGCCAAGCCATAAAAGAGGAAGTGACGGCGTGTAGATTCACTCGGGTCGTAAAACTCTTCATTTACCTCATGGATGAGATAGACCTTGGCGCCGACATAAATGCCCATTCTGGTCACAGCTCGGACAGCGGCGTTCATACCTGGGACACATACCGTTAGAATTAAATGACATCCAGCTTCAGTTGATCTGCACACCGCCTTTTGCATCATTGTTTTATTTTTATTTTTTATGTGAAAATCAAACTGTGTGCAGCTGCATTTTACCTCGTTATCAGTTATTGGGCAAAGGTGCCATTTGCCGACAAGATTTGTCCCAGCAGATCATGACACATAAGGCTTACTGAGCATGTTGCAAGTGGGGAGGGGAGAAGTGCTCACATTTAAGCCTTTCACTATTATTACGTAATCGAGTGAGCAAATCTTTGAGTTGGCTGCGATTATTGTGCAGCAAAAAAAACCTCTTGGTTTGTTTATTTTTTTTTTCTTTATCACTGAATTTAGAATAAACATAGGGAAAGCAAGTCTTCTGAGTTGTAACCATATCTATAGCTGCTAAGACAGCCTGTTTGTTTTTAAATCTGCAGTGATTTAGATGATAATCTACAGATTAACATATTAAACATGGAGCTCAGAAAACAGCAAGGAAAAGTAGCATTAAAACGGCTAATTTTACAGACAACAGTTGTTTCAGCCGGTTACAAACAACATGTTTTAAGGCCAATAACATTTAAATTTAATATACAAATAATCAAAATGTACCTCTGTTTAACTTATGTAACAATATGGCTAGTTCTATGGATCTCTACTCAACCAAATGACAATTTTCTGACATTAGACCCAAGGTAACCCAACACCAGAATCTCAAAAACAATCACTGGCCTTACAGGTTCTAGCAGCCATGATGATCTCTCTTCAAGTCATGCCTTAGAGGAAATCTACAGTTTCTTATGAAAAACAACGGCTTGGCATGTAAAGAATCTGTTGATCTTAACAGCAGTATAGCAGGTAGACTGCTGTTAAGCTAAATAAACTACTGCCCAACACCTTCTTAGATGTTCAGGGTAAATATGTAGCAGTGCGTGGATGTGAGTAGGTTTAAACTAATAAAAAATCACAATCATCATAAAAAACTATAAAAATAGTAAGTCAGCTTCAGAATCAGTCATATTTTGAACATAAAACCATTTTAAGAGCTTAATAATAAAACATTTTTGAATTGCGGGAGGAAGCCGGAGTACCCAGAGAGAACCCATGCATGCTCAGGGAGAACATGCAAACTTCATAGAGAAAGACCCCGAGCCGGGAATTGAACCCGGAACCTTCTTGCTGCAAGGCAGCAGTGGTACCCACTGCATCACTAAGTTAGAGTTCAATAATTAAAATCCATGATTCAGCATTAAAAGTGTTTTTTAAGGCTTAAAATGACATTAGATTTGGGATTAGAGACTGAAGCTGATACCAAGCTTTGCATCACAGCAGAAGTAACTGCACTTCTGTTGCTGCATCTGCTCTACATGATTTAATAGAGACATTTAATTCAAAACTAAGAATAAATGTTTTGTTATCATATTTCAACAAGAATAAAAGCAAACAGATAAGATTTCAAAATAAAGGAGTTGAAGCTTGGAACTTGCGGTTATTTCATAGATCTTAGCCTAGTTCATTGCATGGGCTGTCAATCCACACAGGGCCTCTTGGGGGCCTCGCCTTTGGCCCTCTCCATATCCGAACCTCATTAACCTTTTAATATAATGCTATAAACGGCAGGAAATTGACCCACTGTGGACCTTTTGCGACATTTGGCCCAGATTCTAATTGTGAACATAAAAGAATAGACACTTCTCATATCTGTGAAGGTGAAAATGAGCTCCTCCATGTGTAAACAAACCCTGAGGGGGGGGTCAGATCTGCACTGCAACACGGTTTAACATCCACACATTCAGCAAAGGCTGAAATCATCAAACATCTGAAGATCAGGAGCTTTAAGGTCACCTTGTGCATCTCCACCGCTGGTAAGCACCGCTATGGCCCGACCTGCTCCAGTCATCTTCAGCTTCTCAAAGTCCATGGAAGACATGATGACGTCAAGACAGCGGAATGTGGAAAATGGAAATAAAATCCCGTTACTTTAGGGTCGATAAAATAAACGCTGCAGTCCCTGCTCCGTGTTTTCCCAGCTGGTCGCTTCCTTGTTGGCAGCGGGCTCAAACCAAACCCTCGTGTATCCGTGGAGTCCCCCCTCCACCCCCACAGCAGATACACCTCTCCGTGGATTGACTCCGCCCTCATCCACTCAAAGGAGCGTTTCAGGGAGCGTTTATTTTACATTCCAGAACCTCCCGGAATTACCGTTTCACACTATTTGCTGAGATTTCCACGCATACCCGCTGAACCGGGCTGTTTGTTAAAAAAAAAAAAAAAAGGGGGGGGGGGGGGTTACTTAGCAAGTAAACAGTGAATAAAATAAATCGATTTAATCATGCTAATCGTATCAACCGAGTCGTTCATGCAGAAACTGCCACACCCTTTGTAAAAGATAACCATCCTGGTCTTGATTACATTAAGGACATCTATTGAGGTGCGTTTGAGTGCAGCTTCCTGCGACGTGAAAAAGGTGGAGCCTGAAAAAACAGGAAAAAAAAGAAAAGCCTGGTGAAAACGTGACAGAGCAGCAGGGGCTCATGTCAGGAAGATATAGCTGAACTACAAGTTTTTGCTACCCGCGTTAGTTTCACAACGTTTCTGTTTAAATAACACAACTGAGAACAGGAAACTACTTCCACTTCAATGGCAACGGCAATAACTTGTGCAACATCTAATGTGCAATTAGTATTTAATTCCCCATATATATATATATATATATATATACATATATATATGTGTGTGTGTGGACGCACTGTAAATAACGTATGTACCTTTTTGACTACATTTCTCCACTGTGAGATCAATAAAATCAATCAATCAAATCCAGTAGTAAGATGGAGTGTCATTGTATAGGTTTTAACTTTTTTTTTTTTCTTTACTTGAAATCAATCTAAATCCTAATTTAAAACAAGCAAACACCACAAAATGATTATCAAAATATTAATGAAAGGAATAAAACTACATTCCTCCTGGTTTTGTTTAATGTTTGGACAAAAGCCAGGGCTGTTCACCTTAAAGTTTTTTTACGGTCATAGGTGACACACAACACAGATGTTTTTAGACGCAACACATTATAGTGGCCAATATTTCAAATTTACAAATGAGAAATCAATGCAGTTGTGGAATTTATAAGCTATTTTCCTGCTGCTTTCGTATTTTAGACCAATAACGCAAGGGTGTAACTTTGTGATGAAAGTCGGTGGGGACACTCTAAGGGTGGCAGCTGATGGACCTATAGTAACTCCACACAAACAAAAAAATTCCAAAAATGAGCTGAAACGTATTTATTGAATGCTTTCCTATTGTTGAGAACACAAAAGAACCATAATACACTGATATTTATAGGTAGGTAGACATTAATGTATATAAAAAAGGATGAATAACAGCCGATTCTGATGCCAACAGCATATATTATGTCTTCCTAGTATGGAAACTATTTCAGTTTCATTCATCCATTCATCAATCAACCCAGGAAAATGTGGATAAATTGATGGATGTTTTTCCTATCAGCTACATTAGTGAATATCCTCCTTCAAAAGCAGCAAAATCAAATTTAGAAATGTGTCCCATAACATTGCCAAAGTCCAGTTATTGAAATTATTGGTGGGGACATGTCCATACCAGTCCATCAGAAAGTTACGCCTGTGCAATAACCACAGCTGCATTAACAAAACTTACTAGGTCATTTTAATTAATCCTGCTTGGAGATATTGACTAATTTAGCTGTAGAGCTTAAATAGGCATTAACATGACTTGGGGCGTAGCAATTGGCTCCCATTTTAAGAGCCAACACCATCAGTTTGAACAAATGTTTCTGAAGATGTTCTCAATTTAGAACAAAACCACATCGTAGGTGTGTCAGAGCAGCACCTGTTACATTTTTCATTTCTCAGGAGAAAAATAGCCAACATAGCGCTAATTTAAGGGCAGTCTGTGAAATGCTACACTGAAGAAACAGCTGACTCATACTTTTCTTGTCCTCAGTGAGAGTTCCAGCAAACTAATCCAAGTCTTTTTTTCTCCTATTTGTCCTTTTTTGAAGGAGTATGAAGTTTAGCAGCAAAAGCCCTTTATCAGTCAGGCTGTCTGATGAAGTTTAAGTGGAAGCTTGCAATGTAAAATAATAAAAGATCATGTTTTATCTATCATAGCCTATAAGTCTGCCAAATATTGTAGCTTTGTATGGATCATAACAAAGAGCATTTAAAGTCCACATAACTTTCCATGATGCCTGTCCTGAGGGTCTTAAACACGTCAGGAGTGTCAAAGTCTCTCCGATCCTTTTGTCAGCGTTTCCAGAGCTGCAACTGGTGCAAAGCAGCTGTGTAGAAACATATTTGCTCTTTTCCAACGCAGTCATTAGCCCTGCAAGTTCAACCACAGGTCAGACTGTGCAATGTTTAGATGCATTATATATAAAACAAGAGCTGCATTTAAAACTTAAGGTTTGGGGTTAAAGATCATGGCGGTAAAGACAGAAGCTGAGGATTTGACTAAAGAAGGAGAGCTCATTTGGAAATGTTTTCCAGAATTATTCTGCTTCTTTTAGAGGAAAATAGCAGCAACCAACAGTTCATTTGACATGTAGAGATGTTTGATCATGAACAGGAAGCCAAGATTCTTAAGCCAACTCATTTGAGGCAGAAACTTTCCTTTGGCTTGGAAGGGAAGAGCAAGAAAACCACACTTCTCACAATCTTCCAGATCTCCAGCACCCTGGCACATGCTTTCCCAGGGAGGCTGTGGAGTGGGATCCCCCTATAGTTGGAACACATCCCAGTCCCCCTTCTTACAGAGGGGAACCCCCACCCCAGTCTGCTAATCTAGGGGCCCTGTCCCATACCATCACGGGATACTGAAGAGGCATATCAGCGATGACACCCCAAACATATCCTGAGACCCGAGTTAAAGCGGATCTCATCCGCCTCTGAAGCTTTGCAACCATGACGTTTTTTTGAACACCACTTGACTTCAGTTTGGGTGATGAACACGTCTCTTGTTTCTCCACAGAAGGCATGCCATCCTGGTTGAGAGTATTCCTTCCATCCTCTGACAATATCCTCATTAATGTTCAGCAGCTCCCCACCCCCGCTGAAAACAGAGTTAGCAAAGCACCGCTCCCCCCTCCAGAGGAGGTGGACAGTTTGCCAGAATTGCTTTGAGGCCTACTGATAGTATGTCTCCACATGGAGAAGAAAAGTTTCCCAGAAACAAACAAGAAAATCTGAATGTTAAAACATTATTGCATTCAACCAGGAACATCATTGTATTCTATTGGATCTTATGTGCACGAGTAGACAAAAAGTAATTCATGGTTTAAATGATTTTTAATCAATAGAAACCTAAACATTAGGATATGGATCCTCTGTAGATTTCCTGTCTCCTTTATTTAGATACTGCTGAATAAAATCTAGTAAAACTAAATTTCTTCAGGCGGCACCCAATTAGTATGATTTAATCTGTTTATAAATCTACCTGTCGGTTACTGCCAGCATTTATTAAAGATTAATAAACAAACAGCATCATAAAAAACAAGGATTACAGCAAACAGGTTGAGGGAGGAAGCTGGAGGTTTGGTTATGAATAACCTAACTATTGAACATCCATGATTAGATCAGATGAAGATGTAAACAGATCAGCATCTTACAGGCCAGGAAAGGAGAGCATTAATCAGATCTGCAACTCTATTATCACAGCTGTTAGTCACTCTACATATTCAGCATTTAATAAGAAATTCCTTATAACCGTGTATAAGACACAGTTAACTTGCGTAAGAAGGTACCAGAATTTATCTCTTAGGCCAACATGAAAAAAAAAATCTATAGAAGGTCTGGAGGGAAAAAAAAACAATACGTTAAATCCTCCTGAACGCACCATTCCAACATTAAAACCAGAAGATGGTGGCATTGTTCTGTGGGGATGGTTGGAAATGGAATCGATGAAAAAATATAGTGCAATCCTAAAAAAAAAAAAAAAAGAAAAAACTAAAGAGGCAGACTTGAGAAAAGGGAAGAGGTTCAGATACAATCAAGAGCTGTAATGTGAGAGTTTATAGCAAAAGGTATTTTTTGTAAAATGGCCTAATCAAAGTTCAACCCAAAACATACCAGTAAATAAAAATATGAGGAAAGATTCTCATATACAGACACATCTTGGACACCCCTGAACTAACACAGATAACCTAAATTCAATATATTTATAGATTAATGATGGATTAATAATGCAAAATGTGGAACCTATTACTTTTTCCAAGCACTGCATATGCATTCCCTGTTTTTTTTTATGATAAAAAAAAGACATACTATGCTTTTGTTGGTACAGTACATCAGCATTTATTCCATGCAACTTGTTTGCTTTGATTTTATTTTCCTATTGCACTGTACACTGAATAATACAGAAAAAAATTGACAGGATTGGTTGATCATAATGCCATTCAACAGGGAAGAGGGTTGGAAATGAGAGAAAACAAAATAAATAGATGTCTGCTAAACAAAATGAGGCAATAACTGTTACAGAAATTCAGACAAGTATTTCAGATTTTGATTACAAAAGCAAAGAAGGAATCACTGCAGGAGAAGAAAACTAATAGTCTCCCTCCATGTTCCCTCTGGTTCAAACACCCTGCTGTGACAGAGGGGATTCCTAACGACCTACGAGAGGCTGGAAAAAGCTGGAGGAACTAACGATTCTGCTAACTACTTCTTTAATACTTTAAACTACGATGATTAATCTAAAGGATGAATGGTTCATCTGCAGCTGATGCAACCAGATACTGCCCTCTTCCCCACACCCATTCATTGTGCTTCCTTCAAAAGGAGAAACCGTTGGTCATGACATTTCTGAAGCTACCTGAAATTAAAACAATACTACTCCTGATGACTTATTCCAAATAAATTAATTTCAATAATAATGTAGGCCAGCTACAAAGAGGAGAAAAATAAAACAATAAAAAGATCAAAAATTAAGTTAAAACTTCACAACAATCATTCTTCACAGGATGGGCGCCAGAGAAGAAGTGTTATTATCAGCTCGGTCAGATTACACGGGGTTACTTCACATGTACGTAAACAAAAGAGAAGAAGGTAGATGGAGCCTTTTTTTTTTTTAAAGCTCTCGAGCTCATTTCATCAAGATTCATCTTCCTGCAGTAGTGTTCAATACTGATACAAAGATCACCTCCTCCTGTCCGAGCGCTCGGCCTCTCAGCTGTGCAACACAGTAACGAAAGAGGACAAAAAACAAAAAAAGTATCACATTACATTTACATCGGATTATGTACAGGATTAACACTGAGATATATGGTTGGTGAAAACCAAGGGTAGCTTAAAGCTCTGAGGCCTCTGGCTTGTGTTCCTTATGCAGATTCACAACCATCCTCACACACGTCTGATCTGACATCATTTAACGTTCAAGACCATCCCCATTGATGGGATTATTACAAATGGGGAAGGATTTAAAAATAATAATGCTTCGATAAATGCAGTATCTCTTTTTTATTATTATTAAAATGATCAGATGAAAAAAAAGTTGTATTGCTTGGATTATGAGATTTAAAGTAACAGAATAGGAGGAGTTTTCCACCAGAAAAGGTAAAAATAAGCATGTAACCGTCACCATCTAGTGGCAGCTGATATATTGCTGTAGTTCAGCAACACAAAACCTGAGCATCCTACCTCAAAAAGGCAAGTTAGGAATAAAAGAGGAAAGGATCAGTTATAAAATATATTCACTCACTGCTCCCCCTTAATCCCCCTGTCACCATGGTTACATCCAGCCTGCTGGACTTACCCCGCCCCCCACCCTCATTTGTCACCTGAGAGCCAACCTGATGTGCATTATTGCTGTTCAGCTAACAATATTTACGAATGTGTCTAAAAAAAAGTGGAATATCATCAAAAAGACAACTTATTCTAGTCAATTAATTAAAAAAGTGAAACTAGAATCGTTAAACACAGAGGCTGTGTCTGAACAGCCGCCCTACCCCCTATATAGAGCACTATAGAGGGGTTACGCTATGTTACATGAGTGTTCAAATATTTAGTGGATGAAAAAGTAGTGAATATCCATGGCCACCAGACAAGCAGATATATCCCAGAAAGAGTGGGGTTTGTTTTGGAGGTCAGAGAGAACAAAGATGGCGCAGACACCGTGTGGGGAGGCGGAGTCACATGACCAACGGGGGGAGAAAAGTAGTGATCATCTGTCCGAATGGTAAGTTAACTGAGTTCACTATTAAGTCCACTAAATAGTCCCCGCACTATATATAGTGATTGAGGGATTTAGGGGTTAGGGTGGATGTTCAGACACAGCCAGAGTTTCTTATTTTAACAGGGTTTCTGCAAGTTCTAGTAAATTCCACCTAAAACTAAGAGCCTTTCTTAGTGGTGTAAATTCAATACCTATAGGAATAAAGCAAAAAACTGAACAATAAGAAAGTATAAAGCAGAATATAAGAAGCCAGCTGGGTGCAACAGTTTAATCTGACGGCCTTCATGTTTATTGTGAATGAACTAACTCATAAGGTCTTAGTAAGAGAGTAGGACCTTTTAATTAAGAGCAAAAGGAAAGAATATGGATGTATATTCATTCATTTTGATTGACTTTTCATGACTTTTTAATTCTGTGTTGCTGTTTTCCTCTTAATGCTGTGGTTGTTGCTGCTGTGCACCTTTTCTGCCTTAGTTCTTCCTTTCACTTTACCTTCATTTCATATGTTCTCTCTGGGAAGCTTCAGCAGTAACCATGTACAGCTTTGCCTGATAGTGGAGGTTGTGCCATCTCATATCTCATTAAAAATAGAATTATTTCAGAAACTGCTATGAAAACATATTTGAACAGTTTTAGTTTTAAATCCAAATTAATAAAACTGAAAGGATATAGTGACTACAATGCTGATGGACTTTGACTCATTTAGGGGTGTAGAACCTCTTTTTCATGACATTCCTTTTTTACAGAGACGCATCTGTATCATTATGGATCAGCCTAAAAAAAATAACACTGCAAGAAAATGGTAAGTGGTTTGCTTTTCCAAGTTTTAGGAAAAAAAGAAAAGTAATAATTTAAAGAGATACTGCATTTGGATTGCAGCTAAGAAACACCTACAGAACTAAAGGGTTGAACATCAAGGCTTTTCTGTAAGTTTTTGTTTTTCTTCTTTTTCCTCCATGGTCCTTTATATTAATATGTGCCAGTCGAAGAACATTCTTTCACACGATAGTTGGTCCAGTCCAGTTTCACAGTCCTTGAGCGATCCTGAGATGAGACTTGAAACTGCAATGTCTGATGGTTAGGGGGGCTTATTCGCACCAAACAGTGGTTGTGATGTCTGTTTGCTGATGCCGTGTCTTTGTTTTTATCTCTCGGACGAGTCGTCCTCATTGCTGCCTGCTTCTCTGCTTCATGCAGTCCTTGTTAAGCGTTTTGCATCTTGCTAGCATGCTCTAATAGCTTTGAAGAGAACCTGATAATGACACGCCTATCGCCATTTTATTTTCTTTTCTTTTAGGGGTTACCAGTTGCATTTGCAAGGCGAGTTGTTCATGCTGGTGTTGACAGTGTTTCCGTGAGCTCATTGGTCCCTGTTTCGGCCAAAGTCCTGACAAGAAGAAAGCAAAAAGGATGAGGGATACCGGGGTCACTACGCTGTAAACTCAATGAAGAGGTGGCTTTTGTCTTTTTTGTTTTTTTTCAAAGAAAGTACCGACACGGAGATTCTCAGAGCAGCTGTAGCAAGATGAAGGCCTGTAGCGCTGCTGGGAGGTATCAGCCCCTCCACACGTCCTCCTGCTCCTTCATCTAGTGGTAATATCTCACTAAGACACACTAAATGTGTCTGTTGTTTTTGTTTTCTTCTCTGTATGAATCAGAGAATCCTAAATTTCTTTTCAAAACTCAGACAAAAATAAATTAAGAACATAAAACTATCTACATCATCATTCAAAAGGAAATCCCTGCCATGAGTTTGCCTGGATGCAATGACGGGGGTTGACGCTTTGGATGAGGTGGGGGGGGGGGGGGGGGGGGGGGGGGGGGGGGGGGTTACGTTGGACTATAGGGGGAGTTTTGTTCACTATGATGTCCTCTTATTGCTGTGTTTTCTGAGGAGCCCTCTAATTAGGACACGGTGGCCACCAGGCTAAATTAAAAACACAAAAATCGATCCGACGCCCTGCAGGCACTTTCACCACGACGACGGAGCCCCGACTTTGTTGTTTCTGATGGTCGTATCGGAGCACTCTGCCTCTGATGAGTCACAGTCCGAGTCCCCGAACTGCAGCGGGTTCTGCACATAAAATAAGGTAAAAAAAAACAAAGCATGAGTAATGATTCAACACGATGGAAGATATTTGTTCTATGGTTTAAATACTAATTGTTGTTTTTAGTTGAAAACCAAACGTTGTTTTGAATAAATGGTTTGGGTTTTTCTTTACCATCACTGAGTAAAATATAATTATTTGCACTTCAAGCCAGCTATCTTGCTCTTAACTGGTTGTTTTACGTTTCTCTCAGATTCTCTTTTTTTTTTTTGAGGAGTTTTAATTAATTCTTCTTTACGGTTCAAGCAGGTCAGTAGTCTTATGTTCAGCTGCAATAGATTAGCTTCTGTGTTCACGGTCGGCCCGACGCTGCAAATGCTCCTGCTTCTAATCAGCCCTCCACCACAGAAGAAGATAGTTTTAGGTAAGTACCGTAGGTCATGAGCCTTAATGGTTTCAAAGACAAAAGAAGAACAAATGGCCATAAAAATGATTGTGGTTTAGGTAGAAACTACTTTCAAAGCAGTTTCGGATAATTTGGAGTCTTTTTTTTTCAGTTAAGTGCAAAAATAAAGCTACAGCTTCACTGACCTCATAGCTGTGTTCGTCGGAGCACAGTTTCCCCAGTGAGATCTGCGTTTTCACCCTGCGCACAGCGCACTCCTTGTCGGAGAGGCCGTCGGATTGGGTGGAGATGTCGATGGGGATGTCCGGCGTGTGCGACAGCAGCTCGTCCAGGTGCTCCTCCTGACTGGCGCTCAGCTTCTCCAGAGGTCCGCTGTGCGAGTGGTCGCTGGTGTTTCCCTCCTCCCCGTCAGACACAGACAGGTTCTCTGAGCTGAAGGTGGAGTAGGACTGGAAGCTGCTCATACAGCGATGGGGTCTGCAGGCATTCATGGAGAAAAATAACGTTTATTTGAGTTGCTTAGTCTTGCTTCATTCTGGCTTCGTCTTTATTATTAGATGGAAAGGTTAATTTGTATGGATTCATTTAACAACATTGAGATGCGATTAAAAGTCAGTTTGCAAAGTATTTTACCTCTGTCGCCGTGGAAACTCTACTTCGCTGTCCACCTCTCCCTCCTCCTCTTCAGATGACTCATCACCACCCTGAAAAAAAATGGCAGCAATGCCCGTTAATACAGACAGGCACGCTACACACACAGTACCCTAAAGTTAACACACCCCACTACTTCACATTACTACCTTACACTAAGCTGATTGTTAGTTTAAGAGTCTATCAAAAGTATTCATACCTCACAGGTGTTTCTAGATTCTCTGACCTTACAGCTAGAGGTTTGTATTGGATATCAGAGGGACTTTTGAGGGAAAATAAACAACTTTTTATAAAAGAGTGACAAAAGAAAATTCTTAATGGTTCCTGGACATAGATGTCACAACCAGCTCTGCACATCTCCACACAAACATGTTGTGCCTTTAATTCTGTGAAAAGTAGCTTCAGTTCACTTAGATTGGATGAGGAGCGTCTTCAAACAGCAGCCACTGATGCAGGACTGGATTTTAATCATCAGTCGCAGGGATCTAACATATTTCCCCTATTGCACTTTATTTAGTAGAAACACATCCCCACAGCATGACACTGCCAACATCATGTATTACCTTTGAGGTGCCCTATTTAGAGTGATGAACTTAAGTAAGTTTATTTTGGATCAAATCTCAGAGGAAGATTTACTTTCACACGGCTGTAGCGTTCTCTACTAGCATGAAGCAAACTAGTAGGTTTACAATCCTTTTATAGTCTCTTTGAAAACTGTGAACTGAACCAAGAGATGTTCATTGCTTTGGACATAGTTTTACAACCCACTCCTCTCTAAACTTCCCTGCAGCTTTATGACAATGTTTATTCACTATTGTTACCAAACAAACACCTGAGATCCTCACAAATCATTGTTTTATTTCCCAATTATAGACATATTTAATCTGGATTCTGTTCTTAAAATCAGTTTCCTTCTGCTACAGAAAAAACTTGAGGAAAACATGTTAAAATTTGTGATTGTGTTGTCACAACATGGGGGATAGGGGTGTGAACCAGTCGGTAGATTGATTAAGGGACGCTCACCTTTCTGAGGGGTCTGAGGGTGCGGGGCAGAGCAGACGGCAGCGGCTGTTTGGGCTGGGTTAGCTCCTGCTCCTGCAGGGCAGTGTTATTAGTGTCCTCTCCTTTTGAGTGTGCCTCTTTATTAGGAGGTCCCAGACAGGACTGGTTGTGTTCTTGGGTGCTGAGCAGCGAGTAGTGCGGCAGTTCTGGTTGGCTTAGTGTGGGAGGGGTCTCCTGACAGTGCAAGCAGCCGGGAAGAGGGTGGGCCTGGCAGCAGGGGCATAATAAACCAGCACCTGGTATGGGGTTGGAGCTGGTGGAGGAAGTCCGCTGCCGCGTGTCGGCATCCACGGCTGTGGAAATGAGGTCAGGGCTGGAGTCAGAGACGCGGCGCTGCAGGTGGTCGGTCTGAGGGCTGCGGAGGGCGGCAGCGGGGCCGAAGTAGCGCAGATTGTTGGCACAGTTGACAACGGCCTCCTCGCGGCCTTTCAGGGGAAGAAACTGGCCCTCAGGAGGTGGGTGGTGGTGGTGATGGTGGTGATGATGGAATGGTGTCTCCTGCAAAGACTGGGTGTCTTCTGAGGCCCCGGCGATGGACTTCAAGGCGCCGGGGAACTCGTTGTGGCTTCCTTTGCTGTTAGCGCGGCGGTGGCGAGGCTTGCTTCTGTAGCGGGATTTCCCAGGGGGAGTGGAGACTTTGGGGCTGCCTGACAGAGGCGAGGGTGAGGGGAGGGGGTCAATGCTGGGGATGCCGTCAGAGCGCAGCAGGTCCGGCCTATAAGAGACGCATTTAGAAAGACTGCTTTAGTTTATACACGATGCAGCCACATATGAACATCGGTTTCAGACTTTCAATGCTGATTGGAAATTTACAGTCATATTTTACTGAAAAGGCAACCTAACTGGTCTGGAGAGAATAGAAAAAAAGTAAAAAAACAAAAGAAAAGTACTGCCCCATTCAAAATGATTGATAACCCCGGAAAAGATGTGGCCAAAGTAATATAAAGTTTTACTGCAGGACTCTGGATTTTATTTCAAAACCTCCTCATATTTGAAAAGGTAAATGATGCTAGCAATAAAATTAATAATAATAATAATAACAATAATAATAATAATAGCAGTAGAGAAAAAGGCCCACAGCCTTACAGATCAGATCAGATTTACTTGGCAGTGCTTTTCCAATTATTCATCCTTTGATCAAAACCAGGCACATCTAGAATGGTTTTTGCAACAACAACAAAAAAAAAAATAATAATAATAATAAGGAGGGAAAAAAAGCCTTCAAGTATAAGTTAAGTTGAGTAAAAAAGCAAAAAGCAAAACAAAGTTCAGTCTAAAATGATTCATACTCTTTTGAGCATTTTGGGTTTAATATCTTCTAATTTTACCAACAATTTTTTTGGAAGTGGCGACCTAGTGGCTAGATGATAGAGCTTGGCATCCTGAGTTCGAACCCCATTACCACAGACTGCCACTCTGGGTCTCTGAGCAAGACCCTTAACCCCTGATTGCTTCACAGGCGCCCCACGATGGCAGCCCACTGCTGGGTTAAATGCAGAGGTAAATTTCTCAAATGTGAGATCAATAAAGTTCAATTATTCTTATGATTTTTTTTCTGACTGGAACTATTATTCTTGTTTTATTAAAGTCTCGACTTTAATTAGTTCGTAGCAAAAGATTAGTGTGAAGGATCTGAGCTTTTTCAACCTTTAAGATCAGGAGCTCATTACCGGAGCGAGTAGAATCATTTGGGGTCTTAACATGTGACCATTAATATGTGTACATGCTGACATTCAAACTCAATGATCTTTCTGCAGTTATTAAATTACAGTTATTAAATTCCCAAACTGCTGCCTTAGTTAAATGTTCATGTGTTTTTCCCATTAATTTATGGTTTATAGAGCTGTAGGTTTGTTGTTTGTGAACCTCAGGGAAACACTGAACTTAAAATAGCAAAAGGTTAATATTATGATAAGCCTCTTTTCCTCTAAAGACCACCGTATGCCTTAAGATAATAAGTTAAATAAATAAAATTAAATCGGCCTGAGATAAACTGCAATATACCTGCAGTCCAGCAGGTGGTGATAATAAGAACACAGCTGGTTTTAGCCTTTATAGTATAATAACACTTTGCTTACTACCTTTAAAAGACCAGATTTTTTGCTGCTGTTTCAATTGATAAATAATACTAGATGATCAGCTTTAACGTTATGCATTTGATTAATTCCTTACATTAATAAGTTGTCCTGGATCTATAAGATGGAAAAGTTTAAATGTAAATAATTATTTGTATCTTGTCAGTTTTTGCTTTGATGAAATGTGTTGTGAAGGTGAAACCATGAATGCTAGTTTAGCTCAATGAATGAATGATATGGAAGGCAGTCCAAAATAAAGGATGTGATTAAAAAGTTTAAGCTCCATGTTTCTACAAACTATAATGGAAAATACAAGGAAAAGCCCTTAAATAGAAGAAAAAAAGAAAATTAAATTAAAAGAATAAAACCAAATAGTTACAGAGGTTAACTAAAATGACATGTTTGGCTTATTTTGTTTGTCGATGAGTTTATGTGGGTTGTCTCTTGTCAGCATTAAAACCTGTAACTGATTTCTTTGGGTTAACTGTTTTTTGAAAATATAAAATGTTTTTTTTTTGTGTGTGTGTCGAGTATGGTTTAAAAATCATGGTGGATTCAAACAAGACCTTTTAGTGTTCGGCATTCCAGGTTTGTGTGAGATGCTTCCTTTTTTCTTGATGAGCTTCTCCATAGCGTTGGATCTGACGATGGGCCGGACCAGGTGACGTTTGTAGCTGCCCGGATATTTCTTCTCCACTGCCTGTTCTCTTCTAGAGAGACAAAACAAGATTGATTAGTTTCCCCTGAAAACAGATGCCTTACAGGATAAGGATGACGACTGAATGCGGGAACAAAAACGATGAAACTACAGAACAAATATTTAGAGTTGTGCCTGCAAAGCAGCATCACAGGAATGAACTCTACTGCTGAGGAAAGAGGAAACACTGATGTAGTACCAGCCAGTAAAGCCTTATTGTAAGGAAACGACATCAACGTACTTCATCAGTTCCTTCTCTCGGACCTCCAGCTGCAGCATGATGGCACTGAGCTCCATGTAGAGGTTATTGGCTCTCTCCAGCTTCCTCTCATAGTGCTCCCGGATGTCCAGAGCATGCCTGACAGGGCAAAATAATAATAATAATTTAGTATAATATCTATAAACTGGTGTCTCCTGTTTATCTTCTAATTCATGGTCGCCTTTGCTGACAGACCTGAGTTCATCCCTCCTGCGGCGGATCAGCTCTTCGTCCAGCCTGTGGATGCAAGTGCCTTCGCTTTTGATCTTCTCAAAATGCTTCTTCACCTCCTCCCTCCACTCTGCCTGTAACCAAGATGGAGTGAGACACATACAGGTGCTGGTCATAAAATTAGAATATCATGAAAAAGTAGATTGATTTCAGTAATTCCATTTAAAAAGTGAAACTTGTATATTATATTCATACATTACATACAAACTCATATATTTCAGATGTTTATTTTGTTTAATTTTGATGATTACAAATGACAACAAATGAAAATCTCAAATTCATCATATCAGAAAATTAGAATACTGTGAAAAGGTTCAAAATTGATGGCCCCTGGTGCCACACTCTAATCAGCTAATTAACTCAAACCACCTGCAAAAGCCTTTAAATGGTCTTTCAGTCTAGTTCTATAGGCTACACAATCATGGGGAAGACTGCTGACTTGACAGTTGTCCAAAAGACGACCATCGACACCTTGCACAAGGAGGGCAAGACACAAAAGGTCATCGCTAAAGAGGCTGGCTGTTCACAGAGCTCAGTGTCCAAGCACATTAACAGAGAGGCGAAGGGAAGGAAAAGATGTGGTCGAAAAAAGTGTACAAGCAAGAGAGATAACCGCACCCTGGAGAGGATTGTGAAACAAAACCCCTTCAAAAATGTGGGGGAGATTCACAAAGAGTGGACTGCAGCTGGAGTGAGTGCTTCAAGAACCACCACACACAGACGTATGAAAGACATGGGTTTCTGCTGCCGCATTCCTTGTGTCAAGCCACTCTTGAACCACAGACAGCGTCAGAAGCGTCTTGCCTGGGCTAAAGAGAAACAGGACTGGACTGCTGGTGAGTGGTCCAAAGTCATGTTCTCTGATGAAAGTAAATTTTGCATTTCCTTTGGAAATCAAGGTCCCAGAGTCTGGAGGAAAAGAAGAGAGGCACTTCATCCACGTTGCTTGAAGTCCAGTGTAAAGTTTCCACAGTCAGTGATGGTTTGGGGTGCCATGTCATCTGCTGGTGTTGGTCCATTGTGTTTTCTGAGGTCCAGGGTCAACGCAGCCACATACCAGGAAGTTTTAGAGCACTTCATGCTTCCTGCAGCTGACCAACTTTTTGGAGATGCAGATTTCATTTTCCAACAGGACTTGGCACCTGCACACAGTGCCAAAGCTACCAGTACCTGGTTGAAGGACCATGGTATCCCTGTTCTTAATTGGCCAGCAAACTCTCCTGACCTTAACCCCATAGAAAATCTATGGGGTATTGTGAAGAAGAAGATGCAATACACCAGACCCAACAATTCAGAAGAGCTAAAAGCCACTATTAGAGCAACCTGGGCTATCATAACACCTGAGCAGTGCCACAGACTGATCGACTCCATGCCACGCCGCATTGCTGCAGTAATACAGGCCAAAGGAGGCCCAACTAAATACTGAGTGCTGTACATGCTCATACTTTTCATGTTCATACTTTTCAGTTGGCCAACATTTCTATAAATCCTTTGTTTTTATTGGTCTTCAGTAATATTCTAATTTTCTGATATGATGAATTTGAGATTTTCATTTGTTGTCATTTGTAATCATCAAAATTAAACAAAATAAACATCTGAAATATATGAGTTTGTATGTAATGTATGAATATAATATACAAGTTTCACTTTTTAAATGGAATTACTGAAATCAATCTACTTTTTCATGATATTCTAATTTTATGACCAGCACCTGTAGAGTTGAAATAGCTGCAGACAAAACCAAGTCATCCACCATAACAAAGTTGAGAAAAATCCAAACAAAAATAAAGAATGTGTGCAGACAGACCCCATCTATTCCCCAGATGCAGAGTATTCATATTGTAAAAACACTGTACAATACTCTATTTGTTTCTACTTTCCTATCCGTTATTTGTTATACTCTTTTCTAAGACGCACATTGTGTGAGCACTTCTACTATAACCTTTTGCTGCTGTAAACACCACAATTTCCCCATTGTGTGACAATAAAGGCATTTTCTATTCTATTCTTTTCTTGATATCCAAAATTCAGCACAATCACTTATCACCAGATGTTCCCTCGTTACTAAAAAGGTGGAACTTTGTATTATTGGAATAAATGGCATCATGAAGAAGAAGGGGCACATAAGCCAGGTGAGAAATAAGCCTGGAGATTCTTTGAATGTCTCACAGAGCACTTTTTAATTCGTTAATTAAAAACAGGAAGAGAAAGGCACAAATACGAACCTAACAGAAGGGCATCCATTTAAAAAGGAAGACCATCATACCAAACCATTAAATCTGGCCTTAGGAGAAGAGGAGCTACTGTTGACCAACACGCTGTTTTCATCAGCAGGGACAGAATATTGTGTTTATGTGCTCAAATGTTTAGAAATATAAAAAGTATTGCCCAAGGAGGTCTGACGCAAATGGAGATCATGGTTTTCTGATTTCGGTGTGTAATAAATGTGGCTAATTTTCCATACTGTGCTACTTTTTAAATGAAATTTCCTGTATAAAACAAAAGAAGTTTGAAAAAAAACTGAAAATCTTCCAGCAAACAAACATTTTTCCAAGATGCTTGTGAGAGGACAGGTGCATACAGTAATACCAGGTATGCAGGATTCTCGTCTGAAATGCAAACCTGAGATTTGAAGTAGGTCTCCTGAGGAGTTCCCAGCACATCAGAAGAGGCGATGTCGAGATGAAGGAGGATCTGACGAAACGAAGGCCTGTTCCTCGGCTTCCCTTGCCTGGATTTGAGGAGAATGTTGAAGGGGTTCGATTTGTCGCGGAGTAAAACCGCAAGCAGCTGTCAGAGTAAAGTCAACACTCACCATGTTTGCTTCATGAGGATTTTAAATCCGTCTGGGCAGGTAGAAGGGACAGGAAGGTGTAGGCTGTTGCTACCAACGCCCCAAATGATGGCGGACGAGTCCACATCTTTATAGGGAATTTCTCCTGTGAGCAGCTCCCATAACACAACTCCAAATGACCTGCAGAACACATGGTTGGAAACTCAAAAAACTGCAGCATTAGATAAATTACTTTATTAGATGCTATTTTATTCAAAATGAGGAGTGGGTTTCTGCTCACCAGATGTCTACTTTTTCAGACACAGGCTCGTTTCTTATGACTTCTGGGGCCATCCACGCCACCGTACCCGCAAATGACATCTTTGTACTTTTATCGCTGAGCTCCTTGGACGTTCCAAAGTCAGAAATTTTCACAGTGTCGTTGTGGGTCACTAAAACACTGAAACACAGAAGGAGCAGAATTATTAGCAGAATTAGCTGGGTTTTTTTTGTTAACGATACAGTTTGTTAATAAAGCTTCTTCTCTCGCTGAATTTAAAGAACCGTATCTTGTTTTTTTGTGGTATACTGAAGTGTTTTCTTGTGAAAAGCATTCCTGAATCATCCCATTAGCTAAATGAGACTGACCTTTTTACAGAGCTTTCAGCCAGCCATCATTCTGCTGACTAATACAGTGTTTTCTGCTGCAGCATGATGATATTGATTAGAGAGACAGAGCTGCAGGCACGACTGCAGAGGATGAGACAGAGGGAGGAGGAGGGGAGGAGCGGCCTGCTTTTATTAAGTGTAACATTTGAGGAAATGTCAAACTGAAGAGAGCCGAAGGGATTAAAGACAAGCTTTTCTATTTAGACTATTTTAGATCTCTAAAACCCTAAAATAAAACCCCATCATTTCCAGAATGCATTGGAAACCTGATCCAGTTTAGAGTAAAACAGCGAAACATTGAGGAGGATGTCTATCCTCTCATGTAATAACAGCATTTAAACAAGAGACTCACTTGGGAGACTTGAGGTCTCTGTGGATGATCTTGTGTAGGTGCAGGTAGTTCATGCCACCTGCGATTCCTGTGGCCCAGTCCACCAGCAGCCTGGGGGTCACCTTCCTCCCAGCCCTCAGCACCTCATACAGCTGACCCTGCGCACAGTACTCCATGATGATGCAGTAACAAGGCGCCTGGGTGCACACCCCTCTGATTCAGACAAAAAAAGAGAATGAGTTAAAAAAAAAACAGCATCAGGGTAGCAGATAAGAAGTTCTGTTGTTTGAGCTCACTTAAAGCTGATGATGTTGGGGTGCTTGAGCTTTCGCAGGTGCTTAATGTCCGTCTCCTTCTGCTCCCGCACCTTCTTGATGGCCACCTCCTCGGAGCGAAACTTGCCAAGGAAGACGGCTCCCTGGGCGCCGCTGCCCAGCCACTGCAGCTCGGAAATCTCCTCAAACGGGACCTCCCACATGTCTGCCACAAGATCAGTCGCATTTTATTGGTCTGTTCTGATTTAATCTTAAATAAGCTAGTCTATCTTTTGTTATAAGAGGAAGAGAATCTTTGTACTAATCTTATATATTTAAAGAAACAACACAGAAAGTGCTCCATCAGACCATAATAAATCATTATGACATCATTTAATTAACCAGTTCAATTGTTAAACAACCTGACCTGTCACTCTGCCATATTTCTATCATATTTTAAGGTCTGCTAACATGTTTTTTTTTTAACTTTTTGATTTGAATGCATCCTTGGATTAGCACTGATTGTAGACGCTCAGTTTACATCTTTATTTACTTGTTAAAGGTAAAAACTGCTTAATATTTGCCAATGGTCATAATTCAATCCTCTTTCATCCTTGGGAAAAACTTCAGTTCTATTTGCAAAAAAAAAATCCAAACCTTGCAGCATTTTGTTACCAAACATTCCGGTTTAGTGATTTCTTTCTCATTTTTGCACCAGAATGATCCTGAATGTTCTGGCTTGGTTACTTCATACTGCACTCCATAGTTCCACTAACTAGGCTGACCAGTAGTCGACATCAGGCTTTTTGGCAGCCTCTCTGACTGGTTTATATCTTAAGTTATCAAAACATTTGGAAAAAGAAAATGCTGCTGTAATGTCACCAATTCATTATGCGTTCTCTTACTTAAATGGCTTTATTTTTCCTTTACTGTATGCATCTGAAGCTGTAAGATTTCACTGCACCATTCAAACAGATCATCTTTCTATTGAGATCCTTTGCAACTTAATGACAAACCGTGCTTGTAACTGCATTATAAAAAGGGAAATCTAACTTTATTTTAAAGTAAAGTAAATTCATTATAATATAGTTGAGTGCGAAGAGAAATTAAAGTTTGGTTTCTGCTTTTTTCTGTTTTGCAGGATCTAGGTCCCATAAAGGTGGGAAATATCCTACTACAGTCGTATTATCACATTACTTTCTTTTAAACCACAAAAAACATGCAGTTAATCAAGTTATCGTTACAGCTGCTTGGGATACGGGTAACATTGGAAGTTGCCCAGAGTGGCATTAGGGTGTTTGAGGAGCAACAAACGCAGAATAAAAAAATAGATTTATCTTTAAGGTGTCCTTGGATGAGCTGAAATCAGCAGGGTGTCCCGCCTCTGACACTAAGTATGAAGGTAAATATGTGCCAAAATGAACGAACTTGTGAATTTAATGTGAAAACTTGAGAATGCAATGTGAGAATTTGTACCACAAAAATCTGAATTTGTATGCCAAAATGTTCTGCTGTAAAGAAAAACCGCACACACACAAACTGAATTTAAAGTTGCACTAAAAGACATATCAGGCAAGAACATGTAAAAAAAAATTACACTTGTCAGTCCAATCTTCACCTGAAAAGGATTTTCACTCAAATCTGATTTGAATGTGAATGCACAAAAAAACTATTTACTGGTGTGTTCATATAGTTTTACACAAATAAAATTACAGCTGACAAATGATTATTGATAGTTTATTTGTAATTATTATTTTTTTGCATATGTTAATCTTGCATTACAACCTCAATTTAGCCATTACAGCTTCTTGAATCTGCTGCTTCAAGAACACAAACGCGCTCTCGCGAGACACAGCACGTTGACACCGCACTTTGACTTTTGTCACATTCCTTGCGAGATATTTGTGCCAAAACGAACTTGTGTTTGAAGATGTGAGAGCAAATGTGGGGGGGTGGGGGGGTTCTATAGGCCAACCAATCACAGGCTGCGTCTCAATTCGCAGGCTGCGTACTTGGGAGGACGCCTTTGGAGCACTTCCTGGTTACGACACGACGTCATCACGTTTACCCCAAAAACAGCGCCAAACAAAATCCGACAGCTCGAGAAATACGGAAAGAAACAACAAAAACAAAAAAATAGATATGGAAATTTTTTTTATTTTTTTTTTTTATTTACTTGTTATTGGAGGAGGAGAGTCGCTTTGACGGCTTCGGCGGCAGCAAAACCTGCGACGGATTTTTCACAGGCTGGCAGTGCGCAGTGGAGAGGTAAGATCTACCTGCTATTATAGGGCTCGGGATCCACGTTGCATTGTGGGACGTCGCAGCCATACTGACTGCTACGTAAACATAGCTCTGACACAACGTTGTTGTTGAAAGAAGAGACAGAAGTAGAGAGAAAAAAGATGTTAAAATCCCGAAAAGGAACTGGAATTTACCGGGACACATTAAATAGAGAAGCCAGGGACCGGTATGTTGACAAAATCAGCATTATTAATCATTTGGATCCATATGAAGTTCCAGCAATGAGTGGAGCACCGATGAGTGAGCGCCTATACTTCAAAACAGTTCCGAAGCTACAAGTCCTTGGAGTCTCATGTGCAGTTCATGAATGGATGGGTTCAGGAGCTGCACATCATAAAGCCAGCAAACAGTGGGAACACAGTAATCCGTACGAAGGTAAGCTGTGATCAGACGGGCTCTGGAACCTGCTAGTTTAGCAACTGCTAACCGCTAGTGCTAACAACCACTCACGCATTTAATCTACTTTTAACTAGCTGCTATGTGTTTAAAAGGTGTAGTTAGTAACGTTAACTGCCAACCCTCCGGGTTTCTCGCGTATTTGAGCATTTTCCCGTTGCCGTTTTTATTATTTTCCCGTAAAAGATCCCAACTTTGAAGGAAATAAACAATGTAGGCTATAAAATAAAACCGTGCATCTTTAACTTACCAGAATGAAAATGCAGGGAACACACTCTCAATGACATTGGAATACTGTGGAAAGTTATGTTTGGTCGTCTTACAGCCGCGATCCAAGCTAGCCGACGACTCTTTATCTCTGAAAGCTTGGTCTCCATGGTTACGCCTCCAGTCAGGAAAGCGGTGGAAAGTTAACCCATTTTCTATGTTTTTCCCATGGTGATCACGTGTTGCGCTGTTACAGCCCGCAATACAGCAACGGTTTACCATGGTTGAAATCAAGTTAAGGTGAAATTAATCAAATTAAAACACGGCTGAGAGGGAGTACAGTACGCGGTAGTCATAGGCAATAGTCTGAGCCGCGGTAAAAGACGCATTCAACATGGCGGCGACGCGAAGTGCTTATGTCATGACGACCAAGCCCTATTCTAACCCACAGGGGCCTGCTAATGATCAGAATATACCAGTTATTAAATAAACGCTTGTCAGCAGATTGATGAATATATTTAAATATCAAATTTTATATTTATTTTTAAGTTTGTAATTTATTTGTTTGTAACTTTAGTAATTTGAATTGAATACTTAAATGTGTACAAACCCTGTAAATAACTGACTTGAATAACTACTTTCACCATTACTAATGTTTTGTTGAGAAGCCAAACTGTTGAGAAATAAATAATTTTTTGTCTAAATTGTTATCCCCTAACTGCCTGATTTTATTTGCAATTATATATATATATATATATATATATATATATATAAACATAATACAGGAAAAAAATAAAAATATAAAAACGAAAAAATAAGTTAAATAGTGGATCTAGATTAAGTAAAATTTAATTTCTAATAAATCATGTAATAAAGATAGATGACTGAATAAAAATAAATATTTTTGTCTATTTTTTTCTACAGGTCAAAACGGCATGTGCTGTCCTGCACAACATCTGCCTGGGAGCTGGTGATATCACGGCCCCAGAGGATGACATGCCAGAGGATGAGGAGGGGAGAACGTGTTGGAGGCAGTCAGTGGTGCTCCATGGAGGGACCAGCTGTCTGCCAAGGTGTCTGCCCCTGGAGGAGGGTCTACCCGACCACCATTACATTTAGATTGTCATATTTTAGCACATTTTAATCACATTTTAGCTGTTATTTCAGGGTAATGAAAACAGTTTTAGTAAAGTCATTATTTTCTTCGTCATTTTAAACTTTTTTAGTAACATGGCAGCCGTCAATTGGGGCAGCTGTCGATTGGGTCAGCCCTGCAAACCCTGATGGATGATGTGGTGAACAGTGGAGAGAGGCACCCCCACCCCCCAGATGATGTCCCACTTACAGTCAGAAGACTCCAAGGTCATCTGTGTGGCATCGCATCCAGTCCAGCAGCACCACCAGGGACTCCTGCTCAGTCACAATTGTATATATATGTATATGTATATATATATATATATATATATATATATATATATATATATATATATATATATATGTATATGTATATATATATATATATATTCTCTAGTAATATTTACTGTATATCTTCTGTAAATAGTTGTAGTAGTTAATTTTAAAATCTAATGTCAATACTTAAAAATGTTTTTAATAGTTTATTGTAAATACTTGCTTCTCTAAAAATAAACTGATGTCACTGAGAAGTTGTTCTAAGTTTACTTAAATTATAAAGAAGTGATGAAACAGATAAAAGACTTTAAGAACACACCGACAACAATAACTTTTATAAACAATTTAATAGTTTAATTTAATAACAGCAACACATAACCTGAACTTGTTAAAAAAAAAAACACCAAAAATAATAATGTCTGTCCACCATCCTCTCCAATAAATGAAATAATCTGTCCATCCTATCCCGCTTCCCTCTGCCATCTGATATCCTCCCTGATTAAATCCACCAACTCGTCACTCCTTCTTCTCTTCCTCCTTTCCCTCCTCTCTCATCCTCATTCTCTTCCTCATCTTCACCCTGATGCTGCTCAGCCTCTGCAGCACCTGGCCCTGGTGTTTCCTCAGGGATGGAGGCAATTAGGACAGGTGGGGCATTAGGGGGCCTCTGTCCTAATACCTCATCCATGAGGACAAACCAGGGCCAGGTGGCAGCAGTAGGCTTCCCACTGACCCCCTGTTTTCTGTTGTGTTTCTTTAAAGCTAGAAAAAAGGAAGGTTTCATGATTTGGATGGATTAATGAAATTCTACAGAAAAAGACTTTGGAATGGTAACCTGGAGATTACTTTTTTAAGCTTACTCAAAATTAACATGAATATAATAAATGTAAGATGTAATTTCCCTACACACACACACACACACACACACATATATATATATATATATATATATATATATATATATATATATATATATATATATATATATATATATATATATATATATATATATATATATATATATATATATATATATATATATATATATATATATATATATATATATATATATATATATATATATATAGTGTGTGTGTGTGTGTGTCACATTATCCAAACCTGAACATACTTTGTATTTTTTTTTTTAAGTTGTCCCACACAAGGATCACTTCTATCACAAATATGAGATTTACAAAAAGTGGCATCTGGGCATCATTTGATGCAATCAAATTATTATATATTTGTACGTTGGTGTTTGAACAGGACTTCTTTTAACTTGTGTGACTTTTACATAGAAATGCAACATGTAGATGGAATTCTGCCTCAACTCTTCGCTCCATCCGACTGCAGCAGTATTTTTGGCCCCGATGATGAAGTGGTCATTTTATCCACTCCTCTGTCTGCTCCCTGGAACAAAATGACATGTAAAGCATATTTCTGTTATGTCAACAGGCAAAATGACTGTTCTGTATAATTACGCCTGTATTGTTCTTCAAGTGAATTATACTTTAAACCTTATTATACTGTACTGTAAATTAACTATACATTATTCAGTATTAAAACAAAACGTTTACAGTATTAACAGCCCAGTACAGCTGGACTAATGTTATTTCTTCAGCTGCATTAAGCTTTAAAAGTTCTAATACTTTGTAATAAACTGAGAATAAATAGATCTGATTAGAGAGGGATACGGCTATCAGTACAGTAAGATGTAGGTTAAAATAAAAAATAGTGACATTTGTATGAAGGCTTTTAATTGTTGATGAACATCACGTATCAACAGGTTAGCTTTAAGCTTTAGCTGGTCCTACACATCCCGGTGGCTCTGTTACCGTCATGTATTTTAATAGATGTTCATTTAAAAAAAGCAAAAACAAACTACTTACATTTAAAGGTGTTCTCCGCTCTACTGCCGGCGCTGCTGCTGCTTTCGGTTGTCCGTAACTTCAAGAAAATCCGACTTTCTTCTTCTTTTTCTTCAACTACTAAAAAAAAAAAAAAAAGAAGCCAGAAGTGCTCCAAAGGCGTCCTCCCAAGTACGCAGCCTGCGAATTGAGACGCAGCCTGTGATTGGTTGGCCTATAGAACCCCCCCCCCACATTTGCTCTCACATCTTCAAACACAAGTTCGTTTTGGCACAAATATCTCGCAAGGAATGTGACAAAAGTCAAAGTGCGGTGTAAACGTGCTGTGTCTCGCGAGAGCGTGTTTGTGTTCTTGAAGCAGCAGATTCAAGAAGCTGTAATGGCTAAATTGAGGTTGTAATGCAAGATGCAAAAAAATAATAATTACAAATAAACTATCAATAATCATTTGTCAGCTGTAATTTTATTTGTGTAAAACTATATGAACACACCAGTAAATAGTTTTTTTGTGCATTCACATTTAAATCAGATTTGAGTGAAAATCCTCTTCAGGTGAAGATTGGACTGACAAGTGTAATTTTTTTTTACATGTTCTTGCCTGATATGTCTTTTAGTGCAACTTCAAATTCAGTTTGTGTGTGTGCGGTTTTTCTTTACAGCAGAACATTTTGGCATACAAGTTCAGATTTTTGTGGTACAAATTCTCACATTGCATTCTCAAGTTTTCACATTAAATTCACAAGTTCGTTCATTTTGGCACATATTTACCTTCATACTAAGTAACTTACAGGAACTTCCTTCCACCGAACATAGTGTTGTAAATAAAACAGGACAAAAATGGGATGAGGTTTCTATGCACTCATACAGGAATCAATCTGAAAATGACATCTTCATAAAGCGGGACTATTTCTGTGAAATGTTTGCAACTAAGCTGTGCAGCAAAAACAAAGCTAAGATCCTTCAGGATGCACTGCTGCCTTTTCTCTCTATCTGCTGCTTTACAGCCAGTTTTGACCAGGAGAAGTTATGCTGCCTCTTTTTAGCCCACTGCTGAACCAATGAAAGCTTCAGCTCATTCGACCTCGACGCATATCTTTACTGTGAGCATCCAGTCTAAGCAGGCAGCCCCGCAGCAAGGTGAATATACCTTTACCCATGACCTTAATTCTAACTGACAGCAGCACAGCAGCCTCAGACTACAGCTGGGGACAGATATTCAGTTACAGTTTCAGGAGTGCATTACAGGACAGAACCGTTTGATTGTTTCTCAGAAGAGTTGAAGAGCCAAAGCCTTTTAATTAAACAGCGAGGATTTAGTTTGTTAAACCGACACCATGTGGAGAGATGAAACCAAAAGCAAACCTTGCTGCTGCAGCTTGTATTCTGTGGAGTACGTTTTCCCAATGATGTTCCAGACGGGTCGAAGACAGCCGAACAGCCCCTCCAGGAAGCCTCCAGACCCAGGCCCGGCTCTTTGGAAGTGCAGCTTGATGTCGTCGGGGTGCCGCGGGTGGCTCGGCCTCCCCTCTTCGCTTCGGTCAACCGGACAGTCTCCTTCTCCCTGCTCATCCATGCCACTCCCACAGCCACCGTGCTCACAGGAAGCAGGTGAACCGGCTTCCTCCTGCTCCTGCAGCTGAAGCACGCTGTTATCGAAGTGTCCACCTTCACTCCGCGTTGAGTCCACACTCAGGGCTATGTTTCCTGGGCTGATGCCCCCCAAAACGGAGTCCTCATCCTGGCCGGGAGTGTGCAGGGGAACGGGCAGGTTCGTCGGCGGGGCGAGGTCTGTGATGATCTGAGGAGGTAAAGTAGGAGGCAAGGCCTGAGGAGGATGAGGCTGCGCTTTAGGAGAGTTGGATTTCTTCATGTTGTCCCCAACCACAGTGAGTTTAAGCTCTTCCTTCAGCTTCCCCACCAAAAGACTGGGGCAGGAAGTCCAGGAAAGCACCTCTGGGGAGCTGCCCATGGTGTCGTGCATGTGAGTGGGCAGCCGCGTTTCAGTGGGAGGGATGCGTCCTAACGCACTGGTTTCTCTGGATGCTGATAAACACCTGCAGAATAAAAAGGGAAACCAAAAAAACAATAGCTTCATTAAATTATAAAGATTTTTTTTTTTACAGATGTTGCTGCAATGTCAGAAAATTACTTTTACAAACAAAAACTCAATCCTCTCATCCTCTTTCACAGATCGGGGATTGAGAGAGATTACACTAATGGTCATCATTTCAGGCAATGACGTGCAAACATGGCAGAAACGATGAGCAGAAGAGAGACAGAAGTCTAAATACCAACAATAGCGTTCAGGGAAACCTAAAGCAAACAGCTAGATCAGAGCAGCTGCACACAGATACAGATAAGACTGGGGCTTTCCTGGGATCCCTGACCGGTAACAGAAGGGTTAAAGGTTGAGAGAAAAGACATCTGGCACACACGGCCCACTCTCTCTGCTTACCGTAGATTCTGTGGTAGAGCAGCACCACACATACCTTCAGAAGCAAAACCATCAGTTTAACAAAAGAGGGTCCTGTTCAGAATAAAAAAATGGAGGTCTCTTTGAGGAATATCAGTCACTCTTCATAGAACTGTTTTAATTAAACCACATTCTTTTTTTTTTCTTATTAACAGTGGCCTGTTTAAGCTCAAAACAATCCTTGTTGTTTTTTGTTTAACCAGAGGTAGAATTTAGGTTATTTATATGGACCATTGATCCGTCGCACAAACGCTGTTTTTAGGCTTCAGGCCAGGAACTACAGGTGGGACCTTCTCCTTTAGGATTTACTGGTTGGGAGGAAAATTAAGAGTCATCATTGCTTTGCTTAAAGAGAAAAACAGCCCTAGGCCACCAGGTCTGACTGGAGGCATGATGCTTTCGGTTTTCAAGATAATCTTCTGATTTTCAAGATAATCTTAGAAACAGGAGACATACATGTGTGCTCTTTCTGTAGACTAGAACCTTATTGTTGCGCAGTTTCTTTCCTATTGTTGCATCACGAACGCTGACCTAAAGTGACCTGCAGCGCTTCAGACCTGGGTTCCTCCTGTATGAGTCGTGGATGTGATGTTTGATTGGTTTTGGTAGACAGATCTGTCCTGGGAAGAGTAGCAACTGCTCAATGTGTTCTACATTTGTGGATGATGCCTCTCACTGTGGTGCACCGGCGTCTCAAAGCCATTGAAATGGCATTGTCCCCCATTCCAGGCTGATAGTTGCCAGTGACTTACATTGGAAAATTAAGTGTTGCTTTTGGCCTACTTCATGTTTTCAGGGAGTTCTGTAAATCAGGCTGTAACCAAGCCTAGGTGTGAGAGGAAAATCTGAAAGATGAGGTGAATAAAAGATAATTCATAATTTAACTACTAAGCTAATCAAATGTTAACATAGGGTCAGGTTGGTATGGATAGCATTCTTTTTTTGCCTTTATAAAAGAAATTATTTAAAAAAACTGCTGGTTGTAGAATTGAGAATAAGGATGGAAAGATTATAAAAGAGATTTCATAAAATATATATCCTAAATTCTTAGTCATGATTAATGTTGGATCTTTAATTACAGGTTAGGACTATTAAATAGTAACTGCTGCACTGTGAAAGCAAAAATATAGATGACATAGCTTTCATTCTTTCTGCTCTTTAACTTCATAACCTCAGGCCAGATTCATCAGTAAGACTTCATGTCAGCGTGTTTTTATTTCAATCAATGCCTCTAGGAGGTGCCAGAAATAAAAAAATGCTATAAAACTTGTTGACCACTGTGGCTTTTAACATTTTACAAACTGCGTGGTTTATTTAGTAATCACCTGTAAAACGGCAGGATCTTTGTACAAATAAAAAAAGTTAAAATTTTTGCAACCCAATGATAGTTTAAAAGAGAGAAATTCACTCATGACTCAAACAAGGTGATAATTTTCAGGTTGATCGGCCTTGATTGAGGAGCAGATGAAAACCGCATTCAAAGTGCTACTGATATCAACACTCTTTGGTGAAGTACGTTACGGATTGAAAATCACTTAATCATAGCTAATTTCACTAACAGGGAGTTGTTTGCAATTAGATATATGAGGCTATTTAAAGCAAAACTGTATTTTTAATGATGGTGATGCCTTTCTGCAGTTCAATCAGGCAGTTAGTGAGCTCAAGAGAGAGCAAGACATTCAACGAATAACAGGAAGGCTGAACAAAAAATAGAACAGCTGCACATTTTTATCGTTTACGGTTTTCAAGCTTGTTAAATTTGGGAAAGTTGGCAGCCTTTAGGAAATGTTAGCATTAAGAAAAAGTACATTCTCCTGAGGAGAACCTTTGACATAACTGCTTAGCATTGTTACAACTGCTAATCAGTGATATACGGTAAGTTAAATATTGTAAATTGTTGTCATTTTCAATTTGTAAAAATCACTTTTTTAGAGCACCTGCTTTCTCACAATATGTCAACATTAATCATTACTAAACTAACAATTATTGACAATTTGTGGTAGGAAGAAAACTAAAACATATTTTAAATGCTACTCTGATGTCCCAAACAACAGTGCGGCATGATAAGACAGAATCTGCTATAAGAACTGGACATCTGCCTACAAATTTAGATTATATATCTTTAAAAACATTTTGAAATGGACAAGTTAAGGTCATCCCTTAAAAAGATAACTTAAAAAAATTTGTAGTTCCTATACAAAATCTAGAAACTACCCTTAATCTTACTTCCAACAGACAGACTTTCTAATTTTCTTTTAAGTGATTTTAATAAGCAGCTAATAAAAGCTTTAAGATGTCCAGAGAAAAATGTCAAAGACCAATTTATCCGAATACATGAAATATTGACTTTTGGAAGCTACGTGAAGATTTATGAGCAGTAGTGGAGCTAATGTTTGCATGTTTGTGCAAACCCATGTAGTGTATCTCTGTGTATCCCCTGGGGGTAACCTCAGCGCTGTGAGAGTGTGGCAGCTGCCAGAAGCTCATCTATAATGCAGGCGTTTGTGGAAGCAGCCTGCTGAGAGTGCAGGGGAAGGAGAGAACGCTCTCTCAGGTATCCAATAAATCCATCCCTACCAAAGTAGAGACAAACGAACCGTGCGAGTCGAGGACCGGCGGTGTAATTCCACCTCGCAGACAATCCTCATAGCTGGCCTTCTGACGTTGACCCTGCAGTGGGTGGATGTGGTCGGCCGGGCAGCGGCATAAAGACGTACGGTAACCCCTGTAGCTCAACTGAAACTCTACAATTATCTCGGCTGATTAATGACCACAGAGCGCAGATGCCTCCCAACCTCTAATGTCTGTTTCCTGACACCAAGAGGAGGAAAGAAACCTCTTGGTGCCTTTCATCAATCCCTAATGGAAGATCTGTGAGCCTGATGGAGAGGGTTTAATTTACTTAGTCATTTATTTACAGGACTTTCCGAAAGACATCGTGACTGAGACAGGGACACAAACTGCCGCTTTATGATGATTAAAAAGCAGAGTTTAAAAAGCATGGATATTGGTTCAGAGGAGGACACGATGCACCACCTAAGCAGGATGAATATTATAGAGAATCAGCCAGATAGGGAGGGACAGAGGGGGAGAAATTATCAGGAGCTGATCCTTTAATCCCTCCACAGGGTTACAGAGACAGAGTCAAACAAACACATCCAGATTTCTGAAGATCATTTAGAAACATTTTTCTTTTTTTAAAAGGCAAATTCCTGCTTAATGGGTTGGAAATTTTCCCTTATTGTATCCCTTATTAAGTGAGTGTGTTCGTGCCAAGCAGTTGGTGGAGATGCAGGGGAGGGGATCAGGTTCACACACACACATGCCCTGGGCGTGTCTGGCTAGATCCAATAATCCCACTACTCCCAGCAATCCACTGGGGAAGGAAGGCTGTAGTATCTTTACAAACAGCAGCTGAAATGTCCAGTTAGTATGAACGCCAGAATGGAGACTCTTCACTTCCTCAGACATAACATTTGTGCTCGCATCTGTGCCTATGTGGCTCCTCTCCTCATTAGTAGGAGCCCTGCTGGGACCAACCCATGGGGGGAACCTCTTTTCAGGTGACAGCTGCGCCTCCAACAAAGAACTAATTTAGCGTCTATCCCACCTCATCGTTCATGCGTTACCATGTCGACACAGCATCCATCCTAACCCTATGCTGGCAGTCAAGCTTGATCCCATTCGGTGCTCTGCTTAGTAGAGGCTGAAGGCCAAACTCATGAAGCTGTTGAACACAACCAGCCCCAGAAATGTTGCTTTAATAAAAACAATGTGGTGTTTGGAGTAAAATCATTTATCTACTGTAAAAAAGAAAAGTAAAATGAGAAAATGTTGGTTAAAAGGAAGGATTGAGCTAAATTTAAAGCAAAAAAAACAACTAGCCTGACTAAACATTATACCAGGGTTACAACAGACTAGTTAGATCAAGGTAAACACATAAGTTAAAATGGCCCAGTCAAAGTCCAGATCTATTAGAAGACTAAAACTCAAACAGATCCTCTCCACTCAACTGATACAACCTCAGTTATCTAGCAAAGAAAGATTCAATGTGTGCTGAACTGGTAGAGCTATAAACACCAGGGATGCGCAGCTCTGAGTCCAGCGTCACATGGTTATAGGAAGTATTGACTTCTCTCAACATCTGAAGTTCATTTCTGGGACAAATACCTGCACTGCAAAGTTTCGGTCCCGCTCCGCTTCCTCTCTCCAGACAAACAGATGGTGAGAGTTGCGCTGGTCTCCACAGAGCATGTGATAGTCTGTTTTTCTCGGTCATAGTTGAAGAGCTTAACTCTGATATCTGTACTTGTTTCCCCAGACTATGGACCGTTCAAGGCCTCTGCTCACTGTGTGAGTAAACAGAGTTATAAAACACAATCCACATACTCAGAATTCTCAGAGGACAGAGCTATAGTTCAAGTAGTAAAAAGTAGAAGGTATTCAGAAGTGAAAAAAGGTTTTGACTCTCACTAGTTTGATTTGATTATACGGATAAATCAGTTTTTCTGTCTCTGTAGAGTCAGCAACAGTAAGCAGGTGAAAGGAATAATCTGCCGCTGTGGGAAACGCAATTTGTAGTTCAAAAATCTCTCCCAATAATCCCTTTTTCTTCCTATTCTGAACCTGCTGGTGACTCATTTGTGCAGAACTAAATACCCAATGATGGCTGGAAAGAAAAGGAGGCCACCTACAACACCTGCTTAGCGGTAGGTTCATTTCAAACACAAACGAGGTCAATGCTTTGACTGGAATCCAAAGCAAAAGACCGGGTGGGGGAAATGTTATTGTTTTTATTTTGCTTGTTTTGTTTTGTTTTGATCAGGTGGATCAGATGGGAGTTTAGCAAACCATGTTGTCAGAGCTGATGGATTCAACGTCATGTTCTGGAGGAATCCGCCAAATGTCTGAGACAGAGAGGCTGTGAATCATTAGCGCTCCGAACACACACAGGATTGGAGCCTCAAATAGCCGCAGCTGGTACCAGCCAGAACTGGAGAAAATAAATAACTGAAGAAAAGACACGTCAGCTTCATTCTCCAGGCTCTGAGTGAGGCAGAGCCAGATCGCACGGCCATGCAGAGGCTAATGTCAGCAACTACAGTCTGGGTGAAAAAGCTTTTACATTTATATACCAGGACTTCATTTCCCTTTTTTATTATTATTAGGCTGTTAAATTATCTTAATTAAAACCAAAATTTGTTCAAATCACTTTGGATTTCAATCTTTCATAATTTATTACTCAAAATGTAAGAGCTGTCCCCCTCTGTGGAGGTTTTTTTTTATGAAACTAGCAATAATTTGAACAAGATTTTGTTTGTTTATGGGTCTTTCAAATTTTTAAGAACCATTAGAACATAATAATTAATTGAGCTCCTTCTTGTTCCTGCAGTTTTAGCCTAATTCTAGCAATAGGATATGTAGGATAAAATACTTCTGTAATCACCCCTAGTTATGGTTGATGAAATGACTACAACATGTCCTGGTTCTGGGCCTGAGAAACAAATCCAGTGTGGCCAGACATCTTTATTTTGGTCTCATCGATCTAAAGGAAGCTTTGTGTTTCACTCTAACTCACTTATTTGAAAAGAAGAGTCATTCAGCAGAGGAAAAGAAGGCAATAGTTGTTCACCTTTTTCTAAATGTCATGTCAAAAACTTCACCTTTCTAGTTAAGGCCTCTTCAGCCTGATATTTAGCTCTGTGCTAATGCCTTGTTGCTAACCATCGCACAGTTTGATGTCAGGGTGAATTTGCTGCAACATCCAGTACTTGGAATAATACCAGTTGAATTCAATTACAGTGATAAAGATGATTATTCAGCAAATGTAATAATAAATAAATAAATAAACAGCTGAATCTCCACTCGATTTGTGATCAATTGCTTAAAACTCGGTTATCTAAAAACCCGGTGATGACCTGGTCATTATATTCAGGTATCCAAAACATTACAACTGAATTAGTTTGCTCTTTCTTTTTGCTATAACTTTATGCTCGGTGCCAAACTCTTTTAGACTTACATTTCCTAAAAAGCAAAGACATTTATGGACTGGGTGTCACAAAATAGAACCATAAACATTTAAAGCATGGCATAAGCAGCGAACCATATAAAAGGAGTTTAAAATCATCCTTTTGGGTCAGGCAGTAGTTTTAGTCCAAGTAATTAATGACAACTTAAGCATTCTCTTTTTATGGCGAAATAGGTAAAGGGATGGAAGGCTAAAGAGGCGATCGAGGAAAACCATTGGTCCCAATGAAACCAAAACACAAGAAAAAGACTAAAGCAGAATAATCTGAATGAAAAAAACAAAAATGACTAGTTTTCTGCAGCTTCTGTTGCTGCCGGCGGCACATTACTGTACTGGCCGAGCTCTGATGGGAAAGCCTCCCAGAGCGACAACAAAGGGCACAAGAGGAGCCGGCTCCGTGTGAACTGGGCCTGTCTGCCCGACGCGACCAGGAGACAACAGCACACACACAACCACAGAAAACAAAACCCTGCAACACCAGAGCAGCTGCCACCACAACAACTCCCCTTGTGCTGTTTTAATGGGACGGTCTGCCTGGACTGCTAACAACAAGAACAGAGACAGACCAACATGCATATTACAAGAGGCTGGCTGTGACTGACACCATTTTTTTTATATGGATGCAAGATGGAAATCCACAAGGCTAAAGAGCAGAAAGTGGGTCATAAGAGTCCAGTGGGACTGGGTCTGCTACAGCAGAAAGCCAGGAAATCAATATACATTAGTGCTCCTGGTGGTTCCAAGCTTTCCATGATCCCTGCCTGGTCTGAGAAACATACATATATAAATCTCAAAGTCGGACTTTATTTAATTTTGGTCCAATTCAAAAACAGAAAAAAAAGGATGGAGGAGTGAATCTGCACCACCCCTCCTCTTCCTCTCTTCTAAAGCCCGACCGCTGGCTATTCATCCTCCACAGTTATATAAACATGCTTAGCAGAGGACAGAGGTAGGCATACTCTGAGCTTTCCAGCTGCCGAGCAAACTAAAAGTCTGGTGCAAACAGGGGGAGGCAAAGCAAAGCTACTAAAGCAGGCAGAGTGGGTTCGTTTAGGCTAAATGACACACTCATGATGAGTATGATTTGTGTACAATAATATTAGTTCCAGAAAAACCTTTAGGTTATATTGAAATAATCTGTCTGAGTGAATGAAATAAAAAACGAAATTGACGAGTGATGCTTTACCCTACATCACCTGTCCTTCAGAGGGCACAGATAACACTGCATCAAAAAGCAGCAGCGGCGTCACTGCCGAGCCGAAAATAGCTCCAACGCGCACCGATGCACGACTGCTCAACACACTCCTGCAGCACCGCTGCCGAACACACACCAAAACCCCCAGACATACACAAACGGCACGAGCCCCTTCTCTTCTATACATGTATGATAACAGATGCAAATCAGCCAAGAAGGAGAAGGAGAGACACCTCCACATCATTATCAGATTACTCACAGCAGACACGGCTCAGATTCATGGTCCCGTCTCGGCTCTGAGGATGGGATGGAGGTCAGTTTGGAAACCCTGGGGAGGAAAACTAGGAAGAGACCAGGAAGAAACGTCCAGAAAGGGACAGAGGGGGAAACAGGCAGGCATCCCTGTGACTCCCGCAGCACCTGAGCTGTGAGTCGGTGGGCGGCGTGGATCCTCTCAGTGTCGCTGAGGACCTGCTCACGTCACGCTTTTCATGAATGGAGGTGTCTGACGCAGCAGAGGTTTCAGCTCGGAGAGCAGGGGGAGGGACGAAGCGGGGAATCATAGGCGGAGCAACGAGAGATGAAATGAAATAAAAGGAGAGGAGAAGAGATGGAGGAGGAGGAGGCAGGGGATAGTGTGTTGGGGGTTGGAGGGGGTATTTTAAAGCAGCACCAGCTGGAAACAGCAGGTTGGGCTGCAGTGGTGTCTCTGTAAGTAGGACAGACCGTTTCTGCACTGGAGAAAATCCGTTTGGACCTAAATCAGTAATCAGTTTGGTCCAAGCCAACTGTGACACATGGCTGTGGGCTGCATGATGCAAAATGAAACATCAGAGCGTGCAGCCGGTCAAATCAAAGCATCTTGTTGAACAGTCACGTGTGGGTGAGGCATAAAAATACCCTTTGTAGCTCGGAGAGACCAATACAGCAGCAGAACATCGTGTTTAAATTCAGCCTTTTAGTAAAGAGTCAGAGATACAAATATGGTGCCCATGAATCTACTGTAGGAGATAAATTCAGTATTACACATATTTATGTGTTTTATTACTGACCATGAAGAAAAATTCAGCTGTAGAACCAGTTCCAATACCAGGAGGAGAATAGATTAAGATAAATGATCTGTAACACCTATAAAAAAAATACAAAAAAACTGCTACTGCTGCTCAAAAGGTCTAAAAACTACTGCAAAAATTAAACCAAATATAATTTATATGCTTTTCTTCAACCATTAGGAGACTGCGCTCTCTGACAAAGTGACACTATTTCTAACCAGTTACTGTAACGCAGTGGTTCTCAAACTTTTTCTGTCATTCCCCACTTTGGACAAGGGGGAATTTTCAAGCCCCGCCTGTCCCCATCGCCCCAACACAATGCTAATGAAATATGAAACAATCTTAAAATGTTCCAATTTTATTGAAGTAACAAGTAGTATCTAAATACAAACTATCTACGTCAAATAACAGCAAGCTCAAAAATAAAGAAAATAAAAATGCAGCTGTGTCAAAATTTGTATCAAGCTCAAAGATAGAAAAAATTAATGTGCCACTCTGCAATCTGTTAAAAGAAAATAAGTGAAATCCAACAGGCAATACAGGTCTATTTATCCCTGCATTAGTGGCTGCAATGAGCCTGTTTTGCATTGCACAGTTTCTCAAAACGGGGTTGCAGGCTTGATACTGCCACTCTCAAGTCATGCTTTGTTTTCAGTGAAGCAGCAGCTGAAAAGCCCATCTCACAGAGATATGATGTGGCAAAGGGAAGAAGAATGCACACAGCTCTCTGCCCGATGAGTGGATACTCCCTCTCCACTCCAAACTAGAAACATGAACATGTGGCTGTGTGAATCAAACGCCGTTATTTATTTAAGATAAAATATTTCAAATTCAGTTATTTATGATCAACCTGCGCCGCCAATCCCGGCGCATGTGCGCTTTATTTGCAGTCTGGACGCTGAGGGTAAACATTGCAGCGCTGAGAGCGACTCCTGCGATAGCGGGGGAGAACGGGGTTTGGGAGGGAGGAGGCGCCCCACGGCAGCAGGACAAGAAAAGGAACGATACGTGCTTTCCCGTAACCCCCAGATTCCACATACTCCGTCAGCGCTCCGCTCCGCTCCGCCCCGCTGACGTACGTCGTGCGGAGCGCTTGTCTTTCATGGAAATCAATGAGAGCTGTTCCACATCCACCGCTACTCCTCCGCACGTCTCCGTCCACGTACGTCTTCTCCGTCCGTCACCGACAAATTACGGAGCCGAGCTATTTTTTGCTCCGCTCCGGTCCGGCCAGGTCAAGATCCGCAATTGCAATCGCACCAAACAGGAAAAAGAACCTTGACAAATTCCGGTTCGTCAAATTAAAATATAGTAGCAACAGATCGGTGACTAGAAATTATAGCACAATTCTTATAAATATCTAAAAAATAAAAAAAACTAACACCGTTTATTTAAATGATTGGATCCAAACTATTGGTTATTCACCAACCAGGAAGCAGATTTCTCATCTCCATTAAAATATTTATTTTATACCGAGGGACTTAAAGTTTAATCAAATCCATTCAAAAGAAACTTCTTATTACATGAATGAAAAGAGATGCTGAGTTGTAGAGAACAAGTTCATTAAAAAAAAAGCAGTTTTGAATTATCCTTATCTCTGTTACAAAAATCTACAAAAAAAAAAATATATATATATATATATATATATATATTTGGGCAGAAACTGAACATATGCTGGATGATGGTGGGATTTTTTTAATATGTCATACTAAATTAAGCGCTCACAGGGTTCATACAGGAATGAGTGACTCTAATTTAATGCTATTTTAATGCTATTTGAAATGATTTTAATGCCATTAACAAGAACCATGTACACAAGTTATTAGTGTACATGAAATATGGAGCTGTAAGCACAGTTCCATGACTCCTGTATGTATGTAAAAACACACACACACACATATATATACGTATATATATTCTCTAGCTTTTTCTCCGCCTCGAGCTTCCTTTCCGAACATACGGCTTTATAAACAGTTCCACGCAAATTAATAGCGATATAATATATCTGATGAAATTGTTTTTAGAAGCATTTTTATTAAAGAATCATAAATGCAACGATAAACATATTTAATTAATTTTAGTGCCAATTAAGGGCTTGACTAAAAAAAGAATTATGAATTGTAATTATTTTTAATGATCCGCGGAAACCCTGGTTCATCTGGCGCATGCCCTCTACGATCTCCAAGGAACTCAGAGCGGAGCGGAGGGGACAGCGGCGGCTGTAGGCTTTGCTTTGTGCAGGCGGTCTGGAGCGCAGCGGGGCGGAGCGCTGACGGAGTATGTTCTCCAAAAGTCGCTAGATTTGTCGCTAGTCGCTTTTTTGAAAAAGAGTCGCTGGAGGGGTCTGAAATATGGCGACAAAGTCGCTGAGTTGGCAACACTGGGGCGCGAAAGTTTATTCCGTTACAAATAATATGCCGACGTCACGTCAATCATCATTTTGGCACTTCAGTTCCAGGTGAAATTTTTCTCATATCTAATGTTCTTTTAATTAGACTGCATGTAGGCTAGTAATGATTACTTTGTGGGTTTGATTAGTCTAAAAAGCGGCAACATACAGCTATAAGGACAGTTTGCTCTCACACGTTATAGTCACACACACACACACACACACACACACACACACACACACACACACACACACACACACACACACACACACACACACACACACACACACACACACCGGAACTTGGCGCGCCCCACCTGTCACGTCTCAATTCCCCACCAGTGGGTCGCGCCACACACTTTGAGAACCGCGGCTGTAACGGCAACTAATTTATGGTTATTAAAGATGAAAAACAAACAAAATACTATTTTCCCCCTTTTCTGATTTTTATTTTTTGTTTGTTTTCATGTAACTTTACATGGATGACTACAGACATAGACTAAAACAAGCTTAAATCTCACAACAATGCCACAAAAACGGATTATTGTGCAGAGGTTTTCCTGTAAGCGTGTTCTTTAAAAAATTCTCTAACTTTAGGGAAGTAAATCAAGTTCACCTACTTAGAAGTGTCAACTAAAATAAGCGTTTGATGCAAAAGTGGATTTATAAACCATTGCATTATGGATGTTTGTGTTTAGACAAAATAACTGACGTAGAAAATCTATTGCAAATATAAAGTGCGGTTGATCAGCAGGGGATGCTCCAATGAAGGCGTTTTGTCTGATGTTGATTAAAGTCACTAAGCTTTTTCTTTGTAGAGTTATAATGAACACTAATTTGAAATTGATGATCATCAAAGTGATGCATATGCTTTAAACATGCGGTTTAAAAAGCTGTAAAATACCACAATACAAGTCCTCAGTATAGAAGGAATATTGTGAATGGATCCAAGTAACTCAAACATCCGCTTTCTAAACACAGAGTGGGACTGAAAATTATTCATAACCTTAGCAAACTTAAAACATTGCTTTTGCTCTACCAAAGACCAAAACTGCTGCTGGGAATTCAAATACTAAATCTTTATATGAAGCTAAAGTTTAGAGGGATGGTAAAGAGGCTTTCAAACCTCAAACACAAGGAGCTGATCACAAAACATGAATCCTCACATTATTAGAGGAAACTTGCAAAAAGCTAGTTAGCAAGGCTGATGATTTTTAAGTAGGGAGCAAAAATTACTGTTGAAAGGACTTGTTGAGATTCTAACAAATTTAACGGAGTTCCAGTTGATCTTGTGGATACAGAAAGTCATTCAAAACTTCTCCTGCTTCATAAACCTGCCACTGCTCTGTGTTAGTCAAGTTTTAGCTGCATTCTAAGGAGTTCAGCAGACAGGAACCTGCTGCAGCTAACAAAGTCTCTCATCCCATTTAACCATCCATCCATCCATCTTCTAACACGCTTAAATCCCAAGTGGGGTTGTGAGGGGTGCTGGTGCCTACAGTATCTCCAGCTATCAATGGGCGAGTCCATCGCAGGGCAACACAGAGACAAACAGGACAAACATCCACTCACGCACGCACTCACACCTAAGGGGAATTTAGAGAAGCCAATTAACCTAACAGTCATGTTTTTGGACTGTGGGAGGAAGCCGGAGTACCCGGAGAGAACCCATGCATGCTCAGGGAGAACATGCAAACTCCATGCAGAAAGTTTGCAGAATCGAACCCAAAACTTTCTTGCTGCAAGGCAGCAGTGCTACTCCCTGCACCACTGAGCAGCCCCCCATTTAACCCATCACACAAATAGTAAAAAACTTGGTTGTGGCAAACCGATAAATTTAAGCTAAATAATGTGGAATTTTGTATATTGTATTGCAAAAGGGGCAAATGTCGACCAGATCATAAAAACTAAATGTGGCTAAAGAAGTAGCTGTCTAACAGCAACGATGCAGCTAGGATAAAATAGACATACTCTCTGATGTTTCCCATTTCAGATATCATGATCAGAATACCTGGGATCTGCTGACATGTTAGCAGAGCGTAGAAAATAGGTTTTCCGCTATATAT